CCAGCTATATGACGACAGTCTGTAAATAATAGAGTCTGGACCAGACAATCCAGTGATTGATATAAAGAGCAACGTCCCACGCCGATGACACGCAGTCGATGAAAACACCCAGCCTGACCACCCAATCCATTGAGTCGCCTCGCACGACATGCATATGTTGCCGACGTCCTAGTCAAAGCATAACGAGTCCGCCAGGACGTAGTTTCAGTAGATATTGCAAGGTGAGGTGAAATGGGCGCCAAGATTATTGGACTTATATAGCGACGTGCATGCACGTATGTGTGTGTGCGTGTGTGTGTGTGTGTGTGTGTGTGTGTGTGTGTGTGTGTGTGTGTGTGTGTGTGTGTGTGGCTGCTTGAACTAGTCCGGACTGTTGCCGATTTAAAGTGTTAGCACACTGAGATACCATGCCGCAGTTTAACATGAATACGTTGTCAGCTTGATGGGGGAGGAAAGCCCGAAGTAATGCAAGTCTCGGACGTCAACCACTTTGCTGAAACCAACGAGCACGGCAATGGTATGGCAAACCTAGAAACAAAATCAGGGCGCACCAGGATTCAAGCACACAGTCCTAGGTTTCCAAGGGACGTACAGCGAAATGAAATGAGACGCCTTAGGCGTGAGGGATACCGATGCTCCAGGCATATATGGGAGAAAAGCGAATGGAAACCATGAGGAGAAAAGGCGATCATCAGCCGAGTGACTCCGCATCGTAAATGTCACATACATAAATTAGGAATAACAATATGTTTTATTCCTAATATTTGATATTCTATCCCCCGCCGTGATATTATTTGAACATTGCTAAAAGCGGCGTAATACCAAACTCTTTCACCCACTAATGATTATAGTTACTGTATGGAAACACACAATAGTAATAACATCTTTAGCATATGTAAGTCTCAAAATAATCGAGTTTCGACATATTCCCATTTACGAAAGTATGGAATCCTAGAAGGGACATTGTCGCGTTGTCGTCGTTACAAAAACAAGCAAAAAGTGTCAAAACTAACTAAAGCGCTGTCGCGACAATGCCCCTTCTAGGATCCCATACTAAAGTAACTTCAGAAACACAATGCCTGCTTACCCAAGCACGGGAAAACTCTATGACTACTTACTGGGAATGTTATGCAATCCCTTTTCGAGCGAGTAGATATCGCATCGATGTATGAAGATTAATAAAAGTAGTTCCGTTTATCTGTTTCATTTGTATATTTATAGGATGGCGATATCTAGTTTATCGGATTGGTTTATCGCATTGATATCCATTATATGACCGACAGATATGTTTTATTGCGTACATGGATACCGTCGAATGTGTTGTACAGCATTGATATTTTAAACTGTGAGGCTATCTGGTCATAGACATCTGCGTAGACCTCTGCGATTCAGACCCGTGAAGATCTGGGGTAGATTAGGTCTTCAGCAATCCATGCTTGCCGTAAAAGGCGACTATGCTTGTCGTAAGAGGCGACTAACGGGATTTAGTTGATGCATACTATCGTATCCGAATTGTGTGGATCGATTCTCATGATGTCAATCACTGGATTGTCTTGTCCAGACTCGATTATTTACATACCGCCTTCATATAGCTGGAATATTGCTGAGTGCGGCGTTAAACAACAAACAAACAAAACATCTTCGATTCATATATTCACAGGAATGAGATCCTTGTGTTTGTTGGCCTTTTCTTGCCAATTGAATGATTTCTTAAAATAGAACGTACATTTCTGAAAAGAAACACCTTGGCACTTTCAAACAAGTGTAAACATATCTGTTAGAACGAAAAACATATTCTTCATAGAACACACAACACTATTTTACTCTTAAATCACATTATCATCAATAATCTGTGAAATAAGCGCAGATTACAATACAGTCTGTCGGCTATACCCTTACTCGTGGTTCAGTTTTTGAACGTATACCACCTGTCTTACAAATAAACTGAAATGCTGTTGTTGCTGTTTGTATATTAGCGATTTAACGAGCGTGATAAACATATCCGACGTGTGTAACCTGAGACTTTCCCCCCACATTTAGTTAACATGTCACGCTACTGTAGAAATACTGTTAAAAAATCACCCATTCACTCACTCATGAGTGAGTGAGTTGGGTTTAACGCCGCTATTAACAGTATTCCAGTTTTATCACGGCGTGTCAGCTTAATATGGGAGGAAAGCCCGAAGTGATGCAGGTCTCAGACGTTTACCACTTCGGTGAAACCCACGAACACGGGTATGGTGCTGACAAACTTAGAAACATAATCGGGGCGAACCGGGATTCGAACCCACAATCATAGGTTTCTGGCGTGCCCATGGGACGCAACACAGCGAATCGCGGCGCCTGAGACTACTGAGACTACTCGGTTAAATTTTTTTTAGCCCGTAATGGGGTGACCCTGGTCTGTTGAACCGGAAGCAGATGACAAGGGAAAGTTTAAGGTCGATTTAACCTAGTAGTTCTGTTCGCGTCAGTTCCATTGAGTTGCCGTGTTGTATCGTGTTACTATTGAATGCTACTATGATAGCGTGAATAAGTAAGTCATTACGATAATTACATCCCAGCAATATCACGCAGGTACAAGGAATCGGCTTTACATTTTAAGTCATGATGGGAATCGAACCAGGGTCATCAATGTAACGAGCTGACGAGCTTTCCAGATTTACCTCCGCTCCGATGCTTGGACTCGAGCCTAGGCCGTCAGCATGGAGAGCAAGCGCTCTAACCACTAGGCTACCCTACAATCGTGCTGAACTGATGTTCATCAGACAGACAGACAGACAGACAAATATATTATTATCGTCTCATAAAAACATGCAGTTTATACATAAAAATAACAATACAGCGCCACTCAATGATACATACAAATAGAAATATTTACCCATTTAACAAAAAATTAATAGAAAGCAAATGTACCTCATGTTTAAAAAAGGACACACAACTCATTGTTGGACAGGTATAAATAAGGTAAAATAAGATCATCGTATAATGTACATTGAAATGATCATCGTCACTATGATCATTACAGTTAAAACACACTCTGTCTTCAACATTTAAGTTTGCATATCTGCCTGTTTCGATTCTTAAAGGTGCAATACTGCATCTAAAAGTGGCAAAGACAGAACGGTAAGTTCGGGGCATACAGCTCTTGACATAGTTGTCACAGTTAAAACAATCTCTAAAAATGGATGTACGGACCCTGCCTGTACCAGAATTAACATTATTTCCCCCACAATGTTGGGACTCAAATCTATGGGAAACTGGATGGGACATTCTCACGATTTCGTATTCTCGCATTTTTGGCATATTTAGCTAATTTTTAAAAAGGTCAAGATCGCGAGAATGTCCCTTTCAGGATTCCATACATTCCATACATTTCCTTCATCCCGAATCGTGCGCATGAAGACAAGACCCGGTTGTGTGAAACAACAGGACACGGTCTTTATTATCGCCCTAACACAACACAACACCATATCGATCTATAACTCAGAGCTTTCCTTAAGTTAAAGCCGTGTTGCATATTTTATAACACAGATAAACAGTCGTCAGTTACAGAACCAACGTTTAGTCAATCTGGAAAGGGCACATGTGCATATATGAGTTCTTGGAACGCGTCTTCGTCATCCTTTATGACATGCCCAATCCAGGATGAGGGTGTAAGGAGGTTCTTTTGCTTGTGAATTATTCACAATATCAACCTTTCAGCCCTGCAAATGTTTCCTTTCGATCAATAGTAAAGCCCATCACCATTTGGATGAGATACAGAGCCCTGTAGCTCAAATTTTAGTGTCATGAATATTCTGTTGTAATACTTAGTGATTTCAACGTTGTCAGTGAGTGGGCCTGTTATTATGGAGTTTGAATTTGAAATGTTCAGAATCATTTATGTAATTGGTAACATACCGTCCATGTAGTTTTCTCGACAGACAGTTTTCGTTTTTGGGGTTTATGGATTTTGATTTCAAAAGATGAAAATTAACATGATAGAAACTTATAAATTGATCATAAAGCTTTACACAGTATGAGTATCATAGGACTACTAAATCTACTTGCACCTTCTAATTAATACAATTATTAGTGGAATAAATGGGAATAAATCCACGCTAAAAGTTAATACCATTTCTCGTTCGGTCATTCTGTAAACCATTCTATAACTAGCTACGGTAGTCCAGCAGTAACTGTCCTGTTTTCACCAAGCTCGGTTGGTTCTATTCCTTTTACAGTTTGACGCTTCTGAGGATTCCAGATTAGAATAGGAACCAATCTTTGTACCAAAAAGCGACTAAATAGACATGTGACGTGTCATCGTACCCCGAAGCCGTGGTCCTTTGTTAAAAATGTCAATCACTGGATTGTCTGGTCGATTATATACAGGCCGACGTGATACTGTTGTTTTATTACTGAATGTCGCTTTAAACAGCTGACTCAGTCTACAGTTAGTAAAGACGTTATCTAAGACTTCATGTCCAAAGAGAGCGTGAAAACAACAGGTGCAGATAAGTCCTCAAAGCTTTAAAATGCTTCGCACATTATGTGCCTAGCTTCTGAAAATTAAATGGTACACGATGTGTTTTGTTATAGCATCACAGCATTGTTCATCGCCAGAATACGGCAACGCATATCCCGAAATGTCTGTTCATCCTCCAACGAAATAAAGAAACTGAGTTTCAAATAAAAGCGACAAAACCCCTTTCATGTCCATAAGAAATCACAAACACATGCAAAGGCATGTCAATTGTTCACCTGAAAAAAGAACAGGAGCATGTGTTTGAATTGGCGGATCCGTAAACTAAAAACCAAAAAAGGTGGCCAGGCAGTCACTGTGGATTTTTTCCTCATTCAGTCAATAGTAGAATTCATTGGTGGTTTGACGTCCCTGAACGAGTATTGATATAACATTGATACAAGCAGGGAGAAACCCAAAGCCTACCAACAAACGTTTCTCCTTAAAAATCTTTTGCGCGAAAATGCTAGATCCTGGTGGTAAAATGGAACAGATAATCGTACTATTAGTTTTATTTACAATGGTAGAAGATAACAAAGTGTGCTGGGTGTCACCCAAGTGAAGGAAAGCCTGTTCGTTGTCCAGTCATGGTCCCAAATGCGTTCTTCACAGCGTTCATGAGAGGGAAAGCTTTGCCACAGATGCTCTTGAAGTCGTCCATGTCCAGGGCCCACACCATCACGCCGCCAAAACCGTTGTCGATGACGTATTTCACCTACAATGCAAACCACATCAGTTACTGTCTGGATAATTTAAGATCATGATTAAAAATTTACAGTGAATTACCTTTGGTATTTCTCACCTCCAAACAATCTTAAGTTTTCAAAGTTAGTTTAGAGTATCGAATTATTATATTTTGTCCCTATTGTATAATTTAGGATCAAATTGAATTTCCATATTCGACTTGCCCCGAAATGACACGATATGTCACGAATCTTGCAATCTAACACATGATGATTATTGTTATGATTATTATTGCAATATTGTTCCAATTTACTGTTCAAATGTGATGGAAGTGCATTCAGAAACGTATTCATTCGAAACTTACGATTCATACGACGTACGTTCAATTGGTATATAGATATTGTGTCGCCCAGTCACTCACACAACCGCATGAACTAAATGTTGCCTTTCGCATAAGTAAATTTCGAAATAGTTCATGCTTTATCAAGTTCGATACAATTTGCGAGAGTAAGGAAAAACAAAACAGCAAACATATTATGCATGAATCAGGGCATGATATGCATAGAAATGTCAATTGTACGATTTCGGCTATACTGGTATGATAAGCATGTGATGAATCACTATTAAGCAGTGATGATACCAGGTGTTCGCGAAAAGGTGAGCTTATCTTGTTATACGATATTGATATAAATAAGCACAGTAAATAACTTATAAACATTCAAACTCATCTTTATAATTGAATGTTTCAAAAGGAAAGAGATAATTAATATAGATTATTTAACTACACACAGAGGTGAATACTGCTGAAGCTTGTCAGACCACCGAGGGTCGCCCTACCTTCGCCGCCAGACTCTTCTCATCATCATAGCCAACCCACTGGTTCTTGCTGACCAGGAAGGGCACCTTCTGTGCGTCGATACGCTGACCAGTGGCGCCGTCCTGCAGGATCTTGCACACCTGCATACAGGAACACCACTGAGTGTACTTTCAATTACAGTGGATGCTTTTGTGTTACATTTTGTTATTATATAGCTGATGGCATTCTTACAACCACTTTATATGCACGCTACACCCACTTCCCTCTTACCTCATAGTACGTCAGTGTCCCACTCTCCCCACTCTGCTCACAGTACGCTAATGTCCCCATCACCTCACAGTACGCTAATGTCCCGATCACCTCACAGTACGCTAGCGTCCCACTCATCTCACAGCACGCTAGCGTCCCACTCAATTCACAGTAAGCTAACCTCTTATGTCACACTCACCTCACAGCACGCTAACCTCTTATGTCACACTCACCTCACAGTACGCTAATGTGTCTCTCACAGTACGCTAACCTCTTATGTCCTACTCACCTCACAGTACGCTAACCTCTTATGTCACTCTCACCTCACAGTACGCTAACCTCTTATGTCACATTCACCTCACAGTACGGTAACCTCTTATGTCACTCTCACCTCACAGTACGCTAACCTCTTATGTCACACTCACCTCACAGTACCCTAACCTCTTATGTCACACTCACCTCACAGTTCGCTAACCTCTTATGTCACACTCACCTCACAGTACGCTAACCTCTTATGTCACACTCACCTCACAGTACGCTAATCTCTTATGTCACACTCACCTCACAGTACGCTAACCTCTTATGTCACACTCACCTCACAGTACGCTAATCTCTTATGTCACACTCACCTCACAGTACGCTAACCTCTTATGTCACACTCACCTCACAGTACGCTAATCTCTTATGTCACACTCACCTCACAGTACGCTAACCTCTTATGTCACACTCACCTCACAGTACGCTAATCTCTTATGTCACACTCATCTCACAGTACGCTAACCTCTTATGTCATACTCATCTCACAGTACGCTAACCTCTTTTGTCACACTCACCTCTCAGTACGCTAACCTCTTATGTCACACTCAGCTCACAGTACGCTAACCTCTTATGTCACACTCACCTCACAGTACGCTAACCTCTTATGTCACACTAACCTAACAGTACGCTAACCTCTTATGTCACACTCACCTCACAGTACGCTAACCTCTTATGTCACACTCATCTCACAGTACGCTAACCTCTTATGTCACACTCACCTCACAGTACCCTAACCTCTTATGTCACACTCACCTCACAGTACGCTAACCTCTTATGTCACACTCATCTCACAGTACGCTAATGTCACACTCACCTCTCAGTACGCTAATGTCACACTCACCTCACAGTACCCTAACCTCTTATGTCACACTCACCTCTCATTACGCTAATGTGTCTCTCACCTCACAGCACGCTAATGTCCCACACACCTCACAGAACGCTAGCGTCCCACTCACCTCACAGTACGCTAATGTCCCACTCACCCCACAGCACGCTAATGTCCCACTCACCAAACAGTACGCTAATGTCCCACTCACCTCACAGTACGCTAATGTCCCACTCACCCCACAGCACGCTAGCGTCCCACTCACCAAATAGTACGCTAATGTCCCACTCACCTCACAGTACGCTAACCGCTGATGTCCCGATCACCTCACAGCACGCTAGCGTCCCACTCACCTCACAGTACGCTAGCGTCCCACTCAACTCACAGCACGCTAGCGTCCCACTCACCTCACAGTACGCTAGCGTCCCACTCACCTCACAGCACGCTAGCGTCCCACTCACCTCACAATACGCTAGCGTCCCACTCACCTCACAGCACGCTAGCGTCCCACTCACCTCACAGTACGCTAGCGTCCCACTCACCTCACAGTACGCTAACCGCTGATGTCCCGATCACCTCACAGCACGCTAGCGTCCCACTCACCTCACAGCACGCTAGCGTCCCACTCACCTCACAGCACGCTAGCGTCCCACTTACCTCACAGTAAGCTAGCGTCCCACTCACCTCACAATACGCTAGCGTCCCACTCACCTCACAGCACGCTAGCGTCCCACTCACCTCACAGTAAGCTAGCGTCCCACTTACCTTACAGTACGCTAGCGTCCTACTAACCTCACAGCACGCTAGCTTCCCACTCACCAAATAGTACGCTAATGTCCCACTCACCTCACAGTACGCTAGCGTCCCACTCACCTCACAGCACGCTAGCGTCCCACTCACCTCACAATACGCTAGCGTCCCACTCACCTCACAATACGCTAGCGTCCCACTCACCTCACAATACGCTAGCGTCCCACTCACCTCACAGTAAGCTAGCGTCCCACTCACCTCACAGCACGCTAGCGTCCCACTTACCTCACAGTAAGCTAGCGTCCCACTCACCTCACAGCACGCTAGCGTCCCACTTACCTCACAGTACGCTAATGTCCCACTCACCTCACAGTACGCTAGCGTCCCACTCACCTCACAGCACGCTAGCGTCCCACTCACCTCACAGCACGCTAGCGTCCCACTCACCTCACAGTACGCTAGCGTCCCACTCACCTCACAGTACGCTAGCGTCCCACTCACCTCACAGTACGCTAGCGTCCCACTCACCTTACAGTACGCTAGCGTCCTACTCACCTCACAGTACGCTAGCTTCCCACTCACCAAATAGTACGCTAATGTCCCACTCACCTCACAGTACGCTAACCGCTGATGTCCCACTCACCTCACAATACGCTAGCGTCCCACTCACCTCACAGCACGCTAGCGTCCCACTTACCACATAGTACGCTAATGTCCTACTCACCTCACAGCACGCTAGCGTCCCACTCACCTCACAGCACGCTAATGTCCTACTCACCTCACAGCACGCTAATGTTCCTCTCACCTCACAGCACGCTAGCGTCCCACACACCTCACAGTACGCTAGCGTCCTACACACCTCACAGCACGCTAGCGTCCCACTTACCTCACAGTACGCTAGCGTCCCACTCAACTCACAGTACGCTAGCGTCCCACTCAACTCACAGTGCGCTAATGTCCCACTCACCTCATAGTATGCTAGTGTTCCACTGTGTCTCGTGTAGTTGCCTGCATTGCCAGGCCCAGTCACAGTCCCCCCAGATAGTGTGTACGTCCGGCCGTAGAAGGGGAGCCCCAACAGAATCTTGTCCCTGGGAACGCCCAACCTTGTCCAAAACGTGGCCGCGAAGGCCTGCACAGAACGTTCAGAATAGCAACAATGAAGGTTACGTCGAGTGTATTTACGGCGTCTGAGTATTTGCCTTATGGCCAGGAAGGAACATGTAATTATGTACCCAGGAGCCCAAGCTTTGCTCCCATTCATGACAACTCGTCCACTCGTGCCACTCATGTGACCTTTTCATCAACTTCGCCATTCGTCACCACTCGTCCCTTTCCGTAACCTGCATAAAGACTCGTCCCCTATCGTTGAATGTTATGTGCGAAAATACGACAAACCAATCAAAATGCGCGTATGACTTCAGGTACTTAAAAATAGCATCTGGAATATTTATGAGATATTTTGGGGAAATATACATAAATCATTATGCAACGAGTTAACAGTTCGTTTAGTTATGACTTTTTGCGCTTAGACGGTAACCAGTCGCAAAAATGACCACGAGAGGGTTACGAGTCGCTATTCGGCTTGTCCCGGAATAACACCAGTTGGTCACGAATGCAAACGCGCGAACGGTCATTGCGAAAACGTGTACCACATCCGGCATTACTTGGATATGTAAGTATATAATAAATTAATGTTTAAATTACAACCGCATTTTATCCAGTATATATGCTGTTACTTTGGTATAATTTCAGATACAAACGATGCCTTTAAACAAACATTTTCAAGGAAGGACTCAAGGACCAAAGTACTTATAATCATTCTGATCGATGGCCTCCTTGCAGGTTACGGAAAGGGACGAGTGGTGATGAATGAACGTGCGTGGCCGCGTAGTCATGCACATAACTTTCAGATAAAAACGATTGTGGTTTTACTTCATTTTAAAATGAGCCTGTAGCAGCCGAACCATGCTGTTACCAAGCAACAAGAAGCTTTACTTACGACGTTGTTGATCACGTCGGTGGGCGTGCCGTAGAGGGCGGAGTGGTGAGCTGGCGTCTTCATCTCCTCCCAGTGCCCATGCATGTCGTACGTCATCAAGCTGATCAGATCCAGGTAACTGAAGATAATTGAAACATGGAGGCAACGTGGCTTGACGTCCTAATTGGCGTTAGTACAGATATAGTAGTCAGAGAGGAAACTGCCCCCCGGAAATACACCTTAAGCCAGGAGGCCAGCAACAACAATGTATGGACCTTGATTTCGCGGCAGTACTACCCGGACTACACACCAGTACTGACCTGGCGAGAACAGCGTTTGGGTGGGGACTACACACTAGTACTGACCTGACGAGGACAGTGTATGGGTCAGGACTACACATCAGTACTGACATGACGAGGACAGTGTATTGGGCAGGTTCACACACCAGTACTGACCTGGTGATGACAATGTATGGGTCGGGACTACACATCAGTACTGTCCTGGCGAGGACAGAATATGGGGCGGGACTACACATCAGTACTGACCTCACGAGGACAGTGTATGGGTCAGGACTACACATCAGTACTGACATGACGAGGACAGTGTATTGGGCAGGTTCACACACCAGTACTGACCTGGTGATGACAATGTATGGGTCGGGACTACACATCAGTACTGTCCTGGCGAGGACAGAATATGGGGCGGGACTACACATCAGTACTGACCTCACGAGGACAGTGTATGGGTCAGGACTACACATCGGTACTGACCTGACGAGGACAGTGTATGGGGCGGGACTACACACCAGTACTGACCTGACGAGGACAGTGTATGGGTCGGGACTACACTCCAGTACTGACCTGGTGAGGACAGTGTATGGGTGGGACTACATGACAGTACTGACCTGGCGAGGACAGTGTATTGGGCAGGATCACACACCAGTATTGACCTGACGAGGACAGTGTATGGGTCGGGACTACGCACCAGTACTGACCTCACGAGGACAGTGTATGGGGTGGGACTACATGACAGTACTGACCTGGCGAGGACAGTGTATTGGGAAGGATCACACACCAGTACTGACCTCACGAGGACAGTGTATGGGGTTGGACTACACATCAGTACTGACTTAGCGAGGACAGTGTATTGGGCGGGACCACACACCAGTACTGACCTGGTGATGACAATGTATGGGTCGGGACTACACATCAGTACTGTCCTGGCGAGGACAGAATATGGGGCGGGACCACACACCAGTACTGACCTGGTGATGACAATGTATGGGGCGGAACTACACACCAGTACTGACATGACGAGGACAGTGTATGGGTCGGGACTACACATCAGTACTGACCTGACGAGGACAGTGTATGGGGCGGGACTACACACCAGTACTTACCTGACGAGGACCGTGTATGGGCGGGACTACACATCAGTACTGACCTGGCGAGTTTGGCTGGCTCGTACGATAGGCTGACCCGAAAGGGGTCTGGGGACAAGGCAGCAGTCAGCAGGAGTCTGTCTTTGCCGGTCCGAGACGCATCGGTGTTAAAAGCCTGACGTATTAGCTTCAAAACAAATGGAGAGTTATACAATCATACTTAAGGCTTTTAATTATGTGCCTATTTTCAATATAAATGTTATCTGCACAACAATGATGCAATATTTGTCAATTATAATTCCTTATGAAAGGGCATTTACATTTGTTATTTTACGCTGCATGCAGCAAATGTCCAGCTATTTAACGATTAATTATGTTTTGATGTTACGTTCACCTGAATCATCCTTGTGAAGCGTTGCCTGTCAGATGGGGAACTTCCTCTAGCTGCCGGAAATTCCCAATCTACGTCAAGACCGTCAAAATTTCGGCTACGCAGAAAGTTAATGGCGTTTCCAGCAAAAGTGTTGATGTTTTTGTCAGTGGAGACGAGACTACTGAAAACTTTGGGATTGCCATCCCAACCTCCAACAGATACAAGTAGTTTCAGGTTAGGATCTTTTTTCTTCAGATTCGTAAAACGTTTGTACCTTGAAACATAAACCGGATAAATATACATTGACATTATAATTAATATATCATATGTGACGCAACACAGAGCCCCATCGGTTATTACGGGTCAGACACGGCCCAAGCGTGTTGTAGGATCCGATAAAATGTGAATTGGATGGTCACAATGACTGACTTAGCCTTGCGCAGACCCCTTTATTAATAGGCTGCTTCTTATTACTATAGTGAACCTGTCATAAAGCTATAGGATTCCCGATTCTTTCATACTGCTGTGGTTAATCTGTCATGTCACGACAGATTAACTACAATAATATGAAAGAAGCTTGTGTTCTTTAACCTTTTTGAGTAGTATAGCTTAGACATTGCAGGGTAATTCCCGTTCTGGAGTCAACGTTCAGCTAACGGGTAATGGCTTACCTGAAAAGTTAACAATCGTAAGCGTTTTAGATCCAACATGTTCAGGGTCTAAAAGCAAAATCTTCTTTGTAGTATACTTTTGTATTATTGACGTTATCAGTATAATTAATTTATAAGCTGGAACAAGAACCAAATAAAATATTTTCATGACAATGACTCGTATGGCCTCAGTCGAAGGCTCAGATATGCAATTATCAATATGACGGCAATGTTTTGTTTGGACAATGGTGGCCCAGTGACCGTTGCAATGGGTTCGATTCCCAGATTCAACGTGATTATGATCCTTGGTTTGACGACACCACACTGGTTTCACCAAAGTGTTATACATCTTCAACATGCGTCACTTCAGACTTTCCTCCCATATGAAGCTGACCACAATAGTTGAGTGATTGAGTGAGTTGGGGTTAATGCCGCTTTGAACATTATTTCAGTTATATCTCGGCGTGCCAGCTTCAGTTTGGAGGTGAAGTGGTGAATGATGCAAGTCTAAGATGTTTACCACTTTGGCATGGGCATGTGCTGACAAACTTGGAAACATAATCAGGACAAATGTGTATTTCGAACGGTCACATGATTCTGGTACACCTAAGGGACGCAACTCTGATCCTCGAATTCGACGCCCTCGAAGACAGGGCAACCTGTGCCCCCGGAGCTTAGTGTAGTAGATATATGAAAAGACACGTACATGACTGGGTCGGACCAGAGATCGGCGGAGATAAGTTTAGTTCCGGAATCGTCCACGTTGGCGAAGGCGTAGGCGAGGTGTGTGCACAGGTTGACACCGACGTCTTCGGGGTTGAAGGCCACGGGGTCGGCACGGTAACGTGCCCAGCTGGCTAAGTAGCAGAACCGCTGATATTTCACCGCTGTTGATGAAGAGAACAAACTACGCTCCGGGTTTTCTACATTTGAATTACAAGTGTTATCGTTTTGTTACACTGTACATGTCAAGATTGTACGACAAATTTACACCACATATACAATGGGGCCATTATTAATGTTAGTTTAAAGATTAATTCAACCATATTCGAATTTCCAAATATGTCCCCATGTGCCGAAACAAGTTTGATTTTGGGGACGGGTATTTCGAAAATGTTCAAATATACATGTATTCAGAGAATTTTTTCTAAGGTAAAATCCAAATGATCTATTCTGTCTATCAAAATGAAAAGAGCAAGTATTCTAGAGCACCGGGCGTACTTGTAAATAATAGCGACAAAACCCATTCCATACTCATAAAGAATCCCTGCGAAAGGAGGGTATTGTATGATTCCATATGTTTCTATAGTAAATATATACTAATTGAATTTCGCGTGCTAGTTTATTTGATAGTGATTCATAAACACGTGCACGTAGTATAGTCGGAATCATACTTGTCTCGCATTTATAACAGTTTTGCATACAAACTATTTAAAATAGATCATGAAAGATCGCGATTATTAATTAACGAAGATGGCTGCATGTGTGCTAATCCTACAAAATGAAAAAACAAGCCACTCCGGCGATAAGGAATTTTACTTACAGGAATAACAAAAATGGGAAAGTGCGCTTTTAAAACATATCCAGATTGTTAGCAATAAACGATATCATTGAGTTTAGATCGCGTGGTTACATTCCGGGTAAGGGTCGACAGTCGGGTGACGGCGAGCGGTTATATTAAAGTGCAGGTGCTGATCTACAACTGCGTCATCACTATTTGATGGAAATGCTGCACTTTGTTACGGTCGCCACGGGTGATGCACGATGCGTTCACCTTTTCCCGAACACCTGGTGTCATCACTATTGATGGGGATTCATGAAAACCTGCTCACGATGTAGTCGGAATCGTATAATCGATTTCTTACGAATATGGAAAGGGTTTGTCGCTTTTATTTATTGAAAGACACGTTCAGATATTCTCGTGTGTGTATGCTCGTGTGTCAACAAAACATGTACATTTCACACTGCCGGGGGCCATGTGGCATGACATCACATGCACTGGCCCAGGTCGATGTTACAGGTCTCGTATTAACCCCATTGACAGTGTTAGCGGGGAAGTGGTTGAAAGTACAGATAGTTTATGTAGACAGAATTATCACATGATCATCAACAATTCTGAATTGATATTATCATCTTGGTCTCGTATTAACACTATTGACAGTGTTAGCGGGGAAGTGGTTGAAAAGACAGATAGCTTATGAAGACAGAATTATCACATGATCATCAACAATTCTGAATTTATATTATTATCTAGTTATGTAATGGTATATAGTTGTAGAGTGTGGTATGAATACCATTTGACTAAATTGTACAAACACAACATTAAGTTACCTTCCAAACTGTAACTTACCATGGGCCTGCCATGCTACCAGCAAGAGTGTAAACTGCATCCGCGACCACATCCCACAACAACTGAACAGGCTGAAAACAAATGTTAATATATTCAACCGCGGCCTTAACAGTATCTCTCAGTTTAGTTTAAACCAGTTTTTCAAACAAATATTTCAGTTATTTTTACAAAGTGAAAATACTGCCGACATGAGTAAGAAGTGACTTGACACTCTTTTCGTCGCGCCCCGAGTAACCAAGTTGATCCTTTTCATGTGTCTAATATGGACGCGACATGCGTCACATTGCTACGGAAGGCAAAGGGCACTACACTAAGCTGCGTATGTGAGATAAATGAGCGAGTAGTGACTAGTCGATTTTAGCAATATTCCAGCAATATCACGGCTTGGGTAAGAGAAATAGGCATTATAATTAGACACTGCACCTATGTGTGAAATCGAACCCGATTCTTTTACGCACGGCCAAATGTTGTAACCACGGAGCTAAACCGTTGCCGTTGAAGAGTCTGTGTTGAATAATAATGACAACATCATGCTTAGTGCTCTATGTATTTGTTTACAACCGTTTTACTCACGTTTAAGTGCAAAGATAGATTGATATATGATGCAATAAAAACTAAATGTTTTTTTGTTATAATTCTGTGCACCCATGTTACCAGTAAAATGGGTTGATCAATATGCCTACTTTGTCTAAACAGCACAACCACTCATTCCTGACTATACCTGGTTTATCTAATTGCTACTGTTCACCTGTTCTTTAAAATAAGACGAAGAAGGATGGTACCTAGCTGATATAGTTTTGACTGGGGCGCACAATAATTAATAACTCACGCAACATTTGATTCTTTTAAATGTAAATTAATCACAATTACAAGAAAGAAACCCCGAAGAGTGTGAGTGTGTGAGTGAGTTAGGTTCCACACCATCTTTAACAGTAATCCAACAATATCACAGCGGGGGATACCAGACACGTGCTTCACACATTGTACCGATGTAGGGAATCGAACCCGGACCTTAGACGTGACGAGAGAACGCTTTCACTACCAGGCTGACGTACCACCCTGAAACCCCGAAGCCCCTCTACTGACCGATAAAACATACCTGTGTATCTGTGGTGAAACCGGCTGTATGGCGAATCTGTAAATTGTATTCTGAGTGTGATCCCCTGTCATGGGTGCGGCCAGACAGAACACACTGCTCTGCGTGTCGGTAACACTAAACCGTACATATCATATGGGGAAGTTTTTAAAGTTCCGTGTTTATCGTTGAACTTTTCCTTGAAGTATGTGGCACTTCAACTAACAAGAACGCTTTCCTGCTATCATTGTAACTTAGCTCATTTGGATGTCGCATGAACGTCGTCATATGTATATGAATTAACTGCAAGTGATTCCATGGTATTTCATTGTCTAACTAAGAAATTTATTATGCGTTTATGTTGCGTATATAAAAACATAAATGAATAAATATATATAAATATCAGACCTTGCCCACTAGCGGACTACTGTTTCCTGATTGACTGATGAAAGAGTTGGCGAGGGTTTTGTTGCATGAAACGATGTCACTGATTTCGCATCGGTGTCCACGGTGTCTTTTGTAAAAAACATAAGTCTATGCAATTATAATTGTTGATGTATTTTCTTCAAAATATTTGATTTCAATATGTCTTTTGCGTTTATGGAGGTGTTAAGTTACACACCAAACTATTTTTTTAACTCTCTGATGTTCAGTTCTACAGCATCCTTTGAAGTTTTACCTGTCACATGTTTAGTTACACAAGATGCTTTGAATTGTACCTCTCTGATGTCTAGCTACACACCATGTTATGACATTTTACACCTCTGATGTTAAGTTACACACCATGTTATGATATTTTAGATTTCTGATGTTAAGTTACACAACATCTTATGACATTTTACACCTCTGATGTTAAGTTACACACCATGTTATGACATTTTACACCTCTGATGTCTAGCTACACACCATGTTATGACATTTTACACCTCTGATGTTAAGTTACACACCATCTTATGACATTTTACACCTCTGATGTTAAGTTACACACCATGTTATGACATTTTACACCTCTGATGTTAAGTTGCACATCATGTTATGACATTTTACACCTCTGATGTTAAGTTGTACACCAGGTTATGACATTTTACACCTCTGATGTTAAGTAACACACAATGTTATGATATTTAACACCTCTGATGTTAAGTTACACACAATGTTATGATATTTTACGCCTCTGATGTTAAGTTGCACACCATGTTATGATATTTTACACCTCTGATGTTACGTTACACACCATGTTATGATATTTTACCTCTCTGATGTCTAGTTACACACCATGTTATGATATTTTACCTCTCTGATGTCTTGTTACACACCATGCTATGATATTTTACCTCTGATGTCTACTTACACACCATGCTATGACATTTTACACCTCTGATGTTAAGTTGCACACCATGTTATGATATTTTACACCTCTGATGTTAAGTTGCACACCATGTTATGACATTTTACACCTCTGATGTTAAGTTACACACCATGTTATGACATTTTACACCTCTGATGTCTAGCTACACACCATGTTATGACATTTTACACCTCTGATGTAAAGTTACACACCATGTTATGACATTTTAGATTTCTGATGTTAAGTAACACACCACCTTATGACATTTTACACCTCTGATGTTAAGTTACACACCATGTTATGACATTTTACACCTCTGATGTTAAGTTGCACATCATGTTATGACATTTTACACCTCTGATGTTAAGTTGTACACCAGGTTATGACATTTTACACCTCTGATGTTAAGTAACACACAATGTTATGATATTTAACACCTCTGATGTTAAGTTACACACAATGTTATGATATTTTACACCTCTGATGTTTAGTTGCACACCATGTTATGATATTTTACACCTCTGATGTTAAGTTACACACCATGTTATGATATTTTACCTCTCTGATGTCTAGTTACACACCATGTTATGATATTTTACCTCTCTGATGTCTTGTTACACACCATGCTATGATATTTTACCTCTGATGTCTACTTACACACCATGCTATGACATTTTACACCTCTGATGTTAAGTTGCACACCATGTTATGATATTTTACACCTCTGATGTTAAGTTGCACACCATGTTATGACATTTTACACCTCTGATGTTAAGTTACACACCATGTTATGACATTTTACACCTCTGATGTCTAGCTACACACCATGTTATGACATTTTACACCTCTGATGTAAAGTTACACACCATGTTATGACATTTTAGATTTCTGATGTTAAGTAACACACCACCTTATGACATTTTACACCTCTGATGTTAAGTTACACACCATGTTATGACATTTTACACCTCTGATGTTAAGTTGCACATCATGTTATGACATTTTACACCTCTGATGTTAAGTTGTACACCAGGTTATGACATTTTACACCTCTGATGTTAAGTAACACACAATGTTATGATATTTAACACCTCTGATGTTAAGTTACACACAATGTTATGATATTTTACACCTCTGATGTTTAGTTGCACACCATGTTATGATATTTTACACCTCTGATGTTAAGTTACACACCATGTTATGATATTTTACCTCTCTGATGTCTAGTTACACACCATGTTATGATATTTTACCTCTCTGATGTCTTGTTACACACCATGCTATGATATTTTACCTCACTGATGTCTAGTTACACACCATGCTATGACATTTTACACCTCTGATGTTAAGTTGCACACCATGTTATGATATTTTACACCTCTGATGTCTACTTACACACCATGCTATGACATTTTACACCTCTGATGTCTAGTTACACACCATGCTATCATATTTTACCTCACTGATGTCTAGTTACACACCATGCTATGATATGTTACCTCTCTGATGTCAAGTTACACACCATGCTATGATATTTTACCTCTCTGATGTCTAGTTACACCCCAGCTATGATATTTTACCTCTGATGTCTAGTTACACACCATGCTATGATATTTTACCTTTCTGATGTCTAGTTACACACCATGCTATGATATTTTACCTCTGATGTTAAGTTACACACCATGCTATTATATTTTACCTCTGATGTCTAGTTACACCCCAGCTATGATATTTTACCTCTGATGTCTAGTTACACACCATGCTATGATATTTTACCTCTCTGATGTCAAGTTACACACCATGCTATGATATTTTACCTCTGATGTCTAGTTACACACCATGCTATGATATTTTACCTCACTGATGTCTAGTAACACACCATGCTATGATATTTTACCTCTGATGTCTAGTTATACACCATGCTATGATATTTTACCTCACTGATGTCTAGTTACACACTATGCTATGATATTTTACATCTCTGATGTCTAGTTACACACCATGCTATGATATTTTACCACTGATGTCTAGTTACACACCATGCTATGATATGTTACCTCTGATGTCTAGTTACACACCATGCTATGATATGTTACCTCTCTGATGTCTAGTTACACACCATACTATCATATTTTACCTCACTGATGTCTAGTTACACACCATGCTATGATATGTTACCTCTCTGATGTCTAGTTACACACCATGCTATGATATTTTACCTCTCTGATGTCTAGTTACACCCCAGCTATGATATTTTACCTCTGATGTCTAGTTACACACCATGCTATGATATTTTACCTCTCTGATGTCTAGTTACACACCATGCTATGATATGTTACCTCTCTGATGTCAAGTTACACACCATGCTATGATATGTTACCTCTCTGATGTCTAGTTACACACCATGCTATGATATTTTACCTCACTGATGTCTAGTTACACACCATGCTATGATATGTTACCTCTGATGTCAAGTTACACACCATGCTATGATATTTTACCTCTGATGTCTAGTTACACACCATGCTATGATATTTTACCTCTGATGTCTAGTTACACACCATGCTATGATATTTTACCTCTCTGATGTCTAGTTACACACCATGCTATGATATTTTACCTCTCTGATGTCTAGTTACACACTATGCTATGATATTTTACCTCTGATGTCTAGTTACACATCATGCTATGATATTTTACCTCTGATGTCTAGTTACACACAATGCTATGATATTTTACCTCTCTGATGTCTAGTTACACACCATGCTTTGATATTTTACCTCTGATGTCTAGTTACACACCATGCTATGATATTTTACCTCTGATGTCTAGTTACACCCCAGCTATGATATTTTACCTCTGATGTCTAGTTACACACCATGCTATGATATTTTACCTCTGATGTCTAGTTACACACAATGCTTTGATATTTTACCTCTCTGATGTCTAGTTACACACCATGCTATGATATTTTACCTCTGATGTCTAGTTACACACCATGCTATGATATTTTACCTCTGATGTCTAGTTACACACAATGCTATGATATTTTACCTCTCTGATGTCTAGTTACACACCATGCTTTGATATTTTACCTCTGATGTCAAGTTACACACCATGCTATGATATTTTATTTCTGATGCCTAGTTACACACCATGCTATGATATTTTACCTCTGATGTCTAGTTACACACCATGCTATGATATTTTACCTCTGATGTCAAGTTACACACCATGCTATGATATTTTACCTCTCTGATGTCTAGTTACACCCCAGCTATGATATTTTACCTCTGATGTCTAGTTACACAGCATGCTATGATATGTTACCTCTCTGATGTCTAGTTACACACCATGCTATGATATTTTACCTCACTGATGTCTAGTTACACACCATGCTATGATATGTTACCTCTCTGATGTCAAGTTACACACCATGCTATGATATTTTACCTCTGATGTCTAGTTACACACCATGCTATGATATTTTACCTCTCTGATGTCTAGTTACACACCATGCTATGATATGTTACCTCTCTGATGTCAAGTTACACACCATGCTATGATATTTTACCTCTCTGATGTCAAGTTACACACCATGCTATGATATTTTACCTCTGATGTCTAGTTACACACCATGCTATGATATTTTACCTCTGATGTCTAGTTACACACCATGCTATGATATTTTACCTCTGATGTCTAGTTACACACCATGCTATGATATTTTACCTCTGATGTCTAGTTACACACCATGCTATGATATTTTACCTCTGATGTCTAGTTACACACCATGCTATGATATTTTACCTCTCTGATGTCTAGTTACACACCATGCTATGATATGTTACCTCTCTGATGTCAAGTTACGCACCATGCTATGATATGTTACCTCTCTGATGTCAAGTTACACACCATGCTATGATATTTTACCTCTCTGATGTCAAGTTACACACCATGCTATGATATTTTACCTCACTGATGCCTAGTTACACACCATGCTATGATATGTTACCTCTCTGATGTCTAGTTACACACCATGCTATGATATTTTACCTTTATGGTATTTGTGTAGTTACACATCAAATTATGATATTTTGTCTGTGAAATATTTGGTCACGACTGGGTTTTTGTGTGATATTTGGTCACTAATGATTTATCTCTGTCATGAAAATAACACAAATGTGCTGTATCATCATTGGGATTTGTTTTCTCAACTTTATCATGTCGGTGGTCAAAATAATAATAACTTATCAGAACATTGTTTTATGAAGTGGTCTCTTGAAAGTATGATAGATGGGTTGAAAGGTTTACTGTGATTGGTTTTAACATAAACACGAGAGCTGTTTGATAAGTTGTGAGACACACATAAGAAGTAAAACCTTTTAGGTCAATCAACAACAACTTGAGCAAATTCTTTCGCTGTGACAAGTCAGTAACATAAGCAGGGGTCTCAGAGCTTTGGGAAATGGACAAACATGAGGGGGCATTTCCCAGGACAGAGTACATTCAGTTATCACAGAAGGTTTGGCAATGAAAATGCATCTGCTCGTTGTAGTTTCAAGGCTTCCACCTGTTCCCAAACATTAAGGAAGCTCCAGCTGAACGACTCGAACGATGACGCCAGAGCAGCTATGGAGAACCTTTTGGATAGCCCAAACCTACCAACAAACGTTTCTCCTCAAACCTTCCACGTTATAGTGCTAACTCCTAATGGTACAATGGAACGGATAATCGCTTTATTGGTTTTATTCACACACAAAACATAACAACGTTAGCGCAGGGTCACCCAAATGAAGGAATGACGATTTGTTATCCAATCAAAGTTCCAAATGCGTTCTTCACAGCGTTCATGAGAGGGAAAGCTTTGCCACAGATGCCCTTGAAGTCGTCCATGTCCAGGGCCCACACCATCACGCCGCCAAAACCGTTGTCGATGACGTATTTCACCTACAACGCAAACGAGATGGTGTCTTTAGAATCCTATAACTATTTACGATTGGCACTGAGCTAAAAGAAGACTTTAAAACAACTTGTATATTTGCAAACACTCTCCTATAAAAATACAAAGAAAATACAATCAATTTTCAAACCACACTGCTGTTGTACTGTTGGTGCTATTCCTTTAACTTATGTGATTCGAGTACAACCATGTTACACTTTGATCCCTTATCAAAATACACATCTAATCAGAAGTTTCAAATTACCTTCAATGTGATGATATTGTTATGAAATGACAGTTTTTGTTACTTGTGTATAAATGAGCGGCGGGGTAGCCCAGTGGTTAAAGCGCTCGATGTTTATGTCTATTGTCCGGGTTTGATTCACTCTGTGATCCGAATTCTGGTGTCGCGATATTGCTAAAATATTGCTAAAAGTTGTGTACGACCCAACTCACTCAGTACTTGTGTAAATACTGCTGAAGCTTGTCAGACCACTGAGGGTCGCCCTACCTTCGCCGCCAGACTCTTCTCATCATCATAGCCAACCCACTGGTTCTTGCTGACCAGGAAGGGCACCTTCTGTGCGTCGATACGCTGACCAGTGGCGCCGTCCTGCAGGATCTTGCACACCTGCATACAGGAACACCACTGAGTGTACTTTCAATTACAGTAGTTGCTTTTGTGTTTATCATCTAGCTGATAAATACAACAACAACTTCTACTACTACTATGTATTATTATTATAATTATTATTATTATTAGTAGTAGTAGTAGTAGTAGTAGTAGTATAATAGTTTACAGATTAAAATAAATAATTGCAGCAAAGAGGGTTTGGGTGATCCTGGCACAGTCAGGTTGGTTGGGCTCATCATGAGCTTAAAGGGCAGATGGAATAAGTGTATTGAGGTGAATGGAGATTATATTGAAAAATAAAAGTGAAAAAGATATTCTGCGACTTGGTCTCATATTGAAGTTGCAAAACTTATTGAACGCCCCTCGTATTACGCTTGCATCCCACTAACCTCATAGTTATACTAGCGCCCCACTTTCCTCATTATACGCAAGCGTTTCACTTACTTCATAGTACGCTAGCATCCCACTCACCTCATAGTACGCTTGTGTCCGACTCACCTCACAGTACGCTAGCATCCTACTCACTTCAAAGTACGCTTGTGCCCGACTCTCCTCACAGTACGCTAGCATCCTACTCACCTCAAAGTACGCTTGTATCCGACTCTCCCCACAGTACGCTAGCGCCCCACTCACCTCATATAACGCTTGCATCCCGCTCACCTCATATTACGCTAGCATCCCACTCACCTCATAGTACGCAAGTGTCCCATTATTTCCCGAGTAGATGCCTGCTTTGCCAGGCCCAGTTACATTCCCTCCAGACAGAGTGTAAGTCCGACTGTAGAAGGGGAGCCCCAGGAGAATCTTGTCTTTGGGAACGCCCAGCTGTGCCCAGTACGTGGCAAGGTAGTCCTGCAGAAATCGTTCAGATGAAGCCGAATCGTGTGTTTTTTCACAGTGATCAATATCGAGTTGTGACAATAAGGTTACATCATTCAAATGACTGCTGGTGAAAGAGACAAGAGAGACCGGATCTCAGCGAGACAACAGATATACCTTGACTCATTTAAGCACGATCCCAGCACACTGTAACCATGGCGAGCCCCATGCATTTTACAAGCACAGGGCATTAGTGGCCTCTTTACATTCAATACCACAGGGACTTTCTCTGTTGAAACGCATCAAACTCTTAAAATGATTGTGTCGTCCCTGCTGTGACCACTCACAAGAAGCGTAACTTACGACGTTATAAGTCTTGTCGGTGGGCGTGCCGTAGAGGGCGGAGTGGTGAGCCGCCGTCTGCACCTCCTCCCAACCCCCATGCATGTCGTACGTCATCAGGTTGATGAGATCCAGGTGACTGAAGATAATTGAAACATGAAGGCAGTGGTCGTATTGGAAGTTGGGACAACTCACTCACTCACTCATCAAAGCAAATCCGATTCTTGACTCCATTAAACAAGTGCCGCTCATTGACTGAACTGTTATCAGAATTATTCGACCGTGTTTGCAGGTTTCGGCAAATGGTTCAACACGACCTGCGATGCTTTGGGCTTTCATCTACATTAGTCCTGAGGACAGTGTATTGGGCGGGACTACATACCAGTACTGACCTACCGAGGACAGTGTATTGGGCGTGACTATACACCATACTGACCTGGCGAGGACAGTGTATTGGGCAGGACTACACACCAGTACTGACCTGGCGAGGACAATGTACAGGTCGGGACTACACACCAGTACTGGCCTGACGAGGACAGTGTATTGGGCGGGACTACACATCAGTACTGACCTGGCAAGGAGAGTGTATGGTGCGGAACTACATGTCAGTACTGACCTGACGAGGACAGTGTATTGGGCGGGACTATAAATTAGTACTGACCTGGCGAGGACAATGTATGGGGCGGGACTACACATCAGTACTGACCTGGCGAGGAGAGTGTATGGTGCGGAACTACATGTCAGTACTGACCTGGCGAGGACAGTGTATTGGGCGGGACTATAAATCAGTACTGACCTGGCGAGGACAATGTATTGGGCGGGACTACACATCAGTACTGACCTGGCGAGGAGAGTGTATGGTGCGGGACTACACATCAGTACTGACCTGGCGAGGACAATGTATTGGGCGGGACTTCACATCAGTACTGACCTGGCGAGGACAGTGTATGGGTCGGGACTACACACCAGTACTGACCTGGCGAGGACAATGTATGGGGCGGGACTACACACCAGTACTGACCTGGCGAGGACAGTGTATTGGGCGGGACCACACACCAGTACTGACCTGGCGACAACAGTGTATGGGGCGGAACTACACATCAGTACTGACCTGGCGAGGACAGTGTATTGGGCGGGACCACACATCAGTACTGACCTGGCGAGGACAATGTATGGGGCGGGACTACACACCAGTACCGACCTGGCGAGGACAGTGTATGGGGCGGGACTACACACCAGTACTGACCTGGCGAGGACAATGTATGGGGCGGGACTACACACCAGTACTGACCTGGCGAGGACAGTGTATTGGGCGGGACTACACACCAGTACTGACCTGGCGACAACAGTGTATGGGGCGGAACTACACATCAGTACTGACCTGGCGAGGACAGTGTATTGGGCGGGACCACACATCAGTACTGACCTGGCGAGGACAATGTATGGGGCGGGACCACACACCAGTACTGACCTGGCGAGGAAAGTATATAGGGCAGAACTACACACTAGTACTGACCTGGCGACAACAGTGTATGGGGCGGAACTACACATCAGTACTGACCTGGCGAGGACAATGTATGGGGCGGAACTACACATCAGTACTGACCTAGCGAGGACAGTGTATGGGGCGGGACTACACACCAGTACTGACCTGGCGAGGACAGTGTACGGGGCGGGACTACACATCAGTACTGACCTAGCGAGGACAATGTATGGGGCGGGACTACACACCAGTACTGACCTGGCGAGGACAGTGTATTTGGCGGGACCACACACCAGTACTGACCTGGCGACAACAGTGTATAGGGCGGAACTACACATCAGTACTGACCTGGCGAGGACAATGTATGGGGCGGAACTACACACCAGTACTGACCTGGCGAGGACAGTGTATTGGGCGGGACTACACACCAGTACTGACCTGGCGAGGACAATGTATTGGGCGGGACTACACATCAGTACTGACCTGGCGAGGACAATGTATGGGGCGGGCCTAAACACCAGTAATGACCTGGCGAGGAGAGCGTATGGTGCGGAACTACATGTCAGTACTTACCTGGCGAGGACAGTGCATTGGGCAGAACTACACATCAGTACTGACCTAGCGAGGAGAGTGTATTGGGCGGGACTTCACATCAGTACTGACCTGCCGAGGACAGTGTATTGGGCGGGACCACACATCAGTACTGACCTGGCGAGGACAGTGTATGGGGCGGGACTACACACCAGTACTGACCTGGCGAGGACAGTGTATTGGGCGGGACTACACACCAGTACTGACCTGGCGAGGACAATGTATGGGGCGAGACCACACACCAGTACTGACCTGGCGAGGACAGTGTATTGGGCGGGACTACACACCAGTACTGACCTGGCGAGCACAATGTATTGGGCGGGACTACACATCAGTACTGACCTGGCGAGGACAATGTATGGGGCGGGCCTAAACACCAGTACTGACCTGGCGAGGACAGTGTATTGGGCGGGACCACACATCAGTACTGACCTGGCGAGGACAGTGTATGGAATGGGACTACACACCAGTACTGACCTGGCGAGGACAGTGCATTGGGCGGAACTACACACCAGTACTGACCTAGCGAGGAGAATGTATTGGGCGGGACTTCACACCAGTACTGACCTGGCGAGGACAGTGCATTGGGCGGAACTACACACCAGTACTGACCTAGCGAGGAGAATGTATTGGGCGGGACCACACATCAGTACTGACCTGGCGAGGAGAGTGTATGGTGCGGAACTACATGTCAGTACTTACCTGGCGAGGACAGTGCATTGGGCAGAACTACACATCAGTACTGACCTAGCGAGGAGAGTGTATTGGGCGGGACTTCACATCAGTACTGACCTGCCGAGGACAGTGTATTGGGCGGGACCACACATCAGTACTGACCTGGCGAGGAGAATGTATGGGGCGGGACTACACACCAGTACTGACCTGGCGAGGACAGTGTATTGGGCGGGACCACACATCAGTACTGACCTGGCGAGGACAATGTATGGGGCGAGACCACACACCAGTACTGACCTGGCGAGGACAGTGTATGGGTCGGGACTACACACCAGTACTGACCTGGCGACTTTGACCGCCTCGTACGACACGCTGACCCGGTAGGGACTTGGGCCCAGGGCAGCAGTTAATAGGAGCCTGTCCTTGCCCGTCTGAGATGCCTCGGCCTCGAAAGCTTGACGTATTAGCTTAAAGAGAAATTTTAAAGTCACACCATATTAATTGACTCTGTTTGATTAATATACATGAACAGATCTGCTTTATGTTTACATGCATTATATAAGCATAAGGCGAAAAGTCAGGGATTTAAAGTAGAGTCACTTCCGCTGTAGTCATTTCTATTGAGTGAGTGAGCGAGTGAGCGAGTGAGCGAGTGAGTGTGTATTAGTTTTAAGCCGCTTGTAATATCCCAGCAATATCAGGGCAGGGCACGCCAAAAACCTGGTTTTTACACATTGTACTCATGGGGGTATGGAACTCCGCCGAGCCAGTTTGCAAAAACCTGTCATATTGAATAATTTCGCAAGCTGTCGAAATGTTATGCTTGAGCATGTTACAGTGCATGGATACAGGACGTGTGTGCTTTACCTATCGGACATAGATGTTTACAGTAAAAGAATACTATTGAATCCTAGCAGGGACGTTGTCGGGGTGTCGCATTTGAAGCATTGTCACATTGTCGCGCTTTGGTTAATTTTGACACTTTTTGCTTGTTTTTGTATGGGCGAAAACGCGACAATGTCCCTTCTAGGACTCCATACAATTCCTCTACGGATTTGGTATGACTCACCTGAATCATCCTTGTGAAGCGTTGCTTGTCACTTGGGGGGCTTCCTCTGGTTGCCGGAAATTCCCAATCTAAGTCAAGGCCGTCAAAATTTCGGCTGCGTAAGAATGTGATGGCGTTTCTTGCAAAGGTGTTGATGTTGCTATCAGTTGATGCCAGAGCGGAGAATTCTTTGAGCTTGCCTTTCCAACCCCCAATAGACAGAAGTAGTTTCAGGTTGGGGTCCTGTTTCTTCAAGCTCGTAAAACGATTGTACCTAAAAAACAAAGTATAAAACAAAAATATTTTACGTTTACATCAGAACTAATTTTTGTTGGACGTTCTTGACTTCATAAGTTCAAGGGGCAATTGACTGCCGGGTGGCCTCATGCGAGGCAGTTCGCTATACAGAGTTGCGTCCCTTAGAAGTGTTAGTATCCGTTGGGTTCGAATCTTAGATTCGTCCTGATTATGACCATATATTGTTAGCACCATACCCGTGTTCGTGATAAATTTCTTCGACAGAGGGAGATGAAGGTTCCAGAGTCGTTCAGCTGCAGAGCTAATACAGGGGTACGTGTGAGATTTAGAGCTTGTGACCTTAGATAAATCAGCATTGTCAAACCTATTATTGCATCAATTTTATATATTATTCTTGCAGTATTGATGAAATTCGGAACCTATAAGTGGATAGATAAATCACCATCTATGGCATCAAAATTAATTTACTTATGTGAAACTTACCGCCCAAAAACTCGTAAGTGCAAAGGTGCCTTTACTTGTTTTTTTCGTAATTGAGGAGACATGTGAATCCCAGTGGTTTAAGACGGTACAGAGTTGTGTTCCTTAGTAATGCCAGGGACCACTGACAATGGGTTCCAATCCTAGATTAGCACCGATATCATCGACAGTCTCACTAACTGATAGACGGGCGGTGTGGTGTGGAGTGTGTGTGTATGCAGGGGTTTAGTATTACAGGAGTTATAATTCCCCAAGAACACGTGTAAAGTTCCACTGCAATATCATCAAGTTTAGTGATTGAATAATATGCATGTCATTGTACAAAAAACCTGTTATTATTTGTGACAGATTACTTCTAAGGGACGTAACACTGTATCTCGCATTGCGGCGTTTTGGGCGACTGGGCTACCGATGCCACCGTTACACTCTTGCCTAGATGATGTATGAAAATGCACATACATGACAGGATCGTCCGAGGGATCTCCAGGGATAATTTTAGTTCCGGAGGTGTCAATTTCGGCGAAGGCGTATGAGAGGTGTGTGCACAGGTTGACACCGACGTCTTCTGGGTTGAAGGCCACGGGATCGGCACGGTAACGTGCCCAACCGGCAAAGTAGCAGAACCGCTGATATTTCACCGCTGTTGATGAAGAACCAAAGCTACATACAGAACTGAATAGAGCGTAGTTCAAGATCCCGTACAATGATGTTTGCAGCAAAGTTCCAACAAAGTTCTTTATGTAACTGTAAGTTTGTGAATGTTTGTAAACAGGACGAATCATACTCAACAGTTGTCACGGTACCACAGACAGACAGACAGACACACCACACCACACCCCACACACACCTTCACGAACACACACATACACATCACCCCTTGAATGTGTCCATCCTCGACTATCGAGGGTAATATATCTTCATTCAATTATGATACTTACCCTGGAACAATTCGCCACCATAGGTTCGTTTTAAATCCGGTCCGAGTGACACGAGGCTTGAAATAGCCGTCTAATCAAATGACACCGTCTCGGATGTGTATGGGTAATCCGGACACACACACACACACACACACACACACACACACACACACACACACACACACACACACACACACACACACACACACACACACACACACACACACACACACACACACACACACACACGGACGGACACGGACGGACACACACACACACACACACACACACACACACACACACACACACACACACACACACACACACACACACACACACACACAACCCCAACTTCACCCCACCCCCACCACCATCAATCCAACACACACCCACCCCCACCCATTCCAACCTGTGTTTTACATTGATGTTCATATTAATAATAATATCGTTTCCAGCTACAACTTTAGTATACATTTTTTTATCGAATAAATGTATGAAGGACTCGTGCGTAAGAGGCGGCAATTGCGTGATGGAGATGGTTGAATTGGGCGAATTGGTCCGGGTTATCATAATATGGAGAATAAATGATAAACTGGATAATCGAGGGTGGAATAACAAATCGATATGTGGTATAAATGGATTGTGGACGGTGCAGCTTCCCGAAAGTACACTGCCGGACAAATGAAAGTATACACCTGTTTGATGGCTAAAAAATGAAACAAACAAGAGATAGTTTTCGATGGTGACGTATCTGACACGGGTATCAAAGTTTTTGTTTTTACCTTGTTTGCAGTCTTTCGGCGACTGTTTTCATCCTGGTAACGTTTTAATAACGCTTTTCAAATCCAAGTTTCAGTGTGTATACTTTTTTATGCCCGGCATTTTTGTAAATAAAGGCAACTGACCGTTGGTCCCACATGCTAACAATAGTAAACAAAATAATATCTTGTCGAGTTAATTTCCGCCTAAATGATGGAAGAGTGCCTATTAGAAAGTTCAATACTAAGACTTAGGGTCGACACAATCGCTATTCACGCGGCAATGTATCTTACCATGGGCCTGCCATGCTACCAGCAAGAGTGTAAACTGCAACCACGAATACATCCCACAAGAACTAAACAGCCTGCAAACAAACATAAATAAATTCAACCGCGAGCTTCACAGCATCTTTGAGTATATTTCAAATTCACACTTTATATTTGCAAAGTCTGTACATTTTCAGAGGAACCAAGTTGAACATTTGTATGTGTATGTGCGTGCGTGCGTGCGTGCGTGCGTGCGTGTGTGCGTGTGTGCGTGCGTGTGTGTACGTGTGCTTAGTCCTAGTCTGGGCAAATGCCGTATTTACAGTGCTAGCCACTGTTTACCAAGGATACCCTACTCGGACACAATATACTGACTCCGAGCCCCGACCAGTCCCTCTTTTGTCAACGTACTGCCGAGCGCCAGGCAGGGTAACAACAACTGCCATATGTTAACGACTTGGTACGATGCATTCTGGGATCGAACCACCGAACTTAAGCTCTCGGGCTGACAGCGGAGACGACTGAGTTGGTACGACGTAACAACGCTTGAACAATATATCAGTTACAAAAGGACTTTTCAGTTAAATGACTAGAAACATGTGCAATGGAACATATGTTCTTTGTTCAGGGTGTTTTCCTAACGATCATTCAAGCATTTGTAATTCGAAAGCTTCACTGTCAAGATTCGAACAAACCGAAAAACAACTTTTTTCTTGATAAGGACTATTTTTGTAATAAAGACCCACCAACTTAGGCAGATATCATTATGCTAATTGGTAAACACGGTTACAAAAACAATATGGTTTCAACATCTATAGTGCAAAGGTTATACGGATATCATACATGGTTAAAAAACGTTAAATCACTCGGACCCTGGGCCCTGTTCCACGAAAGCGATCTTAGCGCTGAGGCGATCATGACTCACATACTTTAATATAGATCTCCGATAGCTGTAAGCTGAGGTCGCCTGGTGGAACAGGGCTCTGATGCCCAGCTAACTATAGGCTTTACCTGCTCTAACCTCCGTGTAATATATATAGTCTACCTGCACAAACTGATCAAACCCTCGAACATATTTTCTTGATACAAATGTTCAAGGGATTGGGCAAAAGTTATCCAACTGAGGTGGCCCTATCCTTAATACATATATACAGACATTGATGTTTAATTATATGCACCACACAACTACAAAGTAACAAAAAGGAAAAGAATTAAGAAGAAAAGCATAAAGAAATACTTTATATTTTTTTCAAACTTTAAAACAGCCTTAGCACAATGTAAAATTGCGAAACCGACTCTAGTTCTGTATGGGCCTACCTTCGTCCAAGTTACCTGTTTCTCTATAGCTATCTCTGTGATAAGACACGATGTCTACATGGGTCGTATGAGAACTGGCACAGGTAACTATAGTGAACGTGTCTGTGGCCCATTACTGCGACAAAACTGTTACAATAATATCCGGCATATTTTTTAATCATACATTTTAACAATTAATCTAACCTGACTTTTGAAGAATTGTGGTGAAATTAAATCAAGAATTCAAACATAAAATAAGCGTCAAAAGCCTTTGAATATTCTAAAGAAATCATACATACCTGTGTTCTAGTGGGAAAACGCCTATTTAAGACGTCTGATATAGTGTTTTCTGATTAGAACCACCTGTTGTAGGCGTGGCTAGACAGTAGAGACTTGCGAGTTCGGCCGTTTGTGTGATATAGAGGAGTGGACTTCCAGAAGAACGCAGGAATTATCAATAAAAGTTATACAGGGGACATTTCATAACTTCCGTTTTCAGTGTTAACATTTCGTTTACTTGATATATGGGCCAAAGCACGAACGAGACAACTTTTACTCATGGTATTTTTATTAAATTGAAATCGTTTTATGGGAATAAGCATCGCTTGATTTGTTTTTAAATTAAACATATAAAAGGAATATAACACTCCAAAACTTACTTTTCACCATCTATTCTCAAGTAATAACACATGATAAATTTCATATTTATAAAACACAAACTCTAATTTAAGAGAAAAAAGTCTAAAATATGCTAATATACTAATATATACTATTCTAAATATGCCAATCTGACGCTCTTCGGTCATTCCATGGAAGCGGCCATGCATACGCATACACATACGTGATACCGTATGCGCCAAATCGACGGTCAATGGCGTTTGGCATGCATCATGTCTGAGCCGATATTGTGCGATTTGAACATGTCACTGCGTCCATAATCATAATGTAAAACATATGTATTATGTTTGTCATGTTTATGGTTCGAAATAAGAAAATTTATACAATGCTATGCAAATCACCCTGTCATGTCATGTCAGTATTTTTAATTCAAATTATTGATGAGGTCATGGAGGCAGAAGTGTTTCAGATCGGTTCGTTTTCTATGACATTAATATTTAAAGGTCCTATCAAAATTTGCAAATATCTTGAAACGTCCTAATGACATTTATCTCTTGCAAAATCACTGAGGCATTATTACAGTTGTTAGTTATTTTGTTTGCAAATAATGTAATGGCTGTGACTAATTAAATCCTGCAATTTATGACTGACAGAATATTTCATTTTTTTACGCAGGCTCTTGCCGAAATGTTTTCAACCTGTCCTGTCGACATTGAGATGAAAAAGAGGTCTTCTTTGACATTGGCTAACACACTACCGGTTATTGCTCTAATTTTGAAAATAGCCAATGCATATAAACATGTTGCGATATTATAAGTACATCATTTTACATCATGTAGAAACATCAAAGTGAATTTGACAAGTATGATATTGTCAAAGCGGCCTGAAAAACAACTCGGTCACAAAATAATGTGTCTGGTCAACGTGGTTAATGTGTATTAGCTGGTCAGGCTAAGCGATTTGGTTGATTGCATGGATCATTGCTCATAATGTTAATCACTAGTTTGTCTAGGTCAAAATCAGTTTCTTTACAGAGGGTGGCGTTAAACAACAAAACACATATTTCAAGAAAAAAGAAAGCTTTTGGCCCCTTATTGTTTCGGTCCTTTTTCCCACATTGAGATGCGACACCATGGTATAACCAAAATACTGATCAAAGCCGTTGGAAAACATTCATCACTAGCTTAACAATATCATATTTAGTGCATTGTGAAAATACATAAAGGTGAAGAAAATTAAATACATAATGTATGGTTCGTCTGCAACGGGCAGCTTAACATCCTTGGTGTTTCCCTACTTTAAAACAGTTTCAGTTTACTGCTGAGTGAGTGAGTGAGTGAGTTTGGTTTTACGCCGCTTTTAGCAATATTCCAGCAATATCACGGCGGGGGACACCAGAAATGGGCTTCACACATTGTACCCATGTCGGGAATCGAACCCGGGTCTTCGGCGTGACGAGCGAACGCTTTAACCACTAGGCTACCCGCCCGCCCCGTTTACTGCTTAAGATCTAAAGCTATGCCTTTCATACCTTCAGTATTTATGCTTCTTGTACATGACTGTTCCTGCGGAAATGTGCAGCCAAAATACTGATATGTTTTGCATTGAAGAAACATGTAATCTTACCATATTCTGTATTGAGTATTTGTTCATTCTTAACTATTTCAAAGGACCATTTGCATGTCCTTGTGTAATGTCATCTTGGCAACAACAAAACTCCGTTATCAATAAATTTGTGTGTTGTTTATAGATAGATTATAACACGTGCTCGTTATCATCACTCAGCTTAAAAGACGTTGAAGAATTTAAATACTTGCAGAATGTTAGACTTTTTTCTTTCATAATACAAGAGTTTGATATCCAGCTATTTTAACACTTTTAATCGTCATGGAAGAACGCAACAACAACATATGGATATTTTTTAGACTGGATATTTTTAAATTACAATTATGAGTCTTTTTATTTAAAAAAAACCCCATCTCGCAACAATTTATGTTTTGTGGAAGAGAATTTTGTCTGAAGCATGTTTATTGTTTTTCAAGCATTTTCTGGGACAGTTTATTTTTTTAATAAAAACACAGAACCATCCCCAGAATATCAAATGTGCGGTTCCTCATATGAAAGTAAAAATCTGATTGTACTGTTCAGGGGAGCATAGCTGTTCAAACAGATGACTGGTACCTTGACGTATCCACCTAACCTCACAGGTGCCCCTCTCCAGCTGCTGATAGTATGGCATGTACTGATCATACTTACCGCAAGGAACCGAAAGAAAACCGAAAAACCTTGGTTAGCGTCATTGCATCTCCAACTATGCAGTCTGTACCAGTTAAGCAGTATGTTCAGTCTGATTCTTGAGAGGCTGAATGCAGTCAAGGCAATTTTGATACAAATTTGATTCAATTCAGTCAGTTGACCAGATTGACTCTCCCTTTGAAGTGACGCATATTTTTTTGTCTTGGAATCTCGACCATTTATTGCTCAAAGAGTAGCAACTGGTAATGTTTTGCTGTCATCCAGTATTTTATTCATTGGTCAAAAACCTATAAGCATGTTGCTGATGATGCTTCATTACTGAACTTAAAGTTTGTTGGCCAAAATCTCATTTTATGAGACACAAAGTGATTGTCTTTTGCCGGTTAAAGAGGACTTCTGGAAAGCAGAGCAGCAATCTCTTGTGACATCTATGACAGGTTCACCTGTTTAAGTGACGGGAGATGGTAGATGTGATTGACCAGGTTATAGTGCAAAATACTGTAATTACACCATGTTTGATCACAGTTCCTTGAAAATAATAGACTTTGGAGTTGTAGAGGTTACAGAATGTAATAGCTCTGCAGAAATGGAAAACATTGGTTTAAAAGAGTCCTTGATAAGTTGGTAAGAGCTAATGAATCAAAATTTGGTTTCGATCTTGTGTCTGATGTTTGCACATCATTATATGACATATAATTCTATATCTCTCGGGGGGCACGGATGGTTTGTCAGCACCATACCCGTGCCCGTGGGTTTCACCGAAGTGGTAAACGTCTGAGACCTGCATCACTTCGGGCTTTCCTCCAACATTAAGCTGATACGCCGTGATATATCTGTAATACTGTTAAAAGCGGCGTTAAACCAAACTGACTCACTCACATCCATCCGTCACTTATGTCTAATGCTTCAATGTGTGTGTGGTGGGTGGGGTGGTATGTGTGTGTGTGTGTGTGTGTGTGTGTGTGTGTGTGTGTGTGTGTGTGTGTGTGTGTGTGTGTGTGTGTGTGTGTGTGTGTGTGTGTGTGTGTGTGTGTGTGTGTGTGTGTGTGTGTGTGTCTGTAAAAGAGACAGGTTTCCATAGTGAACTGAAGTTTTATTCACACAGTGTCAATCCCGAGCTGTTTACATTAGTAAATTACATACACAAATTTGATGAAAGATTATTCATTTGGTATACGTATGATAAACGTCAATTATGAAGTCAATAGACCAAATGTGTATATGTCATCGTTATTGAATTTAGATTTAGCTTGTAGTAGGACTGTTGTGGTAGGGCATGTTGAATGAAACTTTATTGTTATATTTTACCCCTGGGATGTTCAGTTCTACTTCTGTGATTTTTGGTAGCACACAACGAAAAGATGTTCTACTTCTGTTGATGTTTGGTAGCACACCGCGTCATGGTGTTCTACTTCTGTGATGTTTGGTAACACACAACGAAAAGATGTTCTACTTCTGTGATGTTTGGTAACACACTACGTTATGGTGGTGTTCTACTTCTATGATGTTTGGTAACACACAACGTAAATATGTTCTACTTCTGTGATGTTTGGTAACACACCACGTTATGGTGGTGTTCTACTTCTATGATGTTTGGTAACACACAACGTAAAGATGTTTTACTTTTGTGATGTTTGGTAACACACAACGTAAATATGTTCTACTTCTGTGATGTTTGGTAACACACCACGTTATGGTGGTGTTCTACTTCTATGATGTTTGGTAACATACCACGTTATTGTGTTTTACGTCTGTGATGTTTGGTAACACACAACGTAAATATGTTCTACTTCTGTGATGTTTGGTAACACACTACGTTATGGTAGTGTTCTACTTCTATGATGTTTGGTAACACACCACGTTATTGTGTTCTACTTCTGTGATGTTTGGTAACACAACGTAAAGATGTTTTACTTTTGTGATGTTTGGTAACACACAACGTAAATATGTTCTACTTCTGTGATGTTTGGTAACACACAACGTAAAGATGTTTTACTTTTGTGATGTTTGGTAACACACAAAGTAAATATGTTCTACTTCTATGATGTTTGGTAACACACAACGTAACGATGTTCTACTTCTGTGATGTTTGGTAACACACAACGTAAATATGTTCTACTTCTATGATGTTTGGTAACACACAACGTAAAGATGTTCTACTTCTGTGATGTTTGGTAGCACACCATGTTATGGTGTTCCACGTCGGTAGAACTCCATCTCTTTATTTCAGCGATGGATACAATAAATCATTGTCAATGGCAAAATGTGGTCAGTGTCTTAATGCCACAAGAATGGCAATGTATTGGTCTTGCAAATCAATGTATACGCATAACAGAAGGGGAGATCTGAATTTCAAGTTATAACCCAAGATAAGAAGATCAGGATTAAGAATTGAGTGAGTATTCATGAATATGCAGATCCTCACAGCATTAATTCTTTCAGTATGCTTCTGGTATATCGGAAACATACACATGAATCAATTCAAGTGTGATTTATTCATTTTAGAAAACATGCATTTGGAAACAACATTCATTATGAATTGTTTTATGGTGATATGCAAATGCAAATTACATTACATATTTTTTTGTCTTCATATGATAAAACAGGTTCGAAATCATATGTATAGTATACATCAGATCTATAATTATGATAAATACCTCGGACCCATTCGTTACAATACAATACAACTGATTCACTCACTCCAATTTGAGTTTGATCGCCTCCGTGGTCTAATGGCAGAGCGTCCGCACGGGGAGCGGAATAATTCGCACAATAACAGTATTAACGTATATACGTATATGGTCAGGGAGTGCTCATTGTGTTCTCTCCCAGTCTTGTAATGACTTGCTAACATTTCCTTTAAAATACTGTTAATAATAGCAGGTATTTGACAAATATCAATTTTTGAATCTTGGCTCAACATTGATAGTCTGTCCTTACATAGCACGTGATAGCGACAGCAGACTGTGCCTCGAAGATAAGTGACATTTTAACATAGTCTCAACCATAATGTCCGCCTCTGTGGTCTAGTCGTGGAGCCTCTGCTCGGAGAACAGGTGGTCTGGAGTTTGATCCCCGGTCGCGTCATACCAATAGACGTTAAAAGATTGTTCTTGCTGTTACCCTGCCTGGCGCTCGGCATTAAGAGGCTAAAACAAGGACTGGTCGGCTTGGAGTCAGTATACTGTGTCTGAGTGGGGTGTTCATGTTAAACTGCTGCATGGTATCTCAGTGAGCTAGCACTTTAAATCGGCATCAGTCGGGACGAGTACAAGCACACACACACACACACACACACACACACACACACACACACACGCACGCACGCACGCACGCACGCACGCACGCACGCACACACACACGCACGCACGACACATCACGCACGGCACATGCACGTCGCTATAGAACTGCAATAATCTTGGACGCGACGTTAAACCTCATTTCACATCTCTTCACACCAATCGAAGCTACTTAGATGGTTACACACTGTGCTATTTTGACGCTGTTTCAACGAAGTGACGACGTAGTGAACAACCGAGTGAGTTTTGTGTGACGTTTTACTTCTCCTAACAGTATTTCATTCATATTACGGCAAGTTAGCTTTAAGTTGGGGGAAGGACAAGTGTTTCACGTTGTATTCGTTACTCATTTGGTGAAACCAACAAGCAGGAGCATGGAACATACAAACCAAGAAACATAATCATAGCTAATCTAGGATTCAAACCCACCATCATAACACTCTAGCCCGCATCTCTACACAGCCAGTTGTGGCGCCTTAGACGACTGAACCTCTGTCGCCCAGCAGTAAAATGTACAGCAGAAACTCCGTATGATGGCGTATAAAGTAAATATCGATGTGGGGACTTCATGGCACATGGAGACCTATCTGTGTGGGGTTGTGTTTAAGGAGAGAATTCTACTACGCTTCACAGGTGGCGCAATGAGGATCTTGGCTCCAAACTCGTGGTTAGCGGATCCTGGCCGCTAGGGGACACAACACAGACCTCAGATGCAATTTTGTGTAGACAAGTAGTATTTATATTCGAAGGTTTATTTTGAAATTCATGTAAAAGTTCTTATGTGAATAAGGAACAAAATATTTACTTCAAAGGATTAATCAAGTGTCATAAATCAATGTTCAGGTGTCAGGAACTATTAACATCAATATCACACATCTGTATCGTTAGTCAACACCTATACCAGCAACACGCTAAATATACATATACGTGACACGTGTATTGATAAGAAACGAAAATAAACCTCACTTAATCACAAACTATGCTCGCTGTTATTGAAACCTTATCACCACTGGCATGTGCTCATTGAACATTAATGATTAACAGTAAAGAAAGTAGGTGATAACATAGTAAATACCTTTTTAGAAATAAACATGGGTTGTGGCACAGCTTTGAATACCTCCCAGGCGTTTGAATATATGTGGCACAGGAGGAAAGCACCTCCGGACATAAAGCTGGTCACCAGTTCTACAGAAGGTAGGTTGAACAGCGGAGGAATTCTGTCGGAGCTTATTATATATCAATACTATCCAGACAATTCCAAGAAATATATGTTTATATATATATATATATATATTCATTAATCATATTTTGGTGTAAGTCAGTTTATGAGTAAAAGTTAAAAAATTAATTCACCGTGCTAATTATGTGTCTCTCCCCTCGTAAAAATGACACTGCTTTTGTGATAGCGCTTCTAATGACAAGGGACATGGCACGAACATTGAGAAATGATTTACTGTTAGTAGCTGTAATCTGCTAGTCTGTAGTCTGTTTGAGCAAAGATATTTTAGATATGGTTAAGTAGCGATGGATGCACAGATAAGTCGTTTGTAGTTGCTAGTAGCAACAGGTGTACGATGATGATGACATACGTTGTTCGTAGTTGCTAGTAGCAACGGCTGTACAACCATGACAACATACGTTGTTTGTAGTTGCTAGTAGCAACGGATGTTTAAGGGTGACAACATACGTTGTTTGTAGTTGCTCGTAGCAACGGATGTACAGTGATGACAACATACGTCGTTTGTAGTTGCTAGAAGCAACGGATGTACAGTCATGACAACATGCGTTGTTTGTAGTTGCTTGAAGCAACGGATGTACAGTCATGACAACATGCGTCGTTTGTAGTTGCTAGAAGCAACGGATGTACAGTCATGACAACATACGCTGTTTGCAGTTGCTAGTAGCAACGGATGTACAGTGATGACAACATACGTTGTTTGTAGGCACACGTACCAACGGATTTACAGAGATGATTAGATACATTGTTTATAGGTGCTAGGGTCAACGGATTTTCAGCGATGACATCATACGTTTTTGGTAGTGGCTAAATCATAGGTGATACGATACTTGTCATAGATGCATAGTACTCACAGCATACGTTGTGTTTTGTCGGGTTTTGATGAATGTAAAGTTAATGTTATATCCTTTGTTTGCAGCATGTTTGTATCTTGGAAATAAGATAGCCATTGTTGTACACTAAACGTAAGATATTCAGATCGAAGCTAGTTCTCATATCGTCATGTAAATGAACTTTTTGCACAGTTTTCACACACTTGCTGATAATCGTACAAGGCAATCATTCAGGTTGGTTGATAGATTGTTTTGTTAAGCAAGAATATCAAAGGGTTTAACACTAAAATGTCAATTCTGTCGTTCGCAGAAATGGCTCATCAACCTAAATCAAGATGAATTTTAGTGTATTGATATCAAACGGTCATGCCAATTGTATGGCAGAATCTGCTCAGCCGTTTCCCGGACACCGGGTGGCATCGTGAATATACAACCACTCTTGATTGTAGCCTCTCATATTTACTGTGGACTGTTTCCTTTCATATGACATGTTACCCTTGACAGAGATTACATCTATGTATTGTTAAACTCACTTTACATTTTTTAAAACATGTTCTTACATTTCGTGCATTTAAAGCCTTCTGAAATACCATTTCCATCTCGAGCAGTCGGAAGCACACTGTCAATTTACATTCCGATTATTCGTATTCTATCACATTACAATAACTGCCGAGCCCGCAGCACCAGTTCCTATCTTTGGGAGATAATCTATGACCGCAGTCTTCAGAGATAAGACGTTGGAAACCATAGCATTACGCAAGCAAGTCTAAACAGCCTTTCGATCGTTGACAGACTGCACACTGAAAACCTCTTTTGTTGATGGTCTTCATGTAGGTAGGTCTTCACCAAGTCTATCGCTCTCCCAAGACGAGCCTTCAGGCTGGGTATTGGTCAACGGTCATCGAGCCTGAGTAGGAGTATTCGGGAACAATCTTCGCCTGATAAGGAGTGCAAGGACACCAGTTGTAAGTAGAACAGTGTAATGTTTCATATATTTGTATAAACTATCACTTGTTCCATCGAAATAAGGCATTTTTACCTGTTGCATTTAGGTTGCTATGTTTTCCAATATATGCGGCCATGATGACACGCGTGCGTTTTGTAGGAGGAAAATATGTTATTGTTTTAAACATTCAGTGGTTTCGATAAAGAATACGCTACCATGGTGGATCAGTATCACAATGCGAGTTAGTGTGAACAGAACACATTGCTTACCAGTCAATCATAGGGGTTGTGTTGGACTATCTGTGGGCGTGAGACTGACATGTGTTCATGGGCATTTAGCTAGGTATATGTACATATATATATATATATATCATCCGAATCCTTATCAACTGGTGCTATATGTATGTGTGAGCAAAAGGATTTCGGGGCGAAGAGTAGATTCGTGCTTAAAGTGCACTCGTCACACTGAAGGCCCAGGTTCTATCAATGTGTGAAGCCTATTTCTGCACCCCATCCCCCACCCCCCACCCCCCACCCCCTTCCGATATTGCTGAGATATTTCTACAAGCTCACTCACTGTGTTTTTTGTATGTAACTGTAGCTGCTTTTAAAGTACGTAGTCTCTCTTTACATGATGCGTTGTGTTTGCTGAATGTGTTTGTTTGTTGTTTAACGTCACACTCAGCAACATTCCAGTTGGACCAGTTGACCCAGTGACTGATATCATGAGCATCGATCTATGCAGTTTGGATACGATAATATGCATCAACCAAGCCAGATAGCCTGACCATCCAATCCCGCTTGTCGCCTCTGTTGACAATGATGGGTTGCTGAAAACCTACTCTAATCCGGGTCTTCAATAGGTTGTTGACTGGGACTAATATTTGGCATGTGCCTGTTATTATTTCGAGTATGTTTAAAGGAAATGTCTGAGGACATCAAGAGACTGGAATAGTACGCCTGAGCACTGCCTGGGCGTATACGTAAACTGCTGGGCAAAAGAAAGTACACACCGATGTTTGATGGTGGCTAGAAATTGTTATCCGATGGTGATGTATTTGATACGGGTTTCCTAGTATCCCGGGCTAAATAGTTGGTAATGTAACACTACACATGGCAGTCTGACAGGGATTCACATGATGGTTAAATATAGAGAATGCTCTCTTTTAGTCGGAACTTGACTAGCGACGTGGAAGTGTGGCTGTAAGCCTATGCCTCTCTGACAGTGCTTAATGACAAAATACAACTAGCACTGCTTCTTTTCCTATAAAAATAGTCATCGAGCGCTTAAATCAATCGCTGCTTAAGCCTACGGGGCTTACGTTTCCCCAGTATTGTTCGCACACACTATTTTCGGTAGTGGTAACATTAGTGTGTGAAGAACGGAATTTTCATTTTGACATATTTCGGTCCCGTGTTACACTAGGTCTTCCAGCCAAGGAGTGTTACTCGCGATGGCTTCTTCTAATATCAAATTAAACACGAGGTGAGGATACACACTAATTTGTATATGTGTAAAAGAAATCCTTGTTTATTAACACATAGGCACTGACTGTTTTGGATAACAAGAACGCCATCAGTTTCGACCGTTTGTCACATTGTCTGATGGTATGCGTGTGTCATTTTCTTAAAAAGCGGACCATTTGAATGTAATAAAATATAACTGTGCCGGAGGGTGTTTTACTAAGCTGGCTCCGTGCTTAGGTCCGGGGGTCAAAGGTTACGCCAATCCTTCACTTCAACACTCATGTGACACGTATATCACAGGTTAGGTCAAACTATAATTAAAATATATGGAATAAAGCATTTGAAAATGTTTCAAACTATCATTATTTTATTTTGTCTTAAGTTATCAAATAATGCCAATAACGCAAATGGGATGCACTGATGGGATAGAGGTGGGACTTGTACCTGGTGCAGTATGTATAATGTTATATCCACAGTACGGCTTTATAATACGATTAAGTTGTATGCATAGTACGAATACCGAGACGTAAGGATACATATTCCGTATGTGCGGTGACACGAGCGAGGGGTTGCACCGGGTGATGCATTCTGCCCGTGTGTTTTACTGTGACCGGCTTAGTTTTGGGTTATGGCAGCGTGGCAACAGGTAAGGATACCGACATACACCGTACAGGCACATGTGTGCGAATGTGTGTTATTGACCCCATGGATCTATGACAGGTGCCTCTGTGGTTACACAAGGTGACGTTCGAAGATTTGCTTAATAACATGTTTGAAGTTTCTATGTAACTGACACCCATCATGGGATGACAGTTACACTGTCGTGTTTCCCTGTCGTGACAAATATTCTACATAACGTTTCACTTTATGTTAAAATGTGTAAACGTTAGACGTTTAATTGGCTTTCCGCGCATTAACTGTCGCGCTGGTCATATCTTAATTCTGATGTAACGATTAGCGACTGGTGTTAGGAAAAACATTCACTGTATCTACTGCTACTAGCCTGTCGGTAAAGCGTTCGCGCGTCATTCCAAAGGCCCGGGCTCTGGGTACATTACATGAGACAAAATGAAAATGGTATGTGATGTCAGTTTGGTTATTTATAATTTTACTGTGATAAACAGAAACTCGATTATACACGAAGATTCGAAATAGATAAAAAGTTCCTAATGTTATAATCTACATGTACGGAAAAAAGGTTAAATATATTTCAATAGTATTGAGTGCTAGCATGCAAATATATATTAATACCGAAAGTATTTAAGACCATCGGAAATACATGGAGCTCGCGACTAACTGAATTTTGGCTTAGATTGAATTAAAGGAGTTCGAGTTAACGGGTTTTTCTGGCTTCCTACTTGCAATGTAGATTTCTTCTACTGACACTTAGGGGGAACGGTGACCCGCAGATGAGACGAAAGACGACGATCTGTTTTATGCATGCTATATATAAACCAGACTTGACAATACAGCTGACATGATAGTATGAGTGGACCTTCAGAGATACAATCAACGTTTTCTCTGATGGTGCTTTTACAGGGTTGAAATAATGATTTTATTATGGTAAGCAGGGGGTTACTGTCAAGAAACTGCCTTTTCTATACAAGATATGAGCGGGCAATTCTTGGTTTAGTAGCAGCGCTGCAGAAACTCGACCGTAGCCTTGAACCTCGTAAATTGATTGGAGATTTGACAGAGAATTGTTCCAAAATGGAGATTGTTTCAGCGCAGTGGTCAGAAGATTGCTGTGTTGTAAATTGCTTCTGAATGCATGAATGGGTGCGCTGGAAATGTGCACTGGAGCAGGAAATACACATTGTGTTATATTTTCTAAAAAAATATATATCGGTAAAATATATAAAAAAAATACCAGCAACTCGGCGGATTATCTTTCCTCGTGAATCTCTCCAACGTTCGGGTTCACTTGAGATACGTTTTGAAAGGTTAAGGAAGAGTCATTTGGCGGTCTAAAACGTAATTTAACAGCATGTAATCTTCTAGATCAGTCTAGAAATATTGTTACCTTAACTGCCTAAAGACAATATCTTAATTCCGCACAAGGATTTACGCGTTGCGACTCGAGCTACACTGAAATCTGGCAACATACAATGTAGCCTTATTAAGCTATAGGTTTTATGCACACATAGAGCGCACCTACATATATCATCCCTGTCAAGGCAATGAGCCAGGATACGTGACAGTTGAATGAGCTAAATCCTAATATAAGTAGGTTAATACCTTTCATGACAAAACCAAGAATGAAATACAGCCAATTCCTCAAAGGTTTACGAATCAAGAAATCTTTTAACAAATCCGATCGCAGTTTTTCCTACGTCATACGCCGCCAGAATATAGCTTGAACATGCTGACTGACGTGTAAAACAGCAAACACATCTTACTTCTTACAATAACCATGGATATTGAAATGTAATTTGACATGACATTTTAGACAGCTGATTTAGACATGTGGGCGGTGGTATGTCTGGATGAAACAGAGGGTAAATCTACAAGATCGTTTCATACATGCTTAGTCATGTGGGCAGTGGAACGTCTGGAGGGAACAAAAAGTAAATACACTAGGGACATGTGTTAATCAAGTCAGCGAGCCTGAGCACCCGATCCCGTTAGTTGCCTCTTACGACAATTCTACGACAAAACCAATTCTAACCGGGATCTTCACGGGGATGATGGTTGAGAGTACGTGTTTGTTAAAACGGCCAGCTTACCTTCGAGGCACAGTCGCTATCACGTTCTAAGTCAACGAGTATGACCACCCGATTCCGTCAGTCGCCTCTTAAAAGTATGGGTTCCTGAAGACAATGTCGAAAAAGAATGATCGCGTAGGAATAGAATGGTCAGTCTCCTAATATCAAGAAAACTCTACTTTTATGACACCTTTTTCAGGCCGCCGTCATATAGCTTGAATATTGCTGGATGCGGCGTTAAACAACAAACTAACAAAATATCTTTCATGCGTTGAACTTGAGGAAATGTATGGAATTATAATATCACATTTACTTTTATATATTTCAGTTTAAGTGTGCATCATCTACAAATGAATATATTTTTTCATAAAACCTAGAGGCCTAAGGCCATAATCCTTCTAAGGTCAAGGGAGGGCGTTCTTTACTCTTACAGAACGTGTTTGAGACAAAATGAATTCATACCCTGTGGATGCTCAAAAAGCCATGGGATATGCTTGAATGTTTTGAAATCTAATTAATTTATGTCAAAAGATTCGATTTTTCTACTTTGTACACTGCTATTCCTCATGACAAAATTAAGAAAAAAATAATTCCTTGATCCATGGGGCATTTGTCACAAAATGTGGTGACCATCGATATATACTGAACAACAAAAGTTCCTGTGACATTGAATAAGATTTAATGCAAAGTTATGTCTTTTACCAAATCTGAAACAACTTCGTTTTGCAACAGATAAAAGATTCCTGTAAGTGTTCAAATGGTTTAGTTTGCCATACTGACTTCAGAAAATGCGTGATTTCATAAAAACCATGAACATGCCAAAATGTCAATTTACAAATCAATAGCGTGTGTGTCCACCCCTGATTGCGATACAAGCAACACATCTTCGCCTCATGGAATGGACAAGGCGTCGCACACAGACCTGTGGGATATCTGTCCATATGTGCTGGAGCATGTTTCGAAGTTCCTGGAGTGTCTGTGGAACACGTGGTTGACGTCGAAGGCGCCGATCCATCTCATCCCATATGTGCTCGATTGTTGAGAGATCAGGGGAGCGAGCCGGCCAGGGGATGACATTCACCTTGTTTTGTTGAAGAGAATCCTGAACAAGTCGAGCAATATGAGGCCGGGCGTTGTCATGTTGAAAGGTAATGCCTGGGCCATGACGATGCAAAAACGGTAGAACAACAGGGCCGATGATCTCGTCGCGGTAGTGCTGTCCATTTCCCTCTACCACTTTCAAACGGGTCCTCTGTCTTGCTGTAATCCCACCCCATACCATAACGCTGCCGCCCCCGAAGCGATCTTCTTCCATGACACTATGATTGACGTAACGTTCACCTCGACGTCGGTACACTTGAATCCGTCCGTCGCTGTGGCTGAGGTGAAAGAGAGACTCGTCAGTGAATAGAACTTGTCCCAAATGCATGACCGTCCAGCGTAGACGCTGTCTGCACCACTGTAGACGTGCTTGACGGTGCTTTTCTGTCAAAATGGGACGTCTGGCGGGTCTTCTGGCGACAATCCCTGCACATCTGATGCGGCGACGTACGGTTTGTGAAGATATTCGTCATGGGCCAGGGATGCTTCTTGCAGTCACTGTTGCTGGCTGGAATCGATTTCGTAAGTGTGTTTTCCAAATCCAGTTGTCTCGTCGATTATTGGTTACGCGTGGCCTGCCACTCCGAGGATGGTCTCTGACTGCATTCGTCTGTTGCCAACGTTGCCATAAACACCAAATGGTGTTTCTTTGGGCGTTAAATTGTCTTGCAACATCACATTGACTCGATCCTGCTTCAAGCATACCAATGGCTCGCGGACGCTCTTTTTCGGACAGGCGTGGCATTTCGTAATGTTGAATAATTGCGTAATTTTGTTGTTTTTCTGAGTGGTTGTTGTCAGCACGATGCTAAACAATGCATATGGAATCTCGTTAACGCACGTGTTTTTATACCAATTCTTGGGTAGTGAAATGCATGGGGCTTGCATAAAAGTCAACTTTTGCATGGAATGCATGCTTTTCTGTAGCAGTTGCGTTTTTGTGACTTGATTCCATACATGTACTACAATAATGAAAACCAAACTTTACTTATTTGAAAAAAACACTAAAATATTGGTGTCACAGGAACTTTTGTTGTTGAGTATAGTTACTTCTGAATCTTCAAATGTTCAGGACAATGTGTGAAAAAAGGAGGCAAATGTCACCTCAAGCATACTCAGAAAACGTTATGTCAAATGTTGGACTTCCTCAATGATAACATATATGTACAATTTGTGGACAGAACATTTAGGTTAGAAGTGGGTATTCCCATAGGAACCAATTGTGCTCCCCTCCCTGCTGACCTGGACAGTTTCTTTATGCATGCGAGTCAAAATTTCTGCTCAGATTCAAAATCACAACAAGGGAATTTGGCAAATAAGTTAAACTTAAGCTTCAGGTGTATTAATGCTCTAATATCGTCCAGTAATGGTAAAATAGCCAATTCCCACCTGAGCTAGAAATATAAAAGACCAGTAAAACCGCCTCATCTGTTTTATATTTAGATTTGTAGAAACGATTCTGAGTGACAAAACATATTCACGATACTGTATGGCAAGAGTGGTGGCTTTAAGTTCTCAATAGTCAACCTTCCCTTTCTGTCGAGCAATATTAGAGCAGCCCCAGCCTTTCACAAGCAAGCATGATCTTTTTATCAAGATTTAAAAGAGTTTTTTTCATACGACCCCTGTGCAAACGTTGTTTGTTCAGGGTTACAATATTCAAGGTCTTCAGGAAAGCTTTCCTAAACGTTGATGGTAGACACCAATTTTGACGCAACAGTGACAAAAATGACGCAATTCCCTAATTTAACTTATACCATATTTTCCGTGTGTTTTTCCAGATGAACAACTGACTTGCCTTTGAATGTGTTTGTGACGGTTGGCACCGGTGGGGCGGGATATGCTAACCTTTTAGCGAACACATGGTATCATCACTATTTGATAGTTATTCATAAACACATGCTCATGATATAGTCGGAATCGTACAATGGAAAGGGTTTTGTTGTCTTAATTTACGTCACACAATCACTCTTCTTTAGGTACAAGTGAGCATGTTCTTTCAACGAATCATGCTCAAATGTTGTTTGATCAGGGTTACAACTTTCACGGCCTTAATAAAGATTTCAAAAGGTTTTATGGAGCACATATCTTCACATGCTCATGATACTTCATTGTACCATGGATTTATTATTATTATGAAAAGGGTTTGGTCGTTTTTAATTACGTCACACAATCACTGGAGACAGGACCTCGTGACGAAGGACACGAGATGATCTTCGTTATCTTAGGTTATATATTTATTTATCTTGAGTCCGGTATATAGTCCACGCCACTTCATCATTCCATATTTTCATCTTCATTTGTCTTCCAGATGATCCCCCGGGCATCCCTGTTGCTGCTCCCCGTGGCGGGAGTCATCTTCCTGGCACTGCACGCTGTCCAAGGTGAGATAATTGTGTCATGACAAACACTTCTGTACATCAATTTCATAATACCATTGACCATCATCTACTTAAGGTGTCCATATTCTTATATAGGTTTTACCTAAAAAAAACAATCTGAAAAATCAGAAGATAATATTTTGCTTAAAGGGCAAGTAAAGTCAGCATAGCAACTTTCCATATTTTAACATTTTAACATTAATGCTTGATGAAAATTAAATTTGAAAAACGGAAATAACATAAAATAGATAAAAAGAAGCAGCCGAATCGTCAGTCAAACAATATATTACTGGGGTCAAAAGGGGTCCAAGGTTTTTAACGCACAGCGCCAATTCAACGATCATGATGATCTGGCCAACGCCCACTCTGCCTGCTTCTGCCTCGGATTTTTTTTATACAAACATCAACGATTATATTTGTGGCAACCTTCATGTTAGAGGTGCATGTCACAGGAGAGTGCGTTACTATGCCAACTCTCATACATATCATCCATCATGTTACGTGTTCAGGTCAGTGGAGAGTGTGTTACTACACCAACTGTCATATATGTCATCCTTCAAGCTACAGGTTCAGGTCACCGTGGAGTGTTTTACTACACAAACTGTCACATATGTCATCCATCATGTTACAGGTTCAGGTCACAGGAGAGTGTGTTACTACACCAACTGTCACATATGTCATCCATCATGTTACAGGTTCAGGTCACAGGAGTCAGTGTTACTACACCAACTGTCATATATGTCATCCATCATGTTACAGGTTTAGGGCACAGGAGAGTGTGTTACTACACCAACTGTCATACATGTCATCCATCATGTTACAGGTTCAGGTCACAGGAGTCAGTGTTACTACACCAACTGTCATATATGTCATCCATCATGTTACAGGTTCAGGTCACAGGGGAGTGTGTTACTACACCAACTGTCATATATGTCATCCTTCAAGCTACAAGTTATGGGCACAGGAGAGTGTGTTACTACACCAACTGTCACACATGTCATCCATCATTTACAGGTTCAGGTCACAGGAGAGTGTGTTACTATGCCAACTCTCATATATGTCATCTTTCAAGCTACAAGTTATGGGCACAGGAGAGTGTGTTACTACACCAACTGTTACACATGTCATCCATCGTGTTACAGGTTCAGGTCACAGGAGAGTGTGTTACTACACCAACTGTCATACATGTCATCCATCATGGTACAGGTTCAGGTCACAGGAGAGTGTGTTACTACACCAACTGTCATACATGTCATCCATCATGTTACAGATTCAGGACACAAGGGAGTCTGTTACTACACCAACTGTCATCCATGTCATCCATCATGTTATATGTTCAAGGCACAGGAGTCAGTGTTACTACACCAACTCTCATACATGTCATCCTTCATGTTACAGGTTCAGGGCACAGGAGAGTGTGTTACTACACCAACTGTCACACATGTCATCTTTCATGTTACAGGTTCAGGGCTCAGGAGAGTATGTTACTACACCAACTGGTCTCAGTATCGTCCTGGGAAGGGGAAATACGCGCCGGAGAATGTTAACCCTAACCTCTGCACGCACTACGTGTACGCCTTTGCCACTTTGCTAGGCAACAGGGTCAAAGCTTTTGAATGGAATGACCTGTCCACAGCTTGGAGCAAAGGAATGTGAGTGTAATAGTGTCTCAAATATTGACTGAAACCATCTCGGACATTCCGCTGTAAACCCTTAATCGTGATCGACAGAATGATAACTTTATTTTGGTCAAAGCAACCAATTGTTATCGCGGGTTAGTTTGCCAGCATCATACGCGTGCCGGTGAGTTTCCTCATGGTGGTAGTTTCAACACAAGTTACAATACTGTTCAAGGTGCCGTTACACCAAACTCACCAACTACCACCGCTATTTGTCTCGAACAGTAGACAGTACAGGTTTACTTTTATTTTGACAGATTCAAAGATTCAAATGATATTTATAAAGAGTAACATAATTCTGTGAACCGTTTTCTGCGTTGTTTTATTCTATCATATATATTTTATCTATAGCACTTTTAAAATGTTTGTATTACCCTCCCATCACTTTGCAGTATCATATATATTACATTTCTTTACAATTAAGGTGGCCCAATAGTCTAAGGCGCCGCAATTCGCTGTGTAGGGTTGCGTCCTTGGTCGTGATAATGATAATGTTTCAATGTATGTCAGCGCAACACCCGAGCTCGTGTGTTACACCAAAGTGGTGACCTTACTTCGGTATTTCCTCCCACATGAATCTGACACATTGAGATATAACTGAAACACTGATCAATGCCGCATTAAACCCAACTCCCTCCCCCATCTGCGTCCCTAATTCACTCCTTTACTCACTCACTCACAGTAATGCGGTAATTACCTGTATATACAAAAGACTAACATTTTCTATGCAGGTTCGAACGTTTTATGGCGATGAAGAAAGTCAATCCTAGCATGAAGACCCTGCTTGCTGTTGGGGGCTGGAATCTTGGGTCGGGGCCGTTCCATCAGATGTCCCACACTCCCTCGGGGAGGAAGGAGTTCGCCGACTCTGTTGTCAAATTCGTCCGAGACAACAATTTCGATGGCGTGGATGTAGACTGGGAGTATCCTGCAAACAGAGGCAGTCCACCAGAGGATAAACATCATTATACCGAGATGCTTAAGGTAACACGTGAGCCGTTTAGAATAGATCATTCCGGGACAAGCCGAATAACGACTCGTACCAAAAGTGGCCATTTTATCAACGTGGTTCCGTCTTCGCGCAAACGGTCAAACAAATAGTCCACTTGTAGCACATCCGGCTAAGTTTACATGGATATGTTCCAAATATTGACGGTTGCCATTTACAACCACTTGTTATTCAATATGATGAAACAGTTATGAATGTCAATTTGCTGTACTGTTTGACACAAACTATGCATATTGGCAAAGAATATTAAGGGGGATTCTTTTACCAAAGTACCCACAGTCATGCGCGCATTCGGATTGGTTTGTCGTGTTTTCGGATATAACTTGATCGATAGACGGACGAGTTTTCTTGGAGGTAACGAATAGATAGGTCATCTGTTGCTTGCCGTTAGTGACCAATGGCTCAAATATTTGGTTGATTGCGTGTCACCATAACCTATGGAATTCTGGAAGGGACATTCTCGCGTTGTCGCCCTTACAAAAGCAAGCAAAAAGTGTCAAGATTTACCAATATTTCGTGTCGTCGCATTGTCGCGCTTTTGGTTACTTTTGACTCTTTTGCTTGTTTTTGTACAACACGAAAATGTGACAATGTGACTATGTGACAATGTTCCTTCTAGGATTCCATAGTAACCAGATGACGAGGGAACTTGATTCGAATATTTACGGGCCGCTATGATAAAACTGGACTTTTGAAGAGAGCGGCGCAAAACAGGCTATATTGTCTGATCCATTTTGGAAATACTGCTTTTTTCGAAGTCATTTGACTTTGCAGTGGAATTGATGAATATTGAATTTTTTCAGGCAGTGTACGATGCCTTTGTGGTGGAAGCGCAGCAATCTGGTAGACCCCGACTGATGTTGACGGCGGCCGTGGCGGCGGGAAAACCCAACATTGACACTGCATACGAAATCCCGGAAATTTCACGGTAAGGAATGTAAGCCACAAGGTCGGGAAGACGTTATAAGTGAGTGAGTGACCTTCATATCGGGTGAAGGGATTAATTTACAGGTAAATTTGTTTTAGAAAATATACTTTTAAACATAACAACAACAGATTCTTCACCCACCCAACTAAGAACGTCAAATGATGGTCCCTACAGAGTTGTCACTAACACAATAATAAGTAGACTTGGCAAGTATTTAGAAGTAGATGTAATGGCCGGATCCTGGCTCCTCTTTATTCTGGTGACCCGTGAAGAACCGGGTTAGAATAGGTCTTCAGCAACCCATGCTTGCCGTAAAAGGCGAATGTGCTTGTTGTAAGAGGCGACTGACGGATCGGTTTGTCAGGCTCTCTGACTTGTACGGTGGCCCGTAAGGGACATGGTGTCTGTTTTTCAATATTTTGATATTTCACTTACTGTTATCGTTACCTTTGGCAAATTAACACGATTTGTCATACATATATGTGATAAATCATGTATAAGAAGATATTGAATCGCTAAAATATGAAACGAAAATGTCAAAAACTAAAATGAAAATGTCAAAAACAAAAACGAAAAGGTCAAAAACTAAAATGAAAATGTCAAAAACAAAAGCGAAAATGTCAAAAACTAAAATGAAATACGGAAAACTATTTCCATCGCGGTGGATATACTTTTCACCGCGGTGGAAATAGTTTTCTGTATCTTCATTTTAGTTTTCTGTATTTTCGCTTCACATTTCAGCGATTCAATAGCTACTAGGAAGTACATTTTCCATGTTTTCGGTTGTTTTAATACATGATTAATCACATATTTGTATGACAAATTGTGTTAATTTGCAAAAGCTTATGATAAAAGTAAGTGAAATATCAAAATATTAAAAAACAGACTCCATGTCCTTTATGGGCCACCGTAGACTTGGTTGATGCATATCATCGTTTCCAAATTCCGTAGATCGATGCTCATAATGTCAATCAGTGGATTGTCCCGTCCAGACTCGATTATTTACAGACCGCCGTCTTATAGCTGGGTGTGGCGTCAAACAAATAAACAAATTTTATTCTGGTCCTGCATCATGTTGTGTTTTGATGCTGCCTAGGATCTTGGACTTCATCAGTGTGATGACCTATGACCTGCACGGCAGTTGGGAGGACCACACCGGTCACAACAGCCCTCTGTATCCACGTATTGACGAGACCAACGATGACAAGTACCTTAATCTGGTAAGTGGGTGTGCACGGTGGGGTAGCTTAGTGGTTAAAGCATTGCCTTGTCGCGCCGAAGAGCAGGTTCCGATAACCCAAATATGTATAAAGCGTGAAGGCGATTTCTGAATTTTAAGGCCACACATAGATGAGGTGGACGGTGCTTCCAGGCCAGAAATAGATGATGTCGCTGAATTTACATTTCAGACAAACATGAGGTTGCGGAGTTTACATGTCAGACATACATGAGGTGGGCGGAGTTTCCATGTCAGACAAACATGAGGTTGGCGGTGTTTCCATGTCAGACATATATGAGGTTTGCGGTGTTTCTATGTCAGGCATTTATGAGGTGGGCGGTTTTTCCATGTCAGACATATGTGAGGTTGGCGGTGTTTCCATGTCAGACAAACATGAGGTTGGCGGTGTTTCCATGTCAGACATATATGAGGTTGGCGGTGTTCCGTGTCAGACATACATGAGGTTGGCGGTGTTCCGTGTCCGACATATATGAGGTGGGCGGTGTTCCGTGTCAGACATACATGATGTGGGTGGAGTTTCCATGTCAGACATATATGAGGTGGGCGGTGTTTCAATGTCAGACATACATGATGTGGGCGGTGTTTCCATGTCAGACATATATGAGGTTTGCGGTGTTTCTATGTCAGACATACATGATGTGGGCGGTGTTTCCATGTCAGACATATATGAGGTTTGCGGTGTTTCTATGTCAGACATACATGAGGTGGGCGGTGTTTCCATGTCAGACATACATGTTGTGGGTGGAGTTTACATGTCAGACATACATCAGGTGGGCGGTGATTCCATGTCAGACAGAAATGAGTTTGGCGGTGTTCCGTGTCAGAGATACATGATGTTGGCGGAGGTTACATGTCAGACATACATGAGGTGGGCGGTGTTTCCATGTCAGACATCTGGTGGGCGGAGTTTACATGTCAGACATATATGAGGTGGGCGGTGTTCCGTGTCAGACATACATGAGGTTTGCGGTGTTTCCATATCAGACATATATGAGGTGGGCGGTGTTCCGTGTCAGACATACATGAGGTTGGCGGTGTTTCCATGTCAGACATACATGAGGTGGGCGGAGGTTACATGTCAGACATACATGAGGTGGGCGGTTTTTCCATGTCAGACATATATGAGGTGGGCGGTGTTTCGTATCAGACATACATAAAGGTGGGCGGTGTTCCGTGTCAGACATACATGAGGTTGGCGGTGTTTCCATGTCAGACATATATGAGGTGGGCGGAGTTTACATGTCAGACATATATGAGGTGGGCGGTGTTCCGTGTCAGACATATATGAGGTGGGCGGTGTTCCGTGTCAGACATATATGAGGTGGGCGGTGTTTCGTATCAGACATATATGAGGTTGGCGGTGTTTCCATGTCAGACATATATGAGGTGGGCGGAGTTTACATGTCAGACATATATGAGGTGGGCGGTGTTCCGTGTCAGACATATATGAGGTGGGCGGTGTTCCGTGTCAGACATACATGAGGTTGGCGGTGTTTCCATGTCAGACATATATGAGTTTGGCGGTGTTCCGTGTCAGACATACATGAGGTTGGCGGTGTTTCCATGTCAGACATACATGATGTTGGCGGAGGTTACATGTCAGACATACATGAGGTGGGCGGTTTTTCCATGTCAGACATATATGAGGTTGGCGGTGTTTCCATGTCAGACATATATGAGGTTGGCGGTGTTTCCATGTCAGACATACATGATGTTGGCGGAGGTTACATGTCAGACATACATGAGGTGGGTGGTTTTTCCATGTCAGACATATATGAGGTTGGCGGTGTTTCCATGTCAGACATATATGAGGTTGGCGGTGTTACCATGTCAGACATACATGAGGTGGGCGGAGTTTACATGTCAGACATACATGAGGTGGGCGGTGATTCCAGGTCAGACATTTATGAGGTTGGCGGTGTTCCGTGTCAGACATACATGAGGTTGGCGGTGTTTCCATGTCAGACATATATGAGGTGGGCGGTTTTTCCATGTCAGACATACATGATGTGGACGGTGTTTCCATGTCAGACATATATGAGGAGGGTTGAGTTTACATGTCAGACATATATGAGGTGGGTGGAGTTTACATGTCAGACATACATGAGGTGGGCGGTGTTTCCAGATCTGGCATACATGAGGTAGGCGGAGTTTACATGTCAGACATATATGAGGTGGGCGGTGTTTCCAGGTCAGACATGTATGAGGTGGGCGGAGTTTCAAGGCGGAAGTCCTGCTCAACTTCCGGGCGTTTGTAAAAACAGCACATCTTGCTCTCTGTCGTCAGTGCATTTGCAGAAGGCATACCAGGCTGCCTTAGTAATGACGTAAATAATACAAGGAATCCTTGAGAGGGTGCAGGTTGAGTAGGATAATAGATGGTGTTAAAGTGCGTTACAATAACGAGGACCCTATCAGCGTAAGTCATTGTATGCGAGGGCTGCATAACATTTGACTGATTGACAAAGAAACACACCCAAAACAGATTGAAGTTAACGCGAAGACTAATTACAGTCTACTATACAAAGACGAAAGTTCAGAAGTTGTTATTTGGTAGAATACAATGTACAGAAAAATTCGTGTCTATTCCCACTGGACAGATATTACATACCCATTGTCATTGGGTTCGAATACCGGTTCACCCCGAGTATGTTTCTTGGTGTGTCAGCACCATACCCGTGCTCGTGGGTTTCACCAAAGTGGTAAACGTCTGAGACCTGCATTACTTCGGGTTTAAAGCGGCGTTAAGCCCAACTAACTCACTCACTCTATATCCGTGATAGGTGAGCTACAGACTGAACGTTTTCAGGAATGTGTCATTTGGAAACAGTTCATAATGTGCATGGAATCATTAAGAAATCTAAAAGTTTTTGTGAGTTGGAATGGGGTTTAACGTCGCGTGCAAGATTATTGCACTTATATAGAGACGTGCATGCACATGTGCGTGTGTGCGTGGCTGCTTGTACTTGTACCTTGACCTATGCCGGTTGTGTAGTGCTCGCCCACTGAGAAACCATGCCGCATTCTAACATGGACCAGTCCCTTGAATGCCGACCATCAGCAGGTTTGCATAATATATTTTTAACAGGAAAATACATAACCTTGTACCCACATGTATAAAGTAAGGCGAGGATACAGTAAACTTTTCGCTTTTTGATTTTGTGAATAGAATATTTTCAAATCAATTTTGTTTTAGCATTGGGCAGCTGAATACTGGGTGAAGATGGGCGCTCCCAAAGAGAAACTAAACATAGGCTTGGCTCTATATGGTCGCACGTTCACCCTGTCAACTGCTGACAACACCCTAGGTGCACCTGCCAGTGGCCCCGGCACAGCAGGACCGTACACACGCGAGAAGGGCTTCCTGTCTTACCAGGAGGTGAGTGAAGCGTACATAAACTGGACAGCGACTTCACTTCAAAACATATTTCGATATCCGTGACACGTGAGCTTTTGGTTCGAAACAGTAGCTCTTGGATCATTTTTATGTTTGAGAAATAAACTGCTTATATTCATTTAATTTAAGAATTAAATAAATGCCATGACGATTTTGTAAGGAAATGTTATGGTTGTTCATACACATATCCACTTTCGATATAAATTATTTCACAATATCAATTTTCCTTTTGAAACTCATATGAAAGTTTTATGCTTTTTAAGTAATGAGTGCGAAATGTCACTGATTTTTCACAACTTCTTTTAAACCATCATTATTGAATTTCACTTACCATTTGAACCTTGGTCAACATGAACAAGAATTGTTCTGGTTCCAGATTTGTGAAATGGAGCAAAATGGTGGCAGGGTTGTTGATATTCCCGAACAGCGTGTCCGCTATATTACCCGAGGCGACCAGTGGGTGGGATATGACGACAAACTGAGTCTCAGCCAGAAGGTAAGCGCATATTGGATGCAGGGTGGAGTGGGTGGGATATGACGACAAACTGAGTCTCTGCCAGAATGTAAGCGCATATTGGATGCAGGGTGGAGTGGGTGGGATATGATGACAAACTGGGTCTCTGCCAGAAGGTAAGCGCATATTGGATGCAGGGTGGAGTGGGTGGGATATGACGACAAACTGAGTCTCTGCCAGAAGGTAAGCGCATATTGGATGCATGGTGGAGTGGGTGGGATATGACGACAAACTGAGTCTCTGCCAGAATGTAAGCGCATGTTGGATGCGGGGTGAAGTGGGTGGGATATGACGACAAACTGGGTCTCTGCCAGAATGTAAGCGCATGTTGGATGCGGGGTGAAGTGGGTGGGATATGACGACAAACTGAGTCTCTGCCAGAAGGTAAGCGCATATTGGATGCAGGGTGGAGTGGGTGGGATATGATGACAAACTGGGTCTCTGCCAGAAGGTAAGCGCATATTGGACGCGGGGTGAAGTGGGTGGGATATGATGACAAACTGAGTCTCCGGCAGAATGTAAGTGCATGTTGGACGCGGGGTGAAGTGGGTGGGATATGATGACAAACTGAGTCTCTGCCAGAATGTAAGTGCATGTTGGACGCGGGGTGAAGTGGGTGGGATATGATGACAAACTGAGTCTCTGCCAGAATGTAAGCGCATGTTGGATGCGGGGTGAAGTGGGTGGGATATGACGACAAACTGAGTCTCCGGCAGAGGGTAAGCGCATGTTGGACGCGGGGTGAAGTGGGTTGGATATGACGACAAACTGAGTCTCCGGCAGAAGGTAAGCGCATGTTGGACGCGGGGTGAAGTGGGTGGGATATAATGACAAACTGAGTCTCCGGCAGAAGGTAAGCGCATGTTGGACGCGGTGTAAAGTGGGAGGATATGACGACAAACTGAGTCTCCGGCAGAAGGTAAGCAAGCATATGTTGGATGTAGGGTGGAGTGGGTGGGATATGACGACAAACTGAGCCTCCGACAGAAGATAAACACATGTTGGATGCGGGGTGAAGTGGGTGGGATATGACTACAAACTGAGTTAAGCAGATACTGGATGTAGGGTGGAGAGCTACGACGACAAGCAGGGCCTCCGGGAGAAGTTAAGCAGATGCTGGATGTAGGGTGGTGTGGGCTTCGACTACAAGCAGGGCCTCCGGGAGAAGTTAAGCAGATGCTGGATGTAGGGTGGTGTGGGCTTCGACTACAAGCAGGGCCTCCTGGAGAAGTTAAGCAGATGCTGAATGAAGGGTGGTGTGGGCTTCGACGACAATTAGGGCCTCCGGGAGAAGTTAAGCAGATGCTGGATGTAGGGTGGTGTGGGCTTCGACTACAAGCAGGGCCTCCGGGAGAAGTTAAGCAGATGCTGGATGTAGGGTGGTGTGGGCTTCGACTACAAGCAGGGCCTCCTGGAGAAGTTAAGCAGATGCTGAATGAAGGGTGGTGTGGGCTTCGACGACAATTAGGGCCTCCGGGAGAAGTTAAGCAGATGCTGGATGTAGGGTGGTGTGGGCTTCGACGACAAGCAGGGCCTCCTGGAGAAGTTAAGCAGATGCTGAATGAAGGGTGGTGTGGGCTTCGACGACAATCAGGGCCTCCGGGAGAAGTTAAGCAGATGCTGGATGTAGGGTGGTGTGGGCTTCGACGACAATTAGGGCCTCCGGGAGAAGTTAAGCAGATGCTGGATGTAGGGTGGTGTGGGCTTCGACGACAAGCAGGGCCTCCTGGAGAAGTTAAGCAGATGCTGAATGAAGGGTGGTGTGGGCTTCGACGACAAGCAGGGCCTCCGGGAGAAGTTAAGCAGATGCTGGATGTAGGGTGGTGTGGGCTTCGACTACAAGCAGGGTCTCCTCGAGAAGTGAAGCAGATGCTGAATGAAGGGTGGTGTGGGCTTCGACGACAATTAGGGCCTCCGTGAGAAGTTAAGCAGATGCTGGATGAAGGGTGGTGTGGGCTTCGACGACAAGCAGGGCCCCCGAGAGAAGTTAAGCAGATGCTGGATGAAGGGTGGTGTGGGCTTCGACGACAATCAGGGCCTCCGGGAGAAGTTAAGCAGATGCTGGATGTAGGGTGGTGTGGGCTTCGACGACAATCAGGGCCTCCGGGAGAAGTTAAGCAGATGCTGGATAAAGGGTGAAGAGTCCTTCGACGACAAGCAGGGCCTCCGGGAGAGGTTAAGCAGATGCTGGATGTAGGGTGGAGTGGGCTTCGACGACAATCAGGGCCTCCTGGAGAAGTTAAGCAGATGCTGGATGTAGAGTGGAGTGGGCTACGACGACAAGCAGGGCCTCCGGGAGAAGTTAAGCAGATGCTGGATGAAGGGTTGTGTGGGCTTCGACGACAAGCAGGGCCCCCGGGAGAAGATACACCAATGTTGGTTGTGGGGTGGTGTGGGTGGGTTACGACGACAAAATGTCCTGGAAACAGTCTTTTGTGTTCCAGTTTCATTCTCGGGGAGACAAAAGAGGTATCTGGATATGATGTTCGATAACACTGAGGAATAAGAAAACAATTGTTGGATGCAGATCAGCTATTCCGTTCCCCATTTCTTTCACTTTGAGTACTCAGACAATGATAGCTCACATCGGCGTTTTGTACCTGAATAAATCCTAGCGTTATAACGGCGCGGCAACGCCACATTCACGCACTCGCCGATACTGTTATCCTTTTATGGAGTACAGGTGGCCCGGTCGTCTGAAGAGCGGTAATTCGCACAGCAGATCTGCGCCCATATAGTCGTGGGTTTGAATTCCTGATTAGCACTGATTATATTTCTGGGTTTGTCAGCACCATACGCGTGCTCGTGGGTTTCATCAAAGTGGTAAACGTCTGAGACCAGCATCACTTCGGGCTTACCTCACACATCAGGTTGAAACGCTGTGATGTAGCTGAAATACTGTTCAAGCTGGGCTAAGCCAAACTCACTTACTCACAAGATTCGAAACGTTTACCTGGTCTCAGAAGACAAACATTTATCATGCATGTTCGAAAGTCTAATGGCTGAAAATGGAATGATATAACTGAAAACATGTTATATTCAGAGCCAATTTACTATTTCGACTTCATCATAGGCATGTGTTTTTAAATCACAACCAAACAGTGATGACACCAGGTGTTCGCGAAATGGTAAGTGGATCCTACCCCATTGGTGGCACCCGTCACAAACACATGCAAAAGCAAATCTATTGTTCACCAGACAAAACATGGAATAAGGCTTAATAAGGAACTGCATAGGGCATCCCTTTTGTCACTGAAACAAACCCACTGTTCTCCTCTTGCTACAGGTGTGCTACATCAAGTCGTCCGGTTTTGGAGGCGTCATGGTGTGGGCCCTGGACTTGGATGACTTCTCAGGGGCCGACTGTGGCCAAGGCCCCTATCCCCTACTCCACGCCATCGTGGACGAACTCGCCACCCCAGACAGAACTAACTGTGTAGGACCAGGGCCGTAAGATTTTTTATTTGTTTGGGGGGACAATATAAGTAGTATATATCCCAAACAACCATAAAACATAATGATAATCTAAAAGGTTTTTTTAAGGCGTAGGCAATGCTGTGACGTCTTTATATCTACAATGATGCCGTTTGTTGTCACTTTAATGGCGGTGGGAACACGGGTGGCCCAGTAGTCTAAGGCGCTGCAATTCATTGTGCAGTGTTGCGTCCCGCAGTCGTGCCACGATACGATGATCATGGATTCCAAATCCAGGTTCGCTCTGATTATGGTCCCCGCGATAGGAGTACACATTACAGGAGTTGAAGTCTAATGCTCTTTATAGCGGCGTTAAACCTCAATCTCTCACTCGCGCAAGGTCGCGGACGATGCTAATGATGGATTATCATTATTATTTCAATAATAAACAAAATCACAGAAATTCACAGTTAGGCCTTACATTTTAATACTTGTTTTACGGTACCGCCGACCTTACAAATGGATATAGTAGGAGCCATATTGAAAGTTTTTTTATGTCGCCGACGGTAAGATTCGTCTGGATAATAAACCAGCTCATTACAATCACTTCTTCACGCTACCGCTCAACAAAGATCTGATGGCTGTACGACCGATTGCGTCAAATTCACCGTCCATCTCTCGCTTCAATGGGGTGAAACATCTAAAATTTGAGGAGACTTTCCATAGCCTGTGGGAAGTACTGTATTATACCTTCCAGATTGTTCGCTGATTCAGTTTTCAAATTTTAAATAGAGAACTTTCTCAAAATATTTTGTTAGTTTGAAACTTGTGCTCGTGAAGGCTGCTTTCTGATTCGCTGATGTCTACTTCTTTCTACTCATTTCACTAGAAAGGTCATTCTGACGTGACCCGCAATGGGATGTCCTCAGATCTTTGTTTCAAGGTAGCGAGAAGATATGATTTTAATGAGATTGGCTAATAAAAAGCAAATCGAAAATATTTGCATATACAGAAATGCTCAAATGAAATACTCTCTTTGGTGTGTTTTTTTAAAAACTTAAAACAGAAACAACACAGAAATTTAAAACACCATTCATCGGGTATTATTTTAAGGATTCTGTTTCATCTCCACCAACCGACAGATTTAAACGTCAAAGCCCCTCATAAATTCCTGTTACAGACCATTTTTTCAGTAATAAAATTAGTAAACTTCAAAAGAATGTCATGATCTCTGTTAGCTTTGTTTAATGCCGTTACACTTCCTCACCCCCAGGCACCAGGATATTAACCATGGTTCCGTCACCACTCAGCGTCCAGCGATCACCACTCGGAAACCCAACACTCCCCCGCAGGTCGTCGTGACGAACCCACCACCCGTCACCAACGGCCCTGTTTACAGTATGTAGCAATCATAGGAAGATTATTATGCTTTAATATAGAGACTACATACCGATATGTTACTATTGTATGGTCTCTGTCTTACGATAACCGTTAAGAGCCGTTTGAAGGCGGGTTGGGGACTTCACAATTCATTTAATTATTTGTCTTGCGAGATATGTTTAATGAATATGTTGTACTGTTGACGTGTGCACAAAGAAATTCCACCCTGACGTATTTACGTTACGTGTTATTGTAGGTCTTCTTGCCTATACGTATTACTCGAATTCTGTTTCTTTCAATTTCATTTGAAGTTTGATGCTATCTAAATATCATTTTACAAACCCCATTAAGATAAAAAGAAATCATGTTTTACCTGTAAAAAACATGACAGCATCATGCAAAATCATCATACAATCATTTTGATGACTATCTCTAATAATAGTATCGTAAACACAATCTTGCAGTGGAATCACGGGATCTAAACTCTAGATGCTATTAGAATGTACTCAGTAATTGCTGGTATAAATTTAATGTGAACTTTTATCAGTTAATATGAGGTTGCATGAATTGTATTCATGAATAACGTGAGACGCAAAATAAACTGTACGTCTCAGTTGATTTTATGATATGTTTGATTTTCACTTCAAATTCAAATATCAATATTTATTTAGGAAGGGCCATAGGCCCAAATACAGGAAGTTCATACAGTATACAGTTTGCAAGTGGAATCACATGTTTCATTTCTGGTCTTGAAGGCATATTTGGGATATAACAGAACAGATGTTAAAGGTTGATAATTTGAGGTAGCCAAAAGGCGAATGAATTGTTGGACTGACAGTCGAATTATTTTTTTATTTGGTATCTATTGCTTTCGAATAACGTTGGAGGTTGGACAAATAAAGGTGAAATGCATTTTCGGGAAGATGGGTGAAATGATACAGATCTTCGATATTGTTTAGATTACAATTTGTACATAATCTTTCAGAATAGTTCACAAAAGCGTTACCTCTCGAAATTTGTGACTTTTTTGAAGGTATGTGAACTCATGTTAATTAAAACAACTCTGTGGCGTTATTCTATTGTTCAAATGCTCCATTCTATTGTGTTAACGCACCTTTATTTTCCGGTGTGAAATTACCAAGGAAATATTTTCAGACATTTGTATAACCCTTTAAAGATTAGAAAAGAGTATGTATATTGTTGTGTTACATCAATGTATCCTATAACGGTGTTCATGTTAAACCTTTTGGCGAAAAAAACTTTAAATGGATATATTTCATTGTTCAGAACTCTGTATTTCCTATAACACCCGTCCGCATGTTTTTAGTTAGTGCAAGCGATTGATAAAATGTGTATTATACATAAAGATCAGCTCGCATGTTACGACCATTGACTTTATCATTCCAAACAATGCTTTGCAGACCATTGTGACGTCATCGGTTACCATGACGTCTCAATCAATTAGCTACACTAATCTTCTGATGCTGATTGGCTGTACATTTTACAGTCAAAACACTGATCATTACTCTTCACCAACAGAAAACGTTGGAAAAAGTATTGTGGATGATTAAAAGAAGCTCACGCTCGTGTCGACGAGCGTTGATATCTTTTATATCGAAAGACACCCGGGGGGGATTCTCTGTTCCCATACCATGTATGCGATCCCCCATCTTTAGATATTCTCAGCTTGTGATGCAGATACGTAGGTGTCGAAGCCTCATCCACTCACTCCATCATAAGGGACACACCATTTAACATTCTGGAGGTTGACCCCGAGAATGTTGCTAGTGAATTTGCTTAGTATTTTTTTCTTCACTGCTTCCAAACATTCATGGAATAGCCGAAGAAATGTATTTCATTTACATCATTTTTTCTCAGGCAATCCAACATGTCCGGCGAACGATTCCCTTTTTTGTAAAACTAGAAGAGAAATTAGTGTTTCAACCTTCATCAGGAACAAATTATTTTTTTACAAAAAAATCTTCACCGTGAATATCAAAATGTCGATCCCAAGATAGACCGAAGACCTCTTTGTGACTTTTAGATGGTTATCTTCCCGAGGCAAGAGAGTTAACTGACTATAAAAGTCAAGTTTCCACCCTTGCCGAACTAGGCTGGTATTATGGAGTTACATTTTGGCTGGACTAACGAATCTATGCATAGTCCAATCAAAATCGCGCACCGAAATCGAAATCCGGTTCGTAAACTGTCGTGCAGATTTCGGTCGATTGCAGGATTTGCAAAGCATGTGCACCACCAACTCGTTGTCAGCAGATATTTTTCAAATCTTTTCATGTTTTGAATCAAGGTGCTCACGTGATGTAAGACCCGTTTTATCACAAGATAGAATTTGATTATCGATCAGATCGTCCTGACAGGGCGCCACCATTTTGTGTGAAGCAAACGGAAGTGATACGAGAGGTGGAATCTGATTGGTTCATAGGAGAGGCTTAGAAGGGACATAATTGGTAATAGCCACTGGTGGCGCTACGATCGAGCCCAGTAATTCTAGACTAGTTCGGCAAGGGTGGAAACTGGACTTTTAAAGTCAGTTAACTCTCTTGCCTCGCGAAGATGTAAGATGGTATACACTATCCTTTGTTCCAGCTACGCCGCGCATTAAGCCCGTCAAGGACTTCAATTGCTATGGACGAATTAGCGACTTCTACCCTAGTCCCTACAGCTGCGAGGAGTACTTCATCTGTGCCAATGGCATGGCCTTCCGGGTCAACTGTGCCGTGGGGTTGCGCTTCAACCCTCAGACCAAATATTGCGACCGTGCAGCCAACGTCCCATGTAACAGTGGCAACAACACACCCGGGCCCACACACTTCGTCAGCAAGAGGCCTCAGGTCACTACGGCTCCACCACCTACAAGTACAACTAGCACCACGACTACCAGCACTCCGAGGTTAACTGTTCAACCAATAACGCCAAAGCCATACACACCAATCCGTACCACACAGAGGCCCTACACACAGAGGCCTTACACACCCAGAAAATCCACTTGGAACCGTGAGTACAACTTCCATCCAATGTTATCGACTGTATTATATTAAGTTTAATTCATACATTCGCAATAGTCAATTGTCTGTAGTGCAGCATGCTAATCTCTACAGGGATCGATATAATTATCATTTACGGCGATATATTTTGGTCCAAGCAGCCTCCTTTTATACGATATGGTTAAATAACGGCGCTCCCCCCCCTGCATTTAAGTATGGAGAACTCCACTGTCACAATATAGAAAGACATTCTCTTGGTTCTCAGTCGAAATACACCCATCTATCCTTTGTCTCGAAGTATGTGACACTATCTAACCAGTGTTCTGTCTAGCCAATGTGTACTCTATGTACCTAGAAACGGGTTCAACTCACCAATGTGTACCATCTATCCACTGTATTCCATCTAGCCACAGTGCTCTATCTACCCACTGTGTACTGCCCAGCTACATTGTACTATATATCCACGGTGTTCTCTCTACCCACTGTTCACCGAAGTGGTAAACGTCTGAGATCTGCATCACTCCAGGCTTTTCCCCCACATTAAGCTGACACGCCGTGATATAACTGGAATACATTAAAAGCGGCGTTAAACCCAACTCACTCACACTCTACCCACTCTCTAGTAAAAGTGTACTATCGAGACACAGTGTTAATCCACCTGCCGTGTACTATGTAGCGACGATGTTATTCTCCCATGACACACTTTCAAGTATGAGAAGGTAAGGGTCAAAACAAGAATAAAACATTTCATGTTTAACATTTCGTTGTTGCTGTCCATGTATTGATATACTCACATACTAACTACATGTCATCATCTACAAGGAACTTTCTTTCTAATGTTGTTTGAGGCGTTCTGCCATTCATTGTATAGGGGCATATCGGAAGGCAGTTTTGTCATTGTGTTAGCCATCAGTTTGCAACAGTTAAAACAGATGTATTATATACAAACACTTTCTATAGCGCTATTTTGAGATCGGTGGTTCATACGAAAAACTGATCGCCTGTCAACCCTAATTTTATTGATACACTTGTATCTGTCTATAATAGTCGAGAAAGCCTTAAACAAAAATTGAAACTGGTCCGCCCTTACAACAGGCAATCTAGCTATGATGACCTTGTTTAATCCAAATAAAGAAGTCGCCTCAACGGTGCAGTGGATAGAACGTCTGGCCAGAGAGCTTAAAATTCGAACTCCGGCATGATATCTCAGAGAAGCAGCTCAGTAAAACCGGCATAAGTCTGGACCAGTACAATTAACCACACACGTGCATCCACGTAGCTTATGTGTGAAATAATCTTGAATGCGACGTTAAAGTCAATTTCTCTTCACCTCGTGGAACTTCGTCACGATAATGGCTGACATATTGTCTATGTGACGTTAAATCTTAACTCACTCATCAAGTGGAACCACCTTCCAGACTATTTTAGGACAGTACCATGCCATTCTGCTTTCAAAGCACAACTGAACGCTTATCTTTTGTAATCTGTCTTTTAACTAACAGTGTATGCGCCGGGAGCATATTATCCATGGGCATTTATTATATTATTGTTACTCAAACTAACAAAATAAGGCGTTGAATATCGCCGCGTATCATATTTGTATCAAACTCAAACTAACACTACTAACCCATACTAACCTCTCTTCTCCAGCTACAGCGATAAACATTGGGGACTTCTGTCAAGGCCGTTCCAACGGCCTATACCGTGACCCCTACATTTGCTCGAAGTACTACCAATGCTACATGCAGCTTGGCTTCGTGCTCGACTGCCCTCCATACATGGCGTTCAACGAGGACATTAAGGCCTGCGACTTCCCGTACAGAGTGCCCGGATGTTGACGTCATCACTAACACTCGTCTGCGTACTAATAAACCAGCGTCACATTTCGTGTTGTCTTGTATTGTCTATGTTTAGTGAGTGAGTGAGTGAGAGTATGGCTTAGAGATTATTAGTCGAAGGTGTTTCCGTATGATGATTGTCATACATTAGGATTGAACAATATACCAGCATTTGGCTAGGTGATACCAAGTTTACGTCCATGTTTGATGGTGGCTACAAATGAGGAAAAACAAGAAATGGTTATTCGAAGGTGATGTATTTGATACTGATACCATAGGCGATAATACATGCATCATATCAATGAGTGTCTCACAACAGGTGATGTACATGTGACGTCTCAAGGATCTTTGGGGTCGCAATTTGACAGTACTCAGTCATGAGTGAGTGAAGTGTGAAGTTTCAGATGTATATTTTCTTTAGCCCGGCAGTTTAGGATAAAAGAAATTTGAATGTGTGTTGCAATCAGATTGGGATTCGAAGACGATCCGTCAACTGGCACAACGAAGTATTTGATTGACACCAACAAGTTGACAGGACATGATGACATGAAACTTTATTATGAACAATGACCCAATTCCATTTCTACTGCCGCTACTCGGGGTTTACAATCAGCTCCGCTATAACCACAACCACTACTGCGATCCTTGACGGGAAACGTGGATGGATGTCGTAGGATGGATGCCGTAGTTGTCACTCTATGAGCCATGTGTATCTCTTGTATGCAGTTTCTCAACACGTGTCTTGTCCCCAGCCGAATGCATGTAGCAGCTAAGGGACCTACCTGATGATAATTCTTCAGATTTAGGGGATGAAAAGAATAATTTTGCATCAAGTTTTACGCTGAATGTCCTAAAAAATGTATTAAAGGTGAATTGTACTGCTTTATACTTTTCAGAGAATAAAGTGTATGTCTTGAACCACTGACGGAAGCATCAACGAGCAGCCACGCACGCACGCACGCACGCACGCACGCACGCACACACACACACACACACACACACACAAACACACACACACAGTCCCTAGCACAATGTGGGGTGCATTTACATCTTTCCTATGTTCGACGATTGACACATATATACCCATGCTTGGCACATACTTAATATTTGTCATATATATTCAATTAATCAATTGAAATGAACTAGCAAACCAGCACGAAGCAGAAATGATAATTCTCAGCGTGAATTACTGAAACACAATTCACTGATATCCTTGACCCTATGGGTAATATTGATATAACAAAACTGTGTTGCCCTTTATGACAACCCAGTGGTTGTTATTATGAGCACCGTCCCACGCTGTCAGGGTACGATCACAACCGTAACCACCCGATCCAATTTAGTCGCCAAAAAAACCCAATCTACCTCGGGGTCTTCTTAATCATATACATGAGAGGCTAAATAGTTAGAGGCATATTTAACTGCAATGTGTATTCTCTTTTATGACAGTGTATTTTCCCTTGTGTGTGTGGTAGTGTGTGTGTGTGCGTGCGCGTGCGTGCGTGCGTGCGTGCGTGCGTGTGTGTGTGTGTGTGTGGCTTGGTGGTGGTGGTGGTGTGTGTGTGTGGTGTGTGTGTGTGGGGGGGGGATGTGTGTGTGTGACTTGGTGGTGGTGGTGGTGTGTGTGTGTGTGGGGGGGGGGGGGGGGCAGTCGCTACGCCAATTTGAATAGTATTTCAAATGAACCACGGTGTTTCAGCTTAATGTAAATAGAATTGCCGAACGTCAACACGTTTAAGAAGTTTACCAGGTTGAAGAAACTTACACACATGGATCATGATCAAGGCAAGCGAATTGTGGATTCGAACCTGCCACTGGCTGATCCTAGCTAAGGGACATAACTCTGCGCAGTAATCTGCAGCTCCTTCACACCTGCCTATTACTTTACATTTGCAGAGCATAACAAGTTGTCCTCCTTCGCCATTGCCCGCTTGCATAAACTGATTTTTAAACAATGTGTACATCTTTCATAGATTATAGGATAGTCAAATCTGAGCGCCAAGATCCAACTGAGGCAATGGGCACGTTCCCCCTAAAAATCTGCAACGCTGCAACGACCACAACTCTAGATCTTATACTTTGACAGTGTCATCTAACATCTTAATCAAATATACAGCATATATAGAGGATGTTGAAAGATATGCATCGGTGGTCAGGTGGAGAGGGGAATGAGTTTGATCATGGGGTTGTCTTGGAACATATATTCATTTAGCACAGAGGGGCAATATATAGTTTTATTAGATGAGGATAAAATAGAATTAGAGATACAATTAGAAAGTATACACTTATTAATAACACTGTAGGTAAAAGTATGGCTGTACCGTATCGAAAAGGAGATTTTCGAGATTTCAATTATATTTCATTCAACTGAAAACGTCACTGTCATAGCGTCTCAGATTCACAGGGGCACATACAGTGTAGCTCTGGTCACAATGAAGGCGGTGGGGTAGCCTAGTGATTAAATTGTTCGCTCGTCACTAGGAAGACCCGGGTTCGATTCTCCACATGAGTACAATGTGTGTAGCCCATTTCGGGTGTACCCCGCTGTGAAAGTGTGGGAATATTGCTAAAAGCGGCGTAAAACCATACTCACTCACTCACTCTGGTCACAATGGTCTCGGGCCTGTCTCTTCAAGGGCCTCAGGGGTCAAAACCAAAACGTGTTAGAGCAAACTGTCCGTCATATGAACAACTCCCAAGGGGTAAAAAGAATCTTTACCATTCTTCGTCGTGAAACCGTGCTGGGTGTGTATGTAACTAACAAGATATTATGGAATACTAGAAGAGACATCGTCGCCATTTCGCATTGTCGCGCTTCCGAAAGCAAAAAACAAAACGTGTCAAAATTAACCAAAGCGCGACCTTGTGACATTTTGGCAATTTGTCGCATTGTCGCGTTGTCGAATTGTCGCGCTTTGAATAATCCTTTATATTTTACCAAAGCGCGACAATGCGACATTTTTCAAGGTTAAAATATGTCGCGTTGTCACATTGTCGCCCCATCAAAAATGTGTCGGGCTTTGGTTAATTATGACACTTTTTGCTGGTTTTTGGAAGGTCGACAATGCGACAACGAGACAATGTCCCTTCTAGTATTCCATAAAATATACTCAAACATCATATGCTTCTAATAAATTGTCCAGTCAACATAAGTTGAGTTGAGGATTTTACTATCCAGTTAAGACTCAGTCGCACAGACAATACGACCGCGAAAAAATCTCCTGGCGACCAAAATATTTCACAATTGCAATGAGGTTTCAGGGGTATCGAAAGGTTTCACTGAGGTCGCTACAAGGTTTCAGAGCGGTCGCACAACCCATTCGGTCGCAACCCGCCTTTTGAATATGCGCACAAGATTTGGTCCCTCGGAGGTTTCATTGGTCTCCTAGAGGTCCATAAGTGGTGTTATTTTAATCGCAGGGGATTGGTTTCCACTGTGCGGCGATCGTTTTCGTATTCACAAGGGTGTAGACTCTTTGCAACCTAGTGGCGACCTATCGGTGATTGATCAGTGATGAGGCGGTGATCGACCTGCGCTTCATGGGTGACTGGTTGTCGATCGGTTGTAAAGTGGTTTCCAAGCGTGCGTCGATCATTCGCCATTAGGTTTGCAACTTGTCAGCGTCTCTGAAAAGACCTGTCTGTGCATTACATCATCATTTTGTCATAAGTAGTTCACATCAATTATTTCCATCCATCACTATGGTCCGTAAAGGCAGGAAAACAAAAGAACCAGAAATTGTAGAAGATACAGTAGAGCCAACTGCTGTGAGGAGGAAGAGCCAGAGATGTCCGGTGTTGACAGGCTCCATTCGGAGGTAGCCCACGAAATCACCACGACTTACTCTCTCCAACTCTGCCATCAGATTCCCATAGTTTCCTAGCTGTGGCCTTCTTGCGCTCCAATGTCACAGCCAATACTGCCTTCGCCTTGTCGGTCTTATTCTTCTGTACATCATCATGGCAGCAACTGCAACATTTTGATTTATTCTCTGCAGGCGGAGGAACTGCAACTGTTCTGCTGTTAACATCTTGATAACTTGCAAAGAAATGATTTGATTCAGAAAAAGCACCCTTTTTATATGCATTATGTTTTGATCGGTGATCGATCGAAACCAGTCACCGACCAATTCCCGTTCAGTTGCAACAAGTCACCGAAGATTCGCTGACTTGTCACCGATCGGTCTCAGCAAGTTGCAAACATTTCGCCGTACCTGCGGTGAACAGTTGCCGATCAATCACTGACAAGTTGCAAAACTTATCCTGATTGATCGGCGGTCGTACCCGAATTCCAAATATGGGCAGAAGTAGTTGCACCGATCTTAGCGATCGCCAGTCGGTCGCAAAGGAAATCACTCGCCAAGAGGTTGCATCGCGGTCGCATTGTCTGTGTGACTGTAGCTTCACCAATCATTAGTCCAACAAGTAGGAACATCCAAAGTGACAATACAATCTACACTGCATGAAAGCCCAACAGTAACGTGGATCCCAGTTGAACTGCAGGAAGAGTTAACCTAGACGTACAATCACGAAGGAAGTGCTTACTTTTGAGGCTTAATAACAAGACGATGAGTCTTGTTCACGATAGTGATTGGGCTTAGATCGTTTGGACCCGGTATTCGTGATCTCCCTTGTGTATCCATACGGTAAACGGTTTGAAAATAACACAGAATTTATAACAACTTATTTATTTTTACTTTTCAGTACTCCTCTTTCGGAATCCTCTCTGCTTTGGACGTGTGAATGGTTTGTATCGAGACCCCTTCAACTGCGAGCGCTATTGCGAGTGTTTCTTCCAAATAGGCATATATCGCCCTTGCCCTGACGGGACCGCTTTCAGCGAATATATGCAGATGTGTGACGATAAATGGCGGGTGCCCGGCTGCGACTAGAAAAAAACTGCAGTGACATTACTAATTCATAAACTATTTATTTGAATGTAAATGACAATGCTTTAATATTGGTATCATTTTCTATATTAAAATAAAAAATATTGTCATAATGTTAAAACATATTTTGAGATCTTCATAACATTTTGACAATGTCGAATTAATCAAGCAATTAGGCCAAGACTGCATAGTCAATAATTCATTTATTTATTTTATGTAAAGATCACTGTATCAATACTGATATAATTTTCCATACTTAAAAATATATTGTCATAAACGTTAATTTGAATTCATTAGATTTTATCGTCGAACTTTTCAAACATTTAGTCAACAAGGTGGAATGAAAAGATCATGTGACCTTTCACGTGACTGATCTGTTGAGACAAATACATACTGAACCCTGCTCAAATGCGAATACAAGGCTGTATGGATATATAGTTTATCAATATGTATATCCAGCCATTGGTTTCAGCAGCATGGAAATGAATAATTATATATTTGATATTTTGTTAATCAAATGAATAATAATAGTAATTGCCTACCTGTGCCTCTGAGCTGGCCCTTGAAAGCAGTCCTACCTTGACTTTGGTCGTTGTACACACAATCCTCATTTGAACGTACGACATTTGGAAAAGCAGCATTAACATTTGCTTCAACCTCCCCCACGTCACATCCTCCATCCGAGACGTCACTCCCGGCGCAAATTTGTCCTTGATAATGACCTTACCAGGCCTGCCAATGGCAACTGACAGATTGCAACAGAAATCTGCCATGTGCCTACAATGCAAGAGGAGTGAGTGAGTGAGTTGGGTTTAACGCCGCTTTTAACAGTATTCCCGTTATATCACGGCGTGGCAGCTTAATGTAGGAGGAAAGCCAGAAGTAATACAGGTCTCAGACGTTTACCACTTCGGTGAAACCCACGAGCACGGGTATGGTGCTGACAAACCTAGAAACATAATCGGGGCGAACTGGGATTCGAACCCACAATCATAGGTTTCTGGCGTGCCCAAAGGACGCAACTCTGCACAGCGAATCGCGGCGCCTTAGACGACTGGGCCACCCGTGCCCCCACAATGCAAAAGGAATCGGCAACATAAAACAATGAGAACCTAACCAAAAATTAAGATCAAGATCATCACAAATCTGAGAGCACGCTACAGAAAACGTGAAAACGGCAGCACTAAAATACACAGACCGCAGCCTTCCAAACTAGGCATGCGCAGAACAAGGAGGAAGTTGACAGTCATGATCATAATGATCAAGAAACAGCGAATACATGTAGGACATACAGCGCCAATATAGAACGTTCTCGGTGACATTGTGTATTGTTGTATTACCGCAGGAAGATGTTAATGCACTTGCTGTTTGTTGATCCTCATGACATGACCGCTCATCAACAGGTTGGGCCAGGAGCAAGGTATGGGCAGATGACCAGTTTGGTTTGCGTTTTGAACCGTCTGCGTTTTCAGAAGCCATCGCTTCTGACAGATGTCATGTACAAGCTCTGCTTGTTTACATCAAGTGACGGTCACGTGACACAAAATAATACCTTTAAACCTGAAGAGTGCGCGAAATTCTAAATATAGTACAGGGATTCCAACGTCCGAGCTAAGAGTTACTCTCCGCTACATGTGTCTTATAACTACACTCATAGCTAACACTTTTCTTTGCGAGTATTTAGTCGTCATAATATGTAATGTGACGTAATAGGGTTTGATGTAACATCAATTACTCGACAAATCACAAATGACACTTTGAAATATGATGCTGACTGCCGAATTGGATTTATTCACTACAGAAATAGTTGACCGAAAATAAATATTTGAAATTCACTATGATAAACTCCTTATATGTTCCACTAGTGGGGAGCCACTGGGCTGTACGTATTTGACGAGTTCAGTTGTCTTTTACACCCAACGACAGAGGGCGAAAGCGTGTTCATGAACTCATAGTATTTTGATATTTTGATCAAGGTAGTTCTGTCTATCTTATAACAGGCACGAGTGGTTGCCTTCTACACCGGCCGCAGTGTCAAGAATATCTTGGACAGAAGCGACAGGCGCTGTTGGTGTTGTCGCACAGTCGCACGGTGGAATTAAAGTAGCTGCAGTCGTAGCGGGGGCGCTGCTGATCGGCCTCGCCTCGAATATCCGTGCTAAACGAAAGAAAAGAGGCATAAGGTTCTGGGTATCTGCAGTGTTTGCTGATGAAGCTGGATCTAACGCCGCTTCTAATGTCTCTCAGTGTTATCACGACGTGTCGATTTAATCGGGACAAAGTGATGAATATCTTAGACGTTTACCATTTTGTTGAGCCAGTGAATGAATATATAGGTATTAACGCTGCTTTGAACAATATTACAACTGCATCACTATATGTCAGCTTTATGTGGGAAGAACTGATGAAGGTCTAAAATTGTAAACACTTTTCATCGTGGGTTGCACCAGAGTTTGATGCTGACAAACCACAATCAGAGCGAATCTGGGATTCGAACTCACAATCATCAGCCTTACATATCTTTATTTCAATCACGGCGAGTGACCTTAAAGTGAGAGAAAGGCTTGTTGTCATGTTGTAATCGTTAACCGTTTGGTGAAACCGACAAGCAGGGCCATGTTACTGACACACCAAGACACATAGAGAACCTGGGATTCGAACCTAAGATGACCTTACGGCACGCATCTCTGTACAGGGAAATGTGGCGCCTCTTATTGATTCTGATTATCATACAGTTGTGATTTACTTGATTTCATTCATTGTGTATGAACTACCTATGCGGCGTCCGCAATGCATGGAGGGTCTACGGGATATTGGCATGCTGGGAACTGGCAGACAATAAGTTTCAAAGTCTGTGATTAGCGGCTATGGTATCAATAAACCCAAAATGATGACGATAGGCTCGTTCAGGACGTCCCAGGTCAACGACAAAAGTTGCTGCAAGCGTTCATCAGGTTACGGGTCAGACGATTAGAAATCGTAAAATGCAGCTCATCTCCGTGCTCGACAGCCACGTGTTGCTCCTTTTATAATTACCTATATATAACCTATATGAATGAGAAGGTGATCACGATGTAACACGGTGACATCACTGGTATGGTAGGATCTGCTCACCCGTAGGATCTGCTCACACCTGGTGGCATCATTGTGAATAAACAACGATGCTTGATATTTACTGTGGGCCTTTCAAGTAACCCGTGACAGCGAAACGATATGATTTCATCCACGTATTGTTGAACTCACTTTTCATATCACGAAACGTGTTCCTACAAGTCATGCATTCAAAGCCTTCTTAAATACCATTCGAGCAGTCGGAAGCTCTCTGTCAATTTACATTCCGATTTTGTGTCGCATTGCAAAAAACTGCCGAGCCCGCACCGCCAGTTCCTATCTTTGGGAGATAATATATGACCGCAGTCTACAGAGATAAGACACTGGAAACTGAAGCATTACGCAACCTGCTGCTCTGAACAGCCTTTTGATCGTTGCCAGACTGCACACTGCAAACGTTTATTGCTGATTTTCTTCACAGTAAGGTAGGTCTTCACCAAGTATATCGCTCTTTAGGCTGGGCATTGGTCAACGGTCATCGCGCCAGAGTAGGAGTATTCAGGAACATGTTTAGGGGTAGGGAGTGCAGGAGAACCACTTGTTCCATCGGAATTATGAATTCTTAACATATTGCATTGCGGTTGCTTTGTGTACTGTTATATATGGCCATGACGGCACTCGTGTGTTTTGTAGGTGGGAAATCTGATATTGTTTAAAATATTCAGTGGTATTAAGTGCCCGTTTGAATAGAAGGATATGCTACCATGGTGCATCATTATCCAAATGTGAGTTAGTGTGAACAGAACACATTGCTTGAAATATATTTATAGAGGTTATGCTAGGTTATCTGTGGGCGTGAGACTGACATGTGTTGAGTGGTTAGTTGTTTAACGCCGCACTCAGCAATATTTCAGCTATATGACGGCATGTACATAATCGCGATACACCGGTAAAAGATCCGGGTTAGAATATGCCATGCTTGCCAAGCGACTAATAGTATGCTTTTCGTAAGAGGCGAATTACGGGTATCGGGTGCGTGGCTCGATGCTCAAAGATGTCAAGCACTGGGCTGTGTAGTGTACAAGTTCCTGAGATTTATCTTCATGTTGGCTAGTTCGCTCCTGATAGTTCCATTGTTTTCCTATTTTTATGAACGTGACAGCATATGAACGCAGTTGCGCACATAATGGAAAACGATTTTATGTGACAACAGAAGAAAACAGAAGAAAACTGAGAGGATATCTTAGTGAGTGTGTGAGTGAGTGAGTGAGTGAGTATGGTTTTACGCCGCTTTTAGCAATATTCCAGCAATATCATGGCGGGGAACACCAGAAATGGGCTTCACACATTGTACCCATGTCGGGAATCGAACCCGGGTCTTCGACGTGACGAACGAACGCTTTAACCAGTAGGCTACCCGACCGCCCCATATGCTATCTTAAGGACACCTCACGAAATACACATATTCTTGCGCATTTTATCACTAAAGTAATTATTAGTAATATGTAGAATAGCCTATTCGCAACTCGCATTATACGTCCTCGTAAATTGATGTTGGAAGACCCTCGCCAAGGCTCGAAACATATGTAATTAATTCTCCGGGGGCAGATAATCCATAATTCCTCGTTGGTTGTTCTTCATTCAAACGCTGTCAAATAGCAGGGTAATGTGTCAGCATCACAGTGTTAATAAGAAAGCATCAAAATCAAAGGTGTCAATTTAAAAGTATTACTTACAAGGGTGTCAATATCAAAGTATTAATATCAAGGGTGTCAGTAAAAATAATCAATATCAAGGTGTCAATATAATCGTATTTATATTAAGGGTTTTATTTTCAAAGTAAACATATCAAGGGTGGCAATATCAAGGTAAAAATATCAAGGCTGTCAATATCGAAGTATTATTTAGATCTTCAGCAGTCCATGCTTGTCAGGTTAGGCGACTAACGGGATCGGGTGGTCAGGCTCGCTGACTCGGTCATCGATCCCAATTGGGTTGATCGATGCTCATGAGGTCAGTCCCTGGATTTCCTGATCCAGACTCGATTATTTACAGACCGCCTTCATATAGCTGGAATATTGCTCAGTGTGGCGTTAAACAACAAACAAACAAAGTATTATTGTCGAGGGTGTTAGTATTACTTTAAAAATGTCAATATCAAAGGGACAGTATCAAAGTATTAATATCAAGGTGTTAATACCGAAGTATTAATATCGAGGTGTAAATATCAAAGTGTCAATATCAAAATATTAATATCAAGAATGTCAATGTCAAAGTATTAATATCAAGGGTGACAATATCAAAGTATAAATATCAAGGGTGTCAAGTGAGTGAGTATGTTTTTACGCGGCTTTTTGCAATATTCCAGCAATATCATGGCGGGGGACACCAGAAATGGCCTTCACACATTGTACCCATGTCGGGATTCAAACCCGGGTCTTCGGCGTGACGAGCGAACGCTTTAACCACTAGGCTACGCAAGGGTGTCAAGTCAAAGTATTAATATCAAGGGTGTCAATATCAAAATAACAATATCGAGGCTATCCATATTTAATATTAATATCAAAGTGTCAATAGCAAATAGTCATAGTAAAAAACTTATCTGTTCTTGAAATATGTTTGTTGCTCTAGCCAAAGTTAATAACTTGGCCAATCACTTGGGCTACGTATTGGAAGGTTAAGCGCATTTCAGTTGGCGGTCTGAAACGTCATTCAACAAAGCGTTATAATCTAGATCAATCTAACAATATTGTAACTCCGATCCCATACAGACAATATCTCAGTTCCACAGGAGGCATTACTTAAAGCGTCTCGACCTACGCTGATATATGGAAACATGCAGCCGAGCCTAATTTCCCTTTAATTGAACTTTAGGCTTTTTGAACACATATATGCGCACCTACACGTATCATTTCTGTCAAGCCAATGAGTTAGGATCCGTGTCAGTTGACTTATATCTTAATATAAGTAGGCTAATACCTTTTATGACAAGGCCAAGTATGACCTACTCCCAATTCTTCCAAATTGTACGAATCAAGAAATCACGTCACAAATCCGATCGTAGTTTTACTTTTTTCGTACGTCAACAAAATAGAAGCTTGAATACTGTAAGAACAGCAACACATCTTATGACATACAAATAACCAGTTCACCGGATCTCGATTCTCTATGATGGATATAGAAACATTATTATACATGATTTGTTAGACAGCTGCTTTAGACATGTCTGCACTGATATGTCTGGATGAGTGAGTGAGTATGGTTTTACGCGGCTTTTAGCAATATTCCAGCAATATCACGGCGGGGGACACCAGAAATGGGCTTCACACATTGTACCCATGTCGGGAATCGAACCCGGGCCTTCAGCGTGACGAGCGAACGCTTTAACCAGTAGGCTACCCGACCGCCCCTATGTCTGGATGAAAAAAGGTAAACATACAAGATAGTTTTCTACATACTTAAGACACATCTGCACTGCTATGTATGGTTGGGACAAAGGGTAAATATACCAGAACGTTTTATACATCCTCTAGACATGTGGGCACTGCTATGTATGGATAAAAAATGGTAAACATACAAGATCGTTTTCTATATACTTTAGACATGTGGGCACTGCTACGTCTGGATAAAAAAATAGGTAAACATACAAGATCGTTTACTACATACTTTAGACATGTGGGCACTGCTACGTACGGATGGAACAAAGGGTAAACATACAAGATCGTTTACTACATACTTTAGACATGTGGGCACTGCTACGTACGGATGGAACAAAGGGTAAACATACAAGATCGTTTACTACATACTTTAGACATGTGGGCACTGCTACGTACGGATGGAACAAAGGGTAAACATACAAGATCGTTTACTACATACTTTAGACATGTGGGCACTGCTACGTACGGATGGAACAAAGGGTAAACATACAAGATCGTTTACTACATACTTTAGACATGTGGGCACTGCTACGTACGGATGGAACAAAGGGTAAACATACAAGATCGTTTACTACATACTTTAGACATGTGGGCACTGCTACGTACGGATGGAACAAAGGGTAAACATACAAGATCGTTTTCTACGTACTTTAGACATGTGGGCACTGCTATGTCTGGAACAAAAGATAAATATACCAGATCGTTATATACATGTTTTGACACAGACCTTAAAATATATGTTCTTTCAGAAATCGGTTCTCTGTACCTAATGCAACCACTGTTATCTGGTATAATTTCCGCACTGAACAATATTTGTTTCATTTAGTTAACATATTTTTGGACATATCTGACATAGGCTAGGTGCAGTTATTTTCGTAAATAAATCAAGTATACATGCAGGAACCGTAAATTTGGGCAACATGGATTACTAGTACACCTTACATGTTTGTCTATATAAAGTTGTTTGTTTGTTTGTTTGTTATTTAACGCCGCTCTCAGCAATATTTCAGCTGTATGACGGCGGTCTGTAAATGATAATGTGGACCAGCCAAACCAGCGATTGACATCATAAGCATGAATCTACGCAATTGGCATTCGGTGACATGCATCCGCCAAGTCAGAGAGCCTGACTATCCGATCCCGTTAGCTGCTTGTATGACATAAGGGATCACTTCAACTTTCCAATAATCAACCTTCCCTTTATGTGTAGGAATATTCCGCCAGCTGCAGCCTTTGTTATCTTCCACAACGTGTGAGGTACAAGTGAGCATGTTCTGTCAACGAATCCTGCTCAAATGTTGTTTGATCAGGGTTACAACTTTCACGGCCCCAATAAAGATTTCAAAAGGTTTTATGGTAGACATGTGGATGCCATTTCCAGCCTTGGTAGCATCACTTGTGACTCATAAACACATGCTCATGATATTTCATCGTACCATGGATTTATTATTATCATAAAAAGGGTTTTGTCATTATTATCTTAGTCACACAATCACTGGAGACAGGACCTCGTGACGAGGAACACGCGATGACCTACGTTATCTGGGGTTATCTGGGGTATATATAGTCCCCGCTACTTCATATTCCATAGTTTCACCTTCATTTGTCTTCCAGATGATCCCCCGGGCATCCCTGTTGCTGCTCCCCGTGGCGGGAGTCATCTTCCTGGCACTGCACGCTGTCCAAGGTGAGATAACTGTGTCATGACAAACACTTCTGTACATCAATTTCATAATACCATCATGTTACAGGTTCAGGGCACAGGAGAGTGTGTTACTGCACCAACTGTCATACATGTCATCCATTATGTTACAGGTTCAGGGCACAGGAGAGTGTGTTACTACACCAACTGTCATACATGTCATCCATCATGTTACAGGTTCAGGGCACAGGAGAGTGTGTCACTATATAAACTGTTACACATGTCATCCATCATGTTACAGGTTCAGGGCACAGGAGAGTGTGTTACTACACCAACTGTCATACATGTCATCTATCATGTTACAGGTTCAGGGCACAGGAGAGTGTGTTACTACAACAACTGTCATACATGTCATCCATCATGTTACAGGTTCAGGACACAGGAGAGTGTGTTACTACACCAACTGTTGCACATTTCATCGTTCATGTTACAGGTTCAGGGCACAGGAGAGTGTGTTACTACACCAACTGTCATACATGTCATCCATCATGGTACAGGTTCAGGGCACAGGAGAGTGTGTTACTACATCAACTACATGCCATCCATCATGTTACAGGTTCAGGGCACAGGAGAGTGTGTTACTACACCAACTGTCATACATGTCATCTATCATGTTACAGGTTCAGGGCACAGGAGAGAGTGTTACTACATCAACTGTCATAGATGTCATCCATCATGTTACAGGTTCAGGGCACAGGCGAGTGTGTGAATACACCAACAGTCATACATGTCATCCATCATGGTACACGTTCAGGTCACAGGAGAGTGTGTTAGTACACCAACAGTCATACATGTCATCCATCATGTTACAGGTTCAGACCTCAGGAGAGTGTGTTACTACACCAACTGGTCTCAGTATCGTTCCGGTAAAGGGAAATACACGCCGGAGAATGTTAACCCTAACCTCTGCACACACTACGTGTACGCCTTCGCCACCTTGCTAGGCAACAGGATCAAAGCTTTTGAATGGAATGACCTGTCCACATCTTGGAGCAAAGGAATGTGAGTGTAATCTCAAATAATGGCTGAATTCAATCAGCATCGAGACGATTCCACCGTCAACCCGTTAATTGTGATCGACAGAATGATAGATTTATTTGGTCAAAGCAGTGTATTCACTCAATCAGCTCTGATCGTGGGTTCGAATCCCAGATTCACCACGATTATAAAAGTTACTTTACCAGCATCTTACCCGTGCTCAAGGTCGTAAGCGTCAACGATCTGCATCCCTTCCACAATAGGTGAGGTGAGGTGAGGTGAGGTGAGGTAAGGTGAGGTGAGGTGAAATGGAGCTTAACGTCGCGTCCAAGATTTTTGCATAGCAACGCCTGATGCCGATTAATAGTGCTAGCACACTGAGATACCATGCCGCTGTTTAGCATGAATACCCCACACAGTATGCTGACTACGAGCCGACCAGTCCTTGTTTTAGCCCTTTAATGTCGAACGCCAGACAGGGTAACAAGAAGTACCATTTTTTAACGTCTTTGAGTATGACGCGGCTGGGATTGAACCCGGGACCTTCCGCTTTCCGGGCGGACGCTCTACCACTAGACCACGGAGGCGGTCCTTCCACAGTAAGTCATAATTCCGGGATATAACTCAAATACTGTTCAGGGTGCCGTTGCATCAAACTCACCAACTACAAACGCTATTAGTCTCAAACAGTAGACAGTACAGGTTTACCTATATTTTGAAGACAGATTCAAAGATTCAAATGATGTTGATCACGAGTAACACGATTCTGTAAACTGTTTCTGAGTTGTTATGGTCTGTTTAAATGGACCTTTCAAGACAATTTTTAAATGTTGGTATTAATCTATACATCACTTTACAGTATCAAGTGTATTTCATTTATTTTATCAGTGTCGACATATTTAATACGAGTGGCAAAGTCGTCTAAGGCTGTGTAGAGTTGCGTCCACGATCGTGGGTTCGAATCCCGGTTCAGCCTGATTATGTTTCTAGGTGTGTCAGCGCCATACCCGTGCTCGTGTGTGTCACCAAACAGCTGAACGTCTAGACTTAAATTCAAACCTTCCTCCCACATGTATCTTACACATCGGGATATAACTGAAATAATGTTCAAAGCATCATTCACCATGCAGGTTCGAACGTTTTATGGCGTTGAAGAAAACCAATCCAAGCATGAAGGCCCTGCTTGCTGTTGGGGGCTGGAATCTTAAGTCGATGCCGTTCCATGAGATGTCCCACACTCCCTCGGGGAGGAAGGAGTTCGCGGACTCTGTTGTCAAATTCCTCCGAGACAACAAATTCGATGGCGTGGATGTTGACTGGGAGTATCCTGCAAACAGAGGCGGTCCACCAGAGGATAAACATCACTTTACCGAATTGCTTCAGGTAACACGTGAGGCGGGTTAGAAGAGATCATTCTAGGACAAGCCGAACCGCAAACCCGCACCCCTTGTAGCCATTATATAAACTTGGTTCCGTCTTGAAATAAAAATAGTAAAGAAGAAAGGTCTATTAATATTAACTGATTTGGTCTCTGACACAGTTTCTAAACGATTATCTATGACGGTGCATTCACATTATGTTCTGATTTAACATTGAACTGACATGACGCAAAATTCGATGTACATGGAATTAAACTTCGATTTGAAAACAAACAAACTTTGGGTTATCAACACTGGAAAACGATTGGAAACAATTAAAAGAATGATCTCAAACTGGAGGAAACGCAACTTGGCATTAATAGTAAACATAAATGTGATAAAAACCTTGGCTTTGCCAAATATGGTTCATATATTAACTGCTTTACCAAATCCCCCAATATAATTTATACACGAATTAAACTTACAGCATTTTCTTCAACTTTATATAGAATGGAAAGAGAAGAATAAAATTAGAAGAAGAATAGACCTAGTTAGAAAATTTGAAGATGGTGGCCTTAGAGTGGTTGATATTACAATGTTTATTTACTCATTTAAGTTATCGCGTATCAAACCATATATTTCTAAACCAAAAATCTATCATCTTTCAGATTTTCCCCTAAAAAAAGATATTTTCCGTTTGCGGGCTTATATAAAAAAAAACGCTTTCATATCACTAACCCATTTTGGAAAGACGGATTAGATGCTCGGAACAAGGAACAAATAAACTCTTCCAAAAAAGAAACGCAAGGCCAGATTTGTGTGAGATAGGAAAATACATCTATACGAGGAACCGTACAGGATATTGAGCAAAATGTAGTGGAGAGAACACTTGGTGATTGTAGTCGACTCAGTTATCGGTACATAGGAAAAGTCCGAGGTGAAGGTCAGCTACCATCAATAACACGTATGTCCCCCGTTGGAATCGATAGCGGCCTGACATATCCTGCCCATGGAAGAGACGAGTATGCGAATCCCATCCTAGGGAATGGTAGCCAACTCGGCCTGCAACGCAAAAACCAACTGCTGCAATATCCGAAGTTGTGGTTGACGTCGGCGTAGCCGTCTACCCAATTCATCCCACAGGTGCTCTATTAGTTCAAATCCGAAGATCTGGAGGGCCAGGGGAAAACATCAACGTTGTCGTGTAGACAGGCTCTTGTGACAGGCTGCAATTGGGAGGACGTGTGGAAGGATAATTTCGTTGATGTATCGTTGAGCCGTAAGATTACCCTGGATATGGACTAAACCTGTCCTGCCATGATGTGAGAAAGCCGCCCACATCATAACGCTACCCCCATAAAACCTGTCCACTTCCTGTACGCCGTTGCCGGCGTAACGTTCTCCCCGACGTCTGTAAACCCGTGCTCTTCCATCCCCTCGACGGAGTAGAAATCTTGATTCGTCGCTGAACCAGACATCTCTCCATCGCAGTTGAAGCGATACATTGTGTTGACGACACCAATGCAGTCGTTGTTGATGTTATCGACTCAATATGACGCGTCGAACACGACGTCTTGCTGGTAGACCTGCTGCTCTTTAACGGTTTGGTCTGGTCGGAGATTCTGCGCAGTCCGGGTATTTGGGATGCGGTTGAGGTGGCTGTGGTCGTCCTTCCACGTAGGTGGCGCAGTCGGATGTAGCGATCTTGGGCGGGGGTGGTTACTCTTGGTCGTCCCGATCTTTGCCGATCACGTGTTGACCCATGCTGTTGAAATGTGATGGTGCTTGGCTGCCTTGTGATGGGGCTGGGCGCTACATTGAATAACCAGGCTACAGCTGATCGGGATCCTCCTGCCTACAAGCGGCCTATGACGTTGTTTCTTTGCACTTCTGTTAAACTTGGCATGTTCGATTGACGCAGATGCCAGGCAATCCAAAACCCTGCACTTCTAATACCGTTCTAATACCGTGAAGCTCCATGGCCCTTTTGTTAATGTACTTGCGTTTATTCGAATCGTACGTGTTTCCCGACTAATGGTTTGCATGTCCTTGTTGTGACCATTTTGATCTGGAAAATTTGTCACTGACACTATAACACATTAAACCTCTTCATTTTGCACATCTTAGTCCCCTTATTTTAATTTGATGGCCTAAAATATCCGTATTGCGTTTCTTTTTCTGAAGAGTACATATCAAATAATGTACGTAATAAACGAAAATGATGTTAATGAAATTCTAATGCAAATATAAATTAATTGTATAATGATAAATGTAAAATAACAGATAATATTATTAGGAATTGGTATGCAAGGGATGTTTATCATGTAAAAGATGTATGTAACTCAAACGGTTTTATTCCATTTTCTGAGCCCAAAAGTAGTGTGTGGCATAAAAAGGTACTTTATTAGAATATAACCGTTATAGACCTAAGCAGCATAAGCCATGGAAAGATATTGGGCATGATGCTAAAAATCTAGACAAAATGAATTTCTCCTCCATGGCATGATTTAAGCAAAGGTTCAAGGATGTTTTCTCTAATGTCTATTTTCAAGAAATTGCCGAGCAATGGGAACGAGAATTTAACTATTAAATTTACTAGAAACATGTATTTTAACTATATAGAAAATATCTACAATAGATAGTTACAAAATATAAGAATTTCAATTTACATTCCTACACAAAATTATATACACTAAAAAGGAATTGTTAAAGATGAACTTGATTGACAGCAAGCCTATTCAAATTTGTGTTCATTTTGCAATTCTGACAATGAAAACATTGCTCAGGTATATTTAGAATGCTCGTACGTAAAATAAGTCTGAAATGAATTTAATGCTTTCATAAATGTTATTTTAGGACATGTTATTATTACAAAACAAGATATTTATTTTGGAGGTACAAATAACGTCTTATTGAATCATTTATTAATATTAGCAAAATGACACATTTACGTAACAAATATTAAACGAATAAAACCATGTTATAAATCAGATGGACTTGGTAACTTGTTAGACACAGACCATGCATATTAACCAAGAATATTAAGTGGGCATTCTTTGATCAAAGTATTTATAGTCATAAGTGGTTTGTCGTGTTTTCACGCTTAAATTGATCAATAAAGGGAATAAAACTTCTTGAAGGTGACGAATAGATCGCCCCCGAAAACTCTTTTGCTTGTCGTAAATGACTACTAAATCATCAGACTCGGAGATTTTGTTGATTGTTTGTTATTGTAACCAATTGGCGTGGGGTGGTGTCCCCTACCGTGAAGTTGCTGGGATATTGCTAAAAACGGTTCGATTATTTACGGGTTGGTATGAAAAAGCAGGAATATCGTTAAACAACATACATTCACTGATTCAGTTTAGAAATGAAATGTGACTCAGTATGTCACATATATTTACAAACGTTAAGACAATCTACATTGGACTGGAATAGCCGAATAGAGAATTGTTTTCAGGCACTGTACGATGCTTTTGTGGCGGAAGCGCAGCAATCTGGTAGACCCCGACTGATGTTGACGGCGGCCGTGGCGGCGGGAAAACCCAACATTGACACTGCATACGAAATCCCGGAAATATCAAAGTAAGTGGTGGAAGTCACACGACCGGGAAGATGTTGTAAGTGAGAGACTAACAGTCACATAAGGGGATCGGATTTCTAAACAAACAAATTTCCATAGAAAATATACTGAAAGCAGTGATGGAGAAATATTCTGTTTCTAACCAAAACAACATGTCCTTCGCCCAATCACATAAGAACGTTAAATGATCGGCCCCTAACGTATTTTCACTGAGGCAAAATTAAGTAGACGAAGCAAGTATATTTTAGTAGATGTTAAGGCCTTATCCTGCCACCTTTATATTCTGGTTCTGCATCATGTTGTGTTTTGATGCTGCCTAGGATCTTGGACTTCATCAGTGTGATGACCTATGACCTGCACGGCAGTTGGGAGGACCACACCGGCCCCAACAGCCCTCTGTATCCACGTATTGACGAGACCAACGATGACAGGTACCTTAATCTGGTAAGTGAGTGCGCGGGGTTGGGTAGCTTAGTGGTTAAAAGCTTTGGCGTTACACGCCGACGAGCAAGGTCAGATATCCCAAATAGGTAAAATCCATGAAGGCAAATCGTTGTGTCCCCTTGCCGTGGACATATTGCAGTGTAGTGACTATCACCTTATCCATGTATAAAACGAGGATTCGCTTTTGATTTTGTGAATAAAATATTTTCATATCAATTTGTTTTTAGCATTGGGCAGCTGAATACTGGGTGAAGATGGGCGCTCCTAGAGAGAAACTAAACATAGGCGTGGCTCTATATGGTCGCACGTTCACCCTGTCAACTGCTGACAACACCCTAGGTGCACCTGCCAGTGGCCCCGGCGCAAAAGGACCGTACACAGGCGAGGCGGGCTTCCTGTCTTACCAGGAGGTGACTTCCCTTCGAAACATTTTTTGATATCCGTGACACGTGAGCTTCACGTTCGAACCATTAGCTCTTGGATCACTGTTATGTTGGAGAAAGTGCTTTTTTCTTGTTTAGAATGAAATATGATGGTGGTTCATACATATATGTCCTCTGACCACTTTGGATATAAATTATTTTACGATACCAATTTTTCTTATTTTCTTACGTTCATTGAAAATCAACATGGACATGTTATGGTTTCAGATTTGTGAAATGGAGCAAAATGGTGGCAAAATTGTAGATATTCCCGAACAGCGAGTCCGCTATATTACCCGAGGCGATCAGTGGGTGGGCTACGACGACAAACTAAGTCTCCGGCAGAAGGTACGCTGATGTTGGATGTAGGGTGGAGTGGGTGCGTTACGACGACAATCAGGGTCTGCTTGAGAAGGTAGGCACATGTTGGATGTAGGGTGAAGCGAGGGGGTTACGACGACAATCGGGGTCTCCGACAGCAGGTACGCTGATGCTGGATGTGGGGGGATTTGGGTTGGCTTCGACGACAATCGGGGTTTCCGGCAGAAGGTAAGCATATGTTGGATGCAGGGTGGAGTGGATGTCCTACGACGACAAACGGGGCCTCCGGCAGAAGGTAAGCAAGCATATGTTGGATGAGGGTGGAGTGGGTGTGCTACGACGACAAACGGGGCCTCCGGCAGACGGTAAGCAATGCTGGATGTAGGTCGGAGTGGGTGTGCTACGACGACAAACGGGGTCTCCGGCAGAAGGTAAGCATATGTTGGATGCAGGGTGGAGTGGATGTGCTACGACGACAAACGGGGTCTCCGGCAGACGGTAAGCAAGCATATGTTGGATGCAGGGTGGAGTGGGTGTGCTACGACACCAAACGGGGCCTCCGCCAGAAGGTAAGCAAGCATATGATGGATGTAGGGTGGAGTGGGTGTGCTACGACGACAATCGGGTCTCCGGGAGAAGGTAACCAATGTTGGATGTTGGATTTCTATCAGTTTGAGAAGAGTCCTAAGACAATGATAGCTCACTTGAGCGTTTCGTTCCTGAATGGCACATAGTGTCACTATGGCGCGTCTAATGCGCCGTAAGTCGCTCTGCAGATTTGTGCCCTTTAGTCGTGGGTTCAAATCCTAGATTAGCACCGATTATGTTTCTAGGCTTGTCAGCACCACACACGTGCTCGTGGCTTTTACCAAAGTCGTAAACGCCTTAGGCCTGCATCAAGCTGACATGACGTGATATAACTGAAATATTGTTCAAAGCGGCGTTATACCAAGCTCACTTCACAAGCTATGCACCACTCAGAACCATGAAATGGGGTTTAAGATTATTGCACTTGTATAGCGACGTTTAAAACACGTTCAGAGCAGTGTCAAATAAAAGCTAAGAGCAGAGTCAATTTGTACGATCCCGACCATATTATAAGCATTTTTTTTATGAATTACTATCATATAGCGACAATACCATGTGAGCGGAAAGGTGAGTTACAAACACATGCAAAGGGAAGTCAATTATTCACAAATGGTACAAGGCTAAATAAGGAATTGCATAGGTTACTGAACTAATCTCCCTGTTCTCCTCTTGCTACAGGTGTGCTACATCAAGTCGTCCGGCTTTGGAGGCGTCATGGTGTGGGCCGTGGACTTGGATGACTTCTCAGGGGCCGACTGTGGCCAAGGCCCCTATCCCCTACTCCACGCCATCGTGGACGAACTCGCCACCCCAGACAGAACTAACTGTGTAGGACCAGGACCGTAAGATTATAGATTTGTTTTGAAGACAAAAAAGTAGTGTATATATATCTAACACAAGCATAAACCTGAAAATAACAATATGAAGGTGTATATAGGCTAAAGCAATGCCGTTACCTTCTTTAGTTGTCATTGTATTGGCGGTGGGAACACGTGTGGCTCAGTCGTCTAAAATTCAATTATCGTGGGTTCGTATTCCAGGCTCTGTTTATAGTCCTTTGGTTGTCAACACCGTACGCGAGATCGTTGGTTTGACTAAGAGAATAATCGTCCTAGATTGCATCACTTCGGGCTTTTCTCTCACATAACACATAGTGATATAACTGAAATAATGTCCTTAGCGGTGTTAACCCACTCACTCACTTCACTCGCTGTTGCGGTATATGTAGGCCCGGTTGTTGACGATGCTAATGATTGATTATCATTATTACGATGATAAACAAAATCACAGAAATTCACAGAAAGGCCTTACATTTTATTATTTGTTTTACGTCACGCCGATCTCACAAATAGAAGTGCTAAGATCAGTATTGCAAATTGTTTTAAATGTTGCCGACGGTAAGATTTGTTTCGATAACAAAACATCAACTCACATATTGGCATCGCCAGACATGTTCATCTCCACCTACTGTCCCAATTATACGACAAAACCCCTCCGAATTCCTTCGAAAGCGTAACCGACTAATGTTTAAGAAATATAATCCGTAAACCAAACAATTAAACAAATCTGTTCTAATCTCCGTTCCTAACCCCAGGCACCAGGATATTCACCATGAATCCGCCACCACTCAGCCTCCAGCGATCACCACTCGGAAACCCAACACTCCCTCGCAGGTCGTTGTGACGAACCCACCACACATCACCAACGGCCCTGTTTACAGTATGTGTTATTATTTATTTGTTGTTTAACGCCGCATACAGAAATATTCCAGCTATATGACGTCATATACATAAATCGAGTTTGGGCCAGATAATCTAGTGACTGACATCAAAAGCATCGATCTACGAACCTGGGATTCCATGACATGCATCAACCAAGTCAGCGAGGCCCGTTAGTTGCCTCTTACGATAAGCAAGGGTTGCTGAAGAACAAGATCTTCACGGGATGTTTACAGTATGTAGCAATCGTTCTAATATTAGCATGCCTTAAAGCGGCCGTTTAACAAGCGGTCTGGGCACGATACATTGTTGACTCCATTACTTCGTCTTGCGAGACACGTTTAATCGAGATGTTGAACATTATGCCGAGGCAGGAATGTTCACAAGCATTTAACAAACTTTTCATTTCAAGACTTCTTGAAATATGAAGGACCATAGGACTATAGCTCATTTTGAAAGTCCAATCAGAGAACATTTGCTGTGCCGCAGCCATCGCCTGTCAAATTTGCACTGAAACTATTCCAAAATTTAAGCTGAGACAAATATTTTCGAAGTTGTTCAAAGTTTTCAATTACCTCTCCAAAATACTTTTATATATTTGAGTGCAAACTCTTTTCTTCTTCTATTTTGGAACTCAAACGACAGAACGCTTATGGCAGTGACTGAGATGCAATGCTACTTTTAGACGATCTGATATTCTGCTCGACCAGGTCTTCTGATGTGGTAGTCATCTTTGACAAGCCATTCGAATGAGATATTGAGTTTAACAACGCTTTGGACAGTATTCCAGTTATATCACGTGGCGTCAGCTTAATGTGGGAGGAAAGCCCAAACTCATACATGTCTCAGAGGTTTACCACTTCGGTGAAACCCACGAGCTAGGGTATGGTGCTGACAAACCTAGAAACATAATCGGGGCGAACCGGGATTCGAACCAACAATCATACATGTAGGTTTCTGGTGTGTCCAAGGGACGCAACTCTGTACAGCGAATTGCGGCTCCTCAGACGACTGGGCCAACCGTGTCTCCTGTGAAGCCATTCGAAATAAGAGCAGTGCTCTAAACGTGGTGACTCCACGATCGAGGCAAGGAAAGCAGGCATGACATGGGTTAGAACTAGGCCTTGGTATAGGTTTGTTGACACGTTTGCCTCGCAAAGATGTATGTGGTATTACTAACGTGTGCACAAAGGGAATTCTATGGCGATGTATTTAGGTCACGTGTTACTGCAGGTCTTCTAGCCTATACGTATTACTCGATGACTATCTTTAATATTAGAAATCGTTATCAACTTATAATAATAGTGCAGTGGAATCTCGGCGATCTATATTCTAGATACTATTAGAATGCACTTATTAAATGCTGACAGAGGCAAGGTACTTTTAACATGAATTGAATGGGGTTTTAATATGTGGTTGTCTGAATTTTATTCATTAATATCAGTAACTGTATGCTGATATGTGATATATTAAAGAATTCGTCCGATCGATACTCACGTGGTGAATATTGTCATCAGAGGAAACCCAATTCAATTGGCCTTAAAAAGCAAAATATTGAGGAAAAATATAGATGTTCGCGAAAAGAGTATAATGCAAGGAAAATCACCGTTTCTCATTTTCAAAAAAACCCAAAAGAGTGCAGAGTGCGAACAGGTATTTACTTATTGCATGCATGCATTACATACATAAACTCATCAGTGGTGAATACTTCACAGAAGCGTTACCTCTCGCATTTTGAGACATTTGTTTGCGTCATTCTATTGTTCAAAAGAGTCATTATATTGTTTAAACGTCGTATTGTTTTTCGGTGTGAAATTAGCCAGTAAATATTTCAAATATTATATAATCCTTCAAATGTCTTCAGTAAATAGGCCACCGGCCCATTTTTACAGTGAAAGCACAAACGGTTTCAAAACGGCTTTGTGCCACGCGTCAGTAAAACAGTACAGTATCATATTAATGGACATCAGTGATTTTCAGATACTTTTTCTTTACTTTACAGCTAAGAAAATATATTTCGCCAAGGCATTGACAGTTGTGACATGAAAAGAACTAAACAGTTGTATGCATTTACTTTCTGATGGATACTGCCAATAATATTCATGTAAAATGTGTTGCCTAAGATCATCAAGTAAATGGGCGAACATGACAAACATGCTACTCGGATTCCACAACAGGGATTATGCAAAGTAGACATAATCTTTCACATCTTGGAATACTTAACTTTTTTCCTTGTGACATCATGTGATCATTACCTGAACATCAAACTAAGTTTTGTACGCTGGAATATAATAAAATATGTTTAATGTTGTGTTACATTATGTCACCTATAACGGTGTTCATACTAAAAAAAAAGCAACAAAACCCTTTCCATATCCAATAGAAACGTCTACTAAAAGCATTGAGTCGATTGTAAGATTCCGACTATATCACGAGCATGTGTTTATGAATCACTATCAACTTGTGATGATACCAGGAGTTCGCGAAAAGGTGAGCGTATCCTGCCCCACCGGTTACAACCGTCACAAACACATGCAGAGGCAAGTCAATTCAATAGTTCACCTGAAAACAACATGGGAACCTATGATACAAGTCAAAATAGGGAATTGCATCGAACATGTCTACCATATATTACTGAGGCTTTGAATGTTGTAACCTTGATCAAACAACGTTTGAGTAATTAGATAACACTAAAACACGCATAAACATACACATTTCCTATTCAGGACTCTACAATTCCCCTTCATCGTGAATACAAAACGGTCGACCCAAAACTCGACCAAAAGACGATCCTCTTTGTGGCCTTCAGACAGTACATACTATCCTTTTGTTCTAGCTACGCCGCGCATTCAGCACGGCACGAACTTCTGCTATGGCCGAATCAGCGACTTCTACCTTAGTCCCTACAACTGTGCGGAATACTTCATCTGTGCCAATAACATGACCTTCGCGGTCAACTGTGCCCCGGGGTTACACTTCAACCCTAAAGCCAAATATTGCGACCGTGCAGACAACGTCCCGTGTCACAGTGGCATCAACACACCCGGGCCCACACACTTCGTCAGCAAGAGGCCTAAGGTCACTAAGGCTCCACTACCTACAAGTACAACTAGCACCACGACTACCAGGTTAACTGTTCAACCAATAACGCGAGAGACATACGCACCAATCCATACCTCACAGAGGCCCTACACACAGAGGCCTTCTACACAGGAGCCTTACACACAGAGGCCTTCTACACAGGAGCCTTACACACAGAGGCCTTCTACACAGGTGCCTTACACACAGAGGCCTTACACACCCAAACAAACTACTGGGAACCGTGAGTACTATTTCCATCCAATGTTATCGACTATAATCTAGTGAGGTTTTTTTTAATTCATAAATTCATATTAATGTAAACTATATTTATTACTTGCCCGTGAAGAGATCACCCGTTTAATAAACATACAGCTGTATTACACATTGTGTAGTACCAAAGCGCGTGCTTATGGACTGAGGGAACAAATTTCACGAACAAATATTGAAAACTCTCAACATCCCTCGACTTTGGTGTCTTTCCTTTCATCAAATCCAATATTATTTCCTCACCATCGTTATATTCTGACACTGTGGTCAGTGACTTGTGTGTCGTGGCTGTCGTTCTTGCGATCTCTACCAGTGTGCCGGTTTTCGCTTATGTTTCTAGTTCAATTCTGTGTCTCTATTTCTAGATCTGTTCAACCACGCTCTGCTACCTTGTTGTTGTTAGTGACTATGTCCGTTATTGTAATTACCTCTACCGAGGGTTCAGTCTGGACAGAAAAAAAGGAGTGTTGGTAAACTGGATAAATCGGCTGGAAAATCACCGCGATGTGTCTAGTAGTAATACAACATCATCCCACAGTATGTTGTTAGTAGATTCGTAAATTATAATTAAATACAATACCTTTAATTCACCATGTATTTATATACTAACTCCATGTCGTCATCTATATGGAACTATTATTCAAACGTTGTTTGAGACTTTCTGCCACTCATCACATCAGGGCATGAGCATTCTACACAGCAAGGCCATTTTGTCATTGTTTTATCTACAATTTAAATTACAATTCTTCTCATATTATTCAGCCAATATTTGTTTGCTAACTTTAAACCTTAGGTTTCAAAGGCCTTTTGAGAAATACAAAACAAATTAATTTAAATACACAGCGTAACGCTTAGGTCTTAGGTTAATAAGAAAAACTGATCGCCTGCCAACCCTAATTTTATTGTCACACTTGTATTTGTCGATAATAGCCGATAAAGCCTTAAAACAAGAATTGAAACTGGTCCGCCCTTACAACAGGCATTCTATGATGACGTTGCTTAATCCAAATAAAGAAGGCGCCTCAACGGTTCAGTGGATAGAGCGTGTGCTCAGAGAACGGAATGTCGGTGGTTCGATGACCTTACCTACTTTATTTCCGGCAATAATAGTCGAGAAATCCTTAAAACAAGAATGAAAACTGGTACGCTCTTACAACAGGCATTCTATGATGACGTTGTTTAAGTATAATAACGAAGCCGTGTCCTTGGTGCAGTGGATAGAGCGTCTGCGGAAGGTCTGTGGTTCGATGACCTGGCCGCCTCAGTGGTGCAGTGAATAGAGCGGAAGGTCGGTAGATCGTATCTTCCCGAGCGAAGGGAGTTAAGTGACTATAAAAGTCCAGTATCCACCCTTGCCAAACTAGGCTGGAATTATGGAGTTATTGTTAGGTGAGGTGAAATGGGGTTTAACGTCGCGTGCAAGATTATTGCACGTATATAGCGACGTGCATGTACGGGTGTGTGTTTGTATGGCTGCTTGTACTAGTCCGGACTGATGCCGATTTATAGTGCTAGCTCGCTGAGATACCATGCTGCAGTTTAACATAAATACCCCACTCAGGCACAGTATACTGACTCCGAGCCGACCAGTCCTTGTTTTAGCCCCTTAATGCCGAGCGCCAGACAGGGTAACAACAAGTACCATCTTTTAACGTATTTTGGTATGACGCGGTCGGGATCGAACCCCGGACCTTCCGCTCTCCGGGCGGACGCTCTACCACTAGACCACGGAGGCGGTTAGATATATTTAGGCTTAGTTTACGTGTATATGCATAGTCCAATCAAAGTCGAGGAACGAAATCGACATCCGGTTCGTAAACTGTCGTGCAGATCTGACGCACTTCCCGAAGTAAGACCCGTTTTATAACAATATAGATTTTGATTATAAATCCGGTTGCCTTGACTGGGCGCCGCCATTATGTTTGAAGCAAATGCAAGTGATATGAGAGGTGGAATCTGATTGGTCAGTTGGAGGGACATAGAGGGTCAGTGGGAGAGAATGGTTGGATGGCCTGGCCGCACCATATCAACAGTGTAAGTGAAAAGATGGTTCTTGTTGTCGTCCTGCGTAAAAAGTTATTCGGGATTAGATGGATGAAGCAAGTCCGTTCGGAATCGGTATACTGTGTTTGGGTGGCGTATCGTTTTTACACTGTGGCAAGGTATCTCAGTGGGTAAGCGCTGTAAAACCGGCATAAGTCTGAACTAGTGCAATCACACAATCACGCAAACACACACACACAATCACACACAAACACACACAATCACACACACACAAACACACACAGACACTAACACAATCACACACACACAAACACACACACTCAGACAAACACACACACAATCACACACACAAACACATACACACACACACAAACACACACACAATCACATATAAACACACACAATCACACACACGCATTCACACACACACACTCACACACAAACACACACACAATCACACACACAATCACAATCACAATCACACTCACGCATGTCACACACACACACATGCATATCGCATTATAAGTGAAAAAACCTTGAATGTGAAGTTAAACCCGATTTCATACGCATCCTAACCAAATGAGGAGTTACACCACGTAGCATATCGTTGTTTTGTAACTCAAACTAACACTACTACCCTAACCAACCTCTACTCTCCAGCTGCAGCGAAAACCATTGGCGACTTCTGTGAAAGTAATGGCAACGGCCTATACCGTGACCCCTACAGTTGTTCGAAGTACTACGAATGCTTCATGCACCTTGGCTTCGAGAGGACCTGCCCCGAATACGAGGTGTTCAACGTGCGCGTCCAAGCCTGCGACTATGCCTACAGAGTGCCCGGATGTTGACGTCATCAAGAACACCCGTCTGTGTACAAATAAACCAGCGGCACATTTCGTGTTGTGTTGTATTGTCTACGTCTTTGGGGTGAATGATTGAGTAAAGTTTTACGCCCCTCATAGCAATATTCAAGCAATATCACGGCGGGAGACACTAGATATTAGCTTTACATATTTTACCCATGTGGGGAACGAACCCGGGCCTTCCACATTAGGAGCAAACGCTATCCACCGTCCTAACGTTCATTTGGGTAATTTACCAGTTTTTGCAACAACAATGGATATTTTGTGTTGCAGAATACGGTGGTAAGACAAATATTGTAAACACATAATTAGACGAGTGTGTTTCCGTATTATAATTAAATTATTAAAACGTATACGAGTTGTTAGCTAGGTGACCTCATTTGCTTGTTCATCGAATCGTGATACCAAGCTTCTCTTCCAAAACCTCGTCCAGCCAGATATAAACAACAAACACACAATGTGGCTTCCCCTGTGGCACAGGCCGAGGCATTTACTCTGCATGAAATTTCCTTTTACAAACACCAGTAGCGTCACTAGCCTTGATCCATATGATCCCAGAACCCACGCCAGTCACCGACACTGTAACATCTTACTGTAAGATACATGCATGTACCAGGTACCATCCTTGCTTTGTGGTTCAGAACCATACTCGTCACTGTGACGACATCTGTCTTGCAGCAAGACTGCCAACACCTGACAACAGAAAATGTTCATAACCATAACGCACAGGACAAACAAAAAATAAACAGACCGCACTGTAACGGCGACACCACAGGAGAGATTAAACTACCCGGGTTTTACAATTCCTATATATACCCCTCACGGTTGCACCCTCTACCGTGAATAACCTCCCTTTAAATCTGGCTTTTCCTTCAAGAGAAATCAATTTCAGTCTAATTCACTCTGTTCAACCGAATGAAATTTCATTTCTCTTCCAAAACCTCGTCAAGCCAGATATAAACAACAAACACACAACGTGGCTTCCCCCTGGCACACGCCGAAGCATGAGAAACAAAGAAAGGGATTACAGGAAAACAACCTATATAACAAACCCAATGATTTGGACTCACTTAATCTGGCTTTAACACTGTCTCTGATATACCCATCTTTGGCATTCTTGCTCTTCCAGCTCCCGTTTCTCTTAAAAAGACGGTCAGGTACACCATTGTTTGCTGCCGCTGAAGCACCTCCTGACCTCAAACTGTGGAGGCCATATCTTGAAACATCAATGACAAAAGGTGACAAAGTTAAACGAAATATTTCACGTAGTCTTGTATAAGTCAGTGGCTTGTTTTCCTTTCTCAGTACATATTTACCATTAACAGTACTTCGTGCTCTGAACACATATTCCTCAGAATCCTCGGCAATCCCTGCCATCGTTAAATAACGTTGCAAGTGCATAACAGGACATACACCTATGACTACCCATGCACCCTCCCGGTACACGTCCGTCTTGGACTGTTAAAAAAATATAGACATATGATGTTCACAAAACATGATATCTGAACGTGCAATGTGCAACAATTCAACTGATAGAAGAAAACCTGCAAAAGCAACTAAAATCATTGCAGCAACTCCGCTGTCTTTTAAACATTTCTCACATTCTAGAGACGATACCATACAACTAAGTTGCGATATTGTTATCGGTTCCTTTTTGTTTACTGGTTTAGCTAAATTCCGCTTACCAGCCTCCAATACATTTCGTACCAGTGTATTATCTGTGGGACTGCATAACCCAACAGGAACATGAGCATATCAAATGCTGTAAAAAGCTGTACTGACAGGAGAAATAATTTTACAACTTTGTATTAAAGATAACAAATAAAGTGCGCAGTGCATAGGAGCAATTGGCAATAAAGTCGGCAAACCATGAGAATCTGCCCAATCAGAAAATCTCTTGAATCCCAAGTTGTATGATCTCACTGTAGTGGCTGATCTAGCCTCATTTAATAATATGCTCAAACCTTGTACGTTCGGTTTTTAACTACCTGGGAGGGTACATATAACATCATGATATACACTGTATAACACATCTGAAACAGAAGAAAGCATTTCAACAACTGAAATCGATTTTCAACGCTAACATTGAACACTTTAAATCTGTTTCACCAAATTGACCTCCCCCAATACGACTGGGAACATAAGCTTCTTTGCAAGACGGCAAATAAACAAAGTCTCTTACTTCTTTGAAAAATGTACCTTGTTTGCATAGCAATTGCCAGAAACTTGCCGAGTACCACTGAGGTACAACCAACATACCCTTCACTCTGTATTTGCGCATATGGCACAACACACGAGAGACCAGATACACTGGTGGTACTATCCGATTCACCTCATTACTCCAATCTGAAGTAAAAGTATCCACATTCTCAGAATTATGGTTCCAGTACCTAGAATCGAAACGATTGATCTTGTAGTAAGAAACAAAACGATCTATTGAATGTGGTCCCCATGTTTCATCGAGTACATGAAAAACATAGTCTGCAACTGCCCAGTCATCTCTATCAGTGAGCTTGCTGAGAAAATCTTTGTTCTCGGGGAATCCAGTCTACTTCCAAACGTATACAGGATCTCAAACATAACTGACAGATAATCAATGCAAGATTTTGTAAATGTGTCTTCTTGCTACCCTTTTTCATAATAGCACATACATTGGTATTATCCGTAAACCACTTGACTGAGTGAGAACCAAGAAAAGACAGAAAACTTGTCAGTACCATAGATACAGCCTTCAACTCCCGCCATGTTAAACTTTGATTCATTTCGCTTTCGGACCACTGTCCATGTGCCAACCTTCCATCAAACTGAACACAGTAGCCACCGTAACCTACACCACTTGCATCGCTATAAACAACCCTGGTAGAGGAACTGTCTGAACACAACGATCATAACTTGAAATGTTGAATATTGTCCCGCCAGAACACTAACTGTTCCTTACTTTAAGCTGTCAAAACAATCCAGTCATTCCACGAGTTAGCCGTCAGGCAATCTATACTGAGTGACCTCGTCATAAGTTGACTAATTGAACCAATAACTGGTTGTAATACCTCCTGCCCCATGGCCAAACCCATAAAAAGCCGAGAAAATTTGTATGAGGAGTATGCATTTCAATATGATGGTACGCGGAATGTATATCGTATTTAACTAACCAATCACAAGCTTTGATATACATAAGAGGGCTTTTCCAGTCTTCGTATTTGACTGAAAGTTTAAACACATGCTTGTTCACCACAGACAAATCAAGAATGAATCTTTTCTTTCCAGAAGATGCAATAGACACCGACAACGGATTAACAAAACGAGGCCTCTCCTCACATTCCTCCAAGTTACGTCCCTGCATTTGCACAAAGGGTAGAACATGATCTTTAATGATGTCGTCCCGTTAGAGTTTGCCATTCAAATTGACATTAACAATGATGTATTGTGTTTTCCCCTGAATTGTGATGCCACCCAATACTATTACGCTTCCCTTCCCAAACAGACGGTGAGTAACGAAAGCGTCGCCGAAAGGTTGACATGAACATCTGCAGACACTTGCGCGACCCTTGCATGGCTGTCCAGATGAACCCTTGACTCATCTGTGAACAGTATACTGCCCTAGTCTTGTCCTCTGATCCTCAGGAGTTGTCTACACCAAACTAGGCGTGTCTGACGGTGACGTGGAAGCACAGTTGGGCGTATTGCTGGACGTAGGCCGTATGTCGTGCAGTTTGATATCGATGCCGGAGATGCACCAACCGAATATGGTTGTCTTGTTGACGTGGCGTCACACGTGGACGACTGGCCGGCGGCAAGTCATGAGTGTTGCCCAAAGAGATGCTATTGTTTTGCGTTATTCCTGTTTGCAGCATACCACGGCGCGTACACGTTGATATTTTTATCAAGCCTGCGTCAGGATCAATGGAGGTTTTATGAGCAACTGATAACTGATAACACAATCATTGTGCAATGTTAACATTTGAAAAACACGTGTCAGAGTATCATGCTCTCAACAAACACGCAAACATCAATATTGTTCACCGTGCATTCACATGCACGTGCAAATTCTGAATCTCGACCTTAAAGTAGAAGAGATGTCTTCATGGATGCACTGAAAAATACAATATTTAATTTCAGAATGTATTTCAATAAACTTTATATAAAAAACAGATACTTTTTTCCGTTAGTATATATAGTCTGCAAAAAAAGGAAACGCAAAAGTGATTTTAGATGTATAGCTTTTGTATCATATGAAAAAACAACAGAGTTGTAGTAGCAATAGCAAAAGTAGCAGTAAGAGTAATAGTATCACACTGTACGTTGTTTGTAGGATTTAGTAGCAATGGACGAACAGCATACGTTGTTTGCAGTTGCTGGTAGAAACGGATGTATAGCGATGATAACGTGCGTTGTTTATAAGTGCTAGTAGCAATGGAAGTACAATGATAAGAACATACGGTGTTTGCAACCTCCTGATAATCATACAAGACAGTTGTCAAGGTTGGTTGAAAGAGTGTTTTGTTATGCAAAAATAGCAAAGGATTTTAACACAAAACAGTCAGTTCTATCGGTCGCAGCGATGTCTCAAAAACCACATCAACTCAAGGTAAATTTTGGTGTATGGCAGCATCTGCTCTCCCGTTTCGCGAGCACTTGGTGGCATCATTGAGAATACACAACGTTGTTTGATTGTAGCTCTCTCATGTTTATTGTGTGGACTGTTTCCTTTCATGTGACAAGTGACATAGATATGATATACTTACACCTACGTATTGTTAAACTCACTTTACTTTCGAAGCATGGCCTCACATTTCATTTATTCAATGTCCTCTGAAATACGATTTCGAGCAGTTAGTCAATCCCTATTCAGGCTACTGATGGGGCCAAAGGCCTGCTGTACATAGTCTGGGGCGTGTTACAAATTGATACACTTTCTTAGTTTTGTAGCATGATAATTGTACATAGACACATTTCTGAAAGTGTCTGTACAATCACATGTCATTAATTTGTTAACATTTGGATTGTGGTAGAAATAGTTATTTAGATATTTTGTT